CCACAAGCAACACAGCAACAAGGCAGCATGCAGATTTTGTTACGAGTCGTCGCCGAACATCACGAAGGAGATGCGGATCGAAACCTTTGGCTTCATAAAGACGTTTGAGAGCGTCAAGTCCAAGTTGTTGCTGAACCGCTGGTTGAGCACCACGTACAATGAGCCACGAGCGGGAGGACCACGAAGAGTAAGTAAACATCTGATCATTGGCACTCCGGATCCCTTTGATCTGAGAAGGATGATCAGGTAGTTGTGGTGTAATAGTCCTGGACGATGAATCACATAGGTAGCCCAGCACTTTGTCATCATTCTGAAACTCAAGCATCACAGGTGGTCGATAAAATTCCAGGGAAAGAAAATTCCTGAGCACCGGTGATTGCGGGGCAGAATCACGTAGCAGGATGAAGCGATTGTCGACATAGCGCTCGTGCCAGATCACCCCGACACCGGAACAAATAGCCATTGATCTCAAAGTGACTGTTATCAATGACAAAGTCAAGGAGGCATCGAAGATCTTGTTCACGGAAGGTTCGAGGAACCTTAGTTTGACGGCGCCATTTTCGTTTGAACATGCGGCGTCGATGATCTGACTTCAATTCGTACACCGACCATTGTGAGGATCGGCGGAGACCAACTACTTGATCATAACGATGTAGAAGCACCTGTAGTGCCTGATGGAAACGCTCCGTGGGGATGGATGTGAAGAAACCGGAAAGGTCCTGAGACACCAGGTGGATGTATTCGGCGGGATCTGCCTTTGACAGCGCGTCCCAAAGCTGTTGGACAAGCTCCTGAACCGAAAGCTGACCTGGTATGTCTGGAAAGGTGACTTTGGTAAGTTCAAATATGAGGGCGCCGAAGACCGTGAGGAAGGGTGCTGCCCACGTGCGAAAGAAAGAAATGATCGGTCTTGCTTTCTGCCAGTCCTTGGTCGGTTTGGGAAGGATGCGGGCTGTGGGCAACGGCGCTTGGAGTCGAAGTCCCCACGCGTAACACTGATGTAGGAGAGGAGGTATCGTAGTGACCACTTCTGAGCGAAAAGATGCTGCAGATTCACGACACAGCGAAAAGACATCTCCCGAGCAAAAGGTCTTGTGCATCAGTATGGCAAACAACGAAGGACAAATCACATGTGCACGAGAGGGAAAATGATCCGCTGGAATTACAACCCACGAGGACAGAGAAACCACGGTACGCTGTAGTGATTCGGATGTCCAGTGAGCGTGATCATGAAGGTTGGAGCGATGTGCATCAATCAACTGAGTCAGAACAGGACGTAGATCAGTAAGGAGACTGGATCCATGTACATGCCACCGACGAGCTAGTTTGCGAAGCTGTGTGGTAAAACGCTGATGTAGCATGTCAACATCGCCAAAATACTGATCCTTCATGGACGCGGTCATGATGTCAATGTCGATGTCTGCATTGATGCGTGAGAACTCATCTACCATTACTACATGTTCATGTGCACGATGTAGGAGGCGGTCATCAATGTCTGAACAGCGACACGGAGAAGATATGTCAGGAGTCCACCTGCGTTGCCATGTGCGGTAGTTGTAGATCCTGTCCCTCAAGGTAGCACTGCGAGTTTCCACCACCCGGATCTTTGGAAGAAATAGGGAGGGAAACAAGTCACGATGCGAAGCAACCCAACGCTGTAACCATGTGCCAAGCTGAGCTTTCCAATTCAGTACATGTAGAGGTGGGAGAAGTAGTTGCGTCAAAGTGCTTGGTGATTGAAGTTGTCGTTTGTGCATAACCTGGGCGAGGAGCTTCTGTGCCTTAGAACGAAAAGGCTCGTTGACGAAGACGGAGAGTCGCAGGAAGTAGTAGAGCTGAGTAGGTGGAAAAGCCGCCGACAGTAAGTCGCGCATAGCCTGGAACGACGCACCTGTGTTGGATCCCAGCTGATAAAGAGTGGAGTAATGTGCTTGAATGTCATCCAACATTTCAGGTCGTAATTGCCGTTGAAGATCCGGATGCAGTCGTCGTCGGAAGCGTTTGTGTAGCGAGAGTGAGGTGGGAGATGACAACGAATGACGCCGAGAGTCAACCAGATGCTCACGGAAGCCAATTTTTCGAAGAAGTCTATGTACCCAGGGAGCATTCAATTGCGGACGTAGCAAGTATTGCCACTTGCTTTCCTGGACCCAAACCGAGGAAATGGGAAGTTTGATCTCAACCGGGATGGCACAGAAAAGCCAGTAAGTGTTGGATCGCTTCCAGTAATGAAGCGCAGGTTCGAAGAAGGCATGGCGTCCCCGAAGTAGTTGTAGAAATTTGCGACTGCGCGAGTGTTCTCGTCGAAGAACATCCTGATCAGTTGCTCCAACGTAGTATGGACTGTGCCATGGAGAAAGTCTGATGTAGACGCATGGTTGTTGATGGTGACCTGGATCCTGAATGAAGTCATAGAGGTCCGGGAAACGTGTCCGTAGTGAGCGAAGGTGTCTTGTATCCGCAAAAGTGGAGTGCATGATTTCACACAACAGAGACGTCTTGTAGAAGTGAAGAACCTCGAAGAACGGCGGGACATACCCATAATCTTGAGAAATGAGACGCTGCAAGAAACTGATCAATAAATAGGCAGTGCACCGACACCTGTGAAGTTCATACCTGTTGGCCACAGTGTGATAAGACTGCGACATGGAGTGAATCGGGATCTGAAGTGCGATCCGAACCACAACTAGTACTTCCAGAATAAGGCCCAGCCAAGGTAGTCGCTCAACTGACTCATATTCATCCATTGGTATCGACGGTGGTGGAAGTCCAGGAAAGCAGTATTGCCAGCACGTAGAGAACATTGTCAACGAGTGCAGAAAGGTATCTAAGGAATGCCATTGTGCAACATCATCATAGATTCCACAGCGGCGAAGCTCAGCCAACATGGTGAAGATGCAACCAATGAAATCTACAATGTGGCGGCGGCAGGAATGCAAGCGGCAATGAACACCAAGCAATTCACAACGCAAGCAAAGACAAGCACATCATCAAACAAGTGCAGAGCAAGAAGAGGACGGACAAGTTTTGAACCATTCATCAATCATGACACAACTGCCACTCCGGGCTCATAAGTGAACGAAGGTAACTGCTCACCCTGTGAGTAAGCGGGCAGTCACGATGAGGTGACACAACGCCTTGTCAGTGAGCTTGGTGAGGTAGCCAGGCTCCAGTCCCCACAGAGCCGCCATCGCCCCAAACTTAGGCGCGTCTCCTTTTGGGATGCGTTGACGCGCCTGAAAGAGCTGGGTCGACATGGATTCCAAGGACTTGTTGCCGTTGAGACGGGATGGGTGCTTGGCCCACTTGCTCAATGACGCCAAAGTCGTGGTAGTGGGCGATTGCTTGAGATACAAGCGTGGTTGATCACTCGTCCATGTGTAGTACTTGATGACGTCTTCAGGCGTGCTGTGCATGGTGAGCAATTGTGACGCCGCCGGCTTGGAAGGCGGTGAAGAAAGTCCGTGAAGAGACTGGATGATTCGGGGTTGCACTGCGCCATCATAAGCCATGCTTTCTGAGGTCGAACTGGCAGGGCTGCAGGGTATCCAGGCGATGGTGTAGCTTGGGAAGGAGTGACCGGTGGTGGCATCACGGGCGTCATGAACATCGCTGGCGTGGGCTCTGGGGGAACCGGTATCATGTAGTTGACCGGTGAATGATGGAACTGCTGCGTAGGGTTTGGAATCGATTGATAATTGCCTGGCATCACCGGAAAATTGTTGCTGGAGTTGTAGCCCGAATTGTGTTGCCAGGATACCAAGTTGTTCCAATCCATGCCCTCCGAGACCTGATTGTCATTGTGTTCTCGTCGGCGTGCTTTGCGAGATTGAGGGGAAGGACTCCGATCCCGTCTGCGCCGTGTTCTGGATCTGTCACGATCATCCCGTCGAGACATGATGGCACAGCAAACTCAAAACCGCGACACCTCAATCTTGAGAGAATCGAATCCGACAAGATGCAAGTCAACGCAAGTTCAAGCCAAGCACAGATCAACACGCGGTCATGCAGCCAGCAGCAGCAATTGTGAGACTTAGCTATGATCTGACGGCTGTCTTCCCTTTAGTGAAACCTCGTTCCTGGTTAAATCTGAAATTCCGCTGTTCTATGATAAGCACGTTGAGGTCAAATTTTCCGACAGAGTCGGCCCGGGGTCACACGATGGGTACACCCGAGGATTCCCCACGAATAGGGTGTACACACTTAAACTCCAAATGGAGGGTGTTACCCGAAAGAACAAGAAGCACAAACAGCGCCGCAACCAAGGGGCCAAATAGACTTTCAGAATCACCGATGCAGGTACGTCCAGCTGGCCAAGCTGGATATCCCACTTCACTGGTAGCTTCGTTGGACACAGTCCCAGTGAAGTGCTGTGTCCCCCTGCTACTAATTGTGGTGACAGGGTATTCTGCCACTCCGCACACACACACACACGCGCACGCACACGCACACGCACACGCACACGCACACGCACACGCACACCCCACACGCCACACGCCACACGCCACACGCCACACGCCACACGCCACACGCCACACGCCAACGCACACGCACACGCACACGCACACGCACACGCACACGCACACGCACACGCACCCGCACACGCATACGCACACGCATACGCACACGCACACGCACACGCCCACGCCCACGCCCACGCCCACGCCCACGCCCACGCCCACGCCCACGCCCACGCCCACGCCCACGCACGCACCCACCCACTCACGCACGCACGCATAGAGTACTGCAAGCATTGGAAAGGGGAAGCCCTGACAATAATACACGAGGTCTTTGGTGGACTTTTGGGGATGCTAAAATGTTTCTCCTTCTGCAGAATGTGAAGTCACTGTTTTGATGCCAGTCCTTCAAAGAGGGTTCCTTCAAAGAGGGTTCCCTGCAGCAACACAAAAGTGTTTCAAAAAGGGATATCTAAGAACCCCTGTGAAGCCCCTTGACCGCCCCGGTACGACCTGTTTTTCGGTACGCGAGCTGTGTCTCTCCTTGGCGCCGATAACGAGGAAGCCCCCGGGCCGCAGGCGCTCCACCATCTTGGCCAACACCTCGTAGCGCTGCTCCCCCTGCAGGTAGAGGCACACCTCGACGTCAGGAGCTGCCGTCGGAATCGCGGAATCGAATCGGGCGTCGGTCGGTCGATCGGGCCGTGGGAACTGGTTCATGGAAAGGCAGGGCGATGGGTTCTTGGGAGTTCGACTTGAACTGTTTAGTTTATTCATAGAACACAAGCAAAAGACTGTTCGGATGAAGAAAGATGCCAGAAAGTGTTGGCCCAAACTCAACAGGTCAGACGTGCCGCTTTCTAGTTCAAACATGGACGGAACATAGGAATTCACCAACCCAAAAGAGCTGAATCCCTGTGAAAGCAAGCACACAACATCAAAACGGCTCAAGTCCTTCGCAGAAAAAATATGCCCGTATGCCGAGGGGATGCGCTCGAGCCTCCAGCCAACCCCATGCCAGGTGGCAGCATAGCGTGAGAGGATGACATCGAAGGGGCCCTCCGGCATCTCCTCAGTCACGTCCTGGCATTGAAACTGTGGCAGGACTGGCGACATAGCGATGTGGGCAAACATCTAGAAGTCGCACCAGTTCATTTGGATGATGGAACCTAAATACTGGGACGAACTAGGTATCAACTGGTTCATGCGGTTGCTCAAAAGGCTTCCAGCATCTTCCAGCGGGCATATTGCCTTCAAACTCTGGTGTGGTGTCCAGGTACCCTCCCGCCAATGGAACCCGAGAGGGTTCCTAAGGAAAATTGTCCCCCAGGACCCCCCGAAAGATCAGGTTCCATGCTCAATTAGCTCCATGGACTTTGAGACCTTGAGTTCTACCCATATATGAAGGCTTACAGCGGCCTTTCTATGCCAATCAAACCAGGCAGCTGAACAGGACCTGAACAAAAATGAGATCCCGAAGTGGGATGGTAATCCCACTGAGTAGTTTAGCCCTGCAGAGGGGATTCCCTGGGTACAGAAAGTGGCAGCCGAATTTTCCACCGCGTTGCGTACCACAATGCCCACCTTTGAGGCTTTGGGGCGCGTTAACCGCGTCACAAGAAGTACCTGGTGCGAAAGTTAAAGGACCATATGGCTGGAAATCAAAATTAGTTGATAACCCCAAAATGGCGCAAGCCCTGGTAGATGGAAACATGGACGATTTCACCTGCACATATCCAGAACTATGAAGAATCCAAAGCTCAGTCGGACATCTCCGCAATCTATGTTGTCTTGTTGCCAACCTTCGCTTGCACAGGTTTGGAAAACTCGACACAGCTAGAGGTGCATGATCCCAAAAAGGGAGACCCATCCGAAACATGACACGCCCTCCGGAGACGCACGATTTCCGCCTGGCGCTGGAAGCTGACGCCGCTCTTCAGGCCTCGTGACCACGAAGGCAAGGCCACCGAAACGCCTCCCCTCTCCCGTGCCCGGGTGCCAGGTTCAACCAAGGGGCGGATTGATGAACCAAGTAATTTGTTGCACAAATGGCTTGTTGAGCCAAGAAATGGTGTTAAACCAAACATTGGCTGGATGAACCCAAGAGTGTCTTGTTAAGGGATCGCAGGTGAGGGACGCAGTGCCATGAATTTGTGCCTCTTCATGGGACAGGTAGCGAGCCTCCAAGATCCGGCAAAGCACCGCGTGAAGGCCGCGGTCCAAGGCCCAACGGCAATCCCACGAAACGCATTTTGCATTTTTGCAGGGATGCATGGGCGAAATACGACGGAATTTACACGTATGACTCAACCATAGCCACCATGGGCGAAAATCGAATTGAATAACTCATTTACGCGTATGACTCTACCATAGCTGTCTACCATGAATCTGGGCAATTTGGATGAGCTCAGACTACAGCTCGGTGAGCTGGTAAGGCGAGCCCCCTCCAGATACTTCGGAACCAACTTGAGGTTCTTGCTGGTCTTGATGCCGTAGAGGGGGCCCGGGCCGTCCTGGCGCTCTCGAACATTTGAACAGGGCTATACAACAGAAAGGGCTTCCCAAAGACTAACGCCCCAAATAGGGGGGAGATTCCCTTGCATCACAAAAGTGGGGATAAACCCCTTGATCCCACAACCCTGACTTTGAAAGGAACCTGAAAAGGGAAGGGCTTGGTGTCCGGCCTGAAATCAGGAGCCGGTCTTGCTAGAACTCAGCTGGTCGAGGCGGAAACTGGTTTTACCTGTTTCCGACGTACCAGTGACTCCATTTACACCTGACGCCTCCAGTACGTAACCAATGCGAGGCGTTTAAACTCACAACCAAAGAATGTTGGTTTCCATCAGGGGGGCCATGTTGGTTTCCTACCACAGGATCCGACACCCGTGTGTTTCACTGCTAAGTTCTCTGTGGGCGACGCCATTCGGTAGTAGGAGGCAGCACGCAACCCTTTGAGGTCGCTCTTGTTTCAAGCAGCCAAATACCCAGCGAGACTGTCACTTTGCTCAATAGGTATGTCAAGATAGGGAACCTCAAACACGGTGGTTTGCCGTTTGGTTTCTCAAACAAGCAAAAGTAACACCCTGAACACCACAGCCTTGACCATGGTTCAAAGAGAAGCCAACCAGAAAACTCGATTGTAGCAGCCCACCTATGTCCTTCCCCTGCGCTTGTGCTTCCCCAACGCATTCCGTTCTCTCTGCGCCGATTTCTCGAAGGTGTTCCCTCAAATGGCGATGCGTTCTTTTGGTCTCTCTCTGAACGCCAACCAAACAGGGTCACCATCAAGCACACACACACACAAGAAAGGAAGGAAGGGTCGAAGGAAGGAAAGAAGGAAGGAAGGAAGGAAGGAAGAAAGGAAGGAAGGAAGGAGGGAGGGAGGGAAGGAAGAAAGGAGGAAAGGAAGCAAGGAAGCAAGGAAGCAAGGAAGCAAGGAAGCAAGGAAGCAAGGAAGCAAGGAAGCAAGGAAGCAAGGAAGCAAGGAAGCAAGCAAGCAAGGAAGCAAGCAAGGAAGCAAGGAAGCAAGGAAGCAAGGAAGCAAGGAAGCAAGGAAGCAAGGAAGCAAGGAAGCAAGGAAGCAAGGAAGCAAGAAGCAAGGAAGCAAGGAAGCAAGGAAGCAAGGAAGCAAGGAAGCAAGGAAGCAAGGAAGCAAGGAAGCAAGGAAGCAGCAGGAAGCAAGGAAGCAAGGAAGCAAGGAAGCAAGGAAGCAAGGAAGCAAGCAAGCAAGGAAGCAAGCAAGGAAGCAAGGACGCAAGGAAGCAAGGAAGCAAGGAAGCAAGGAAGCAAGGAAGCAAGGAAGCAAGGAAGCAAGGAAGCAAGGAAGCAAGGAAGCAAGGAAGCAAGCAAGGAAGCAAGGAAGCAAGGAAGCAAGGAAGCAAGCAACCAGCCAGCCAGCCAGCCAGCAAGCCAATACCAACTGAAATAGCAACCAACAATGAGCATTTGGACCAGGGTGGTTCCTTTAGCAAGGACATAATGGACTGTTTTCCCCCGCGCGGGGGGGGTGGGGGGTCTTGGCACCGACTCAATGCGTGTATTTGTTTGACCGATGGACATTGAGCGTCATGTTTTAGTGGTAACTGGGAAAACCACGCCGTTTCAGCCGTTTTGGGGGTCGCAAACCAACAACGCGCCAGGGCTGTGGGAAACGAACACTTCTGTGACAACCAAAAAAAAGGCTTCCCCAAGACTAACGCCCCAAATAGCAAGGAGATTCCCAAAAGTATCACAGAAGTGGTTGGATAAACCCCTTGATCCCACAAAAGTGGTTGGATAAACCCCCGAAACAGTGGGGAGATTCCCAAAAGTATCCAAGAAGTGGGGATAGCTAAACCGCCGGTGATCAACCACAACCCGCCTGCTCCGCGAAGGCCTTGGCCGCCTCGTAGCGCTGGGCCGCCTTAGGCCGGCCTGGCGCAGGCGTGGGGTGATTTCCATAGGCGACTTGCACGGCGACTCCTTCGGGCCATGAGGGACGAAAACATGGCAACTGAAGGAAATGGGGGCTTGATCCCTTGTAACGTATCTAGGTCCTCCAGTAGAGAGGATAGCATAAGGGTACCAACTTTTTTTCTGTAGTCTGTTTTAGTAGGGGAACGGCACTACGGGGGGACCTAGATGGTATCCACGAGTCGGGGCCCGTGAAAAAAGAAAGAAAAACAAAACGAACCGTGAATGGTATGCGTTCCACGGCTACCGTGTGAAGTCTCCCTATAGAAATGTTGAACATGTTTTCGTTTTTTGGATGGTTCCGATGTGTGCTTGGTTGGGGATTCAAGGGAAACCAAAAGGAAACCACCCCTTTGTCAGGCGCGGGGGCCTAGTTTGACACATACCTATTTGGGTCATTTGCGTGTGTGTTGGTTGCTGTTCCTTGTCCCTAAGCGACCTGAAAGGGCGGGGCGCCGTCAAACAAACACAAGCCCGTGTCTGAAGTTTTTCGAGGTCCTGGTGTCCAAAGCACTGTCTGCCCCACTCCAATACTCACGATTTGTAGGGCATGATGTCAACCCCTGACTACCAAAGGAGGCTTACAAGAACGTGGAGAAAAACAGGTTGCTCACACATATCCCCTGAAACGCAGGCATCTGGAGAAAGGGGTAGAATAAGGGCCAAACACTTCCCCACATTGTTCTCTCACGTTCACTTGTTTGGTTTTAAGGTGCAAAACCACTCTTCCTTAAGAGACCCTTGTTTGCATGTGGATTCCAAAGGACCCTCAAAACCCAAGAAAAAGTGGGATGCCGGAAATGGGGTCAATTCCCATTCCTTAATGAGGCTCGGCATGGCCTCGCTTTCCTCTGGGGGTGCAGCATTGCGGCAGATCCTCGATCGGATGTGAAATGGTGTGCCGAAATGCCGAAATGCGGGGGGGACTCCCTATGATTCGTTCGAGGAGAAGAAGGGGCACTCAATCTGAAGGAAAATCGGCCGGCAAGGGCCGCCAAACACTGAACCCAGTGGGTTTTCTTTCGCAACCTTTTGGTTTCGGGGGCTGTTAGGGGCCGAGCCTGCAAACTAGCGAAGTGTCCATGGCACAGGGGGTAGCCCCTTTTGGAATCGAACACCGAAAGGACAGCAGAATGCTACCGTTGGGGTCTCAAAGCAACCCCGGAAACGTTCTCGCTGTGTCAGCGTGCGTCTGTCCATGGCGTTCCCCATTCTGAAAAACAGGGGACCGAACAAATTGGCTGCCTCTTGGTGTCCTCAACACCAACCAAAAGCAGTCCACCGTTTTGAGCACCCCCATTTTCGGAGGTACAGGTCCCAAATCCCCGCTTTGCAAAGGGATTCGGGAAGCTCTGGAAGGCGACATTTCCGAGATTCAGAGGTCAAGACGCTGTATCCATAGAATGGATCTTCCCAAGTTGAAAGTTCAGAGACCAAAACCACGTAGCTGCAAATCCGTCAGCCGAACACATGCGACCATTGCCGCCAGGAGTCAAAGTACTGCTCCTTGGTGGGGCGGGACTTGCAAACCATGCCTTTCATGCGAATGCCTGTCAAAAAAAAAAGGCGGGCCCCTATGGCATATGTCGCTGGGTCTGCCATCCCTAGCACCTCAGACTCTCGTGCCTGCTCGCACCCACCGTGTTTCACGCTGAACTCCCGCAGGTACTCCCAACACAAGAAAAAATCGGCCTGGGCTGCGTGGCTCGAATTCGAGTGGGTCTCAATTTTCTGGGGAATCGGACAAAGGCTGACTTCCCCTTTGGTTTTCCCTTTTAACAACACCAACAAGGGGGGTACCCTTCAGAAAAGGCGCACCCATGCAGTCCCCAATTTCTGCACTCCAACATGTCCTGAGCGCAAACCTTCGAGAAAATGCAGCTAAGCGGCACACCACTCCAAAGGCAAGCCCTGCCAATTTCGCGGACGAATGGATTGCAACACGCCTAGGACATCGAGACTCTGCCGACCACTCGTCTGGCCTTGTTTGCGGGCGACCAGTCCTGTTAACTTTGACCCCTTAAAGTTAATTACTGCCTTTTGTTCCGAGCTTTTTGATTTAGTCCGGGTCATGGAGCCAGAAAGCATGTGGCAGTTTCATGGTTTCTTTCGGGAGGAGCTCCTTCAACATATCAAATATGTCCGTCCCAGTGCGAAATTTCAGGTTCTCATCGATGCGTAGTAAAACTGGCTTACAGGCCGTGCAAAACTGATTCACTTTCGTCATAAAGGGTGTGTGCTGCAGATGCGTGTCAGCTTCGCAGAGTGTCCAGCACCACTTGCACCCAAAGATGTTGAGGCAATATGGGTATGGGTCAAAATTAAACCACCAGGAATTGGACCGCAGGTTAAATCCTCCTTGGTTCCATTTACCGCCCGGGCACGCCATTTTGGGGCTACCCTATTTTGACAACCACACCCAGATTGGCAATGTCCCATGTTTTAGCCTGAGGCCACCTGGGATGGCCTTAAACAGGACAGCCGTACCCTCCCCACCCTCCCCACCCCTCCCCACCCTCCCCACCCCCACCCTCCCCACCCCCACCCTCCCCACCCTTCTGACGTATACCCACTGCAACCTTGTGCGGGTTGAAAGGAGACAAAAGGAAACCCTAAAGGGCAAACAGGTGAGATCAATTGAGATATCATCCCCTCCACATGAAACTCACTTTCGGAACGTTGTAAGGGCAGGTTTACTTCAACATCCCCAAGGTGTCGGCCTCTTGTAGGGGCCCCAAGACCCCAAGACCCCAAAAAACCAAAAACAGAAAAAAAAGGAGAGAACAACAACGGGGGGGGGGGGGAAACAAAACAAAACCCCCCAAACCCCCAAAACCACCAAGACCCCAAAAACACCAAGACCCCAAAAACACCAAGACCCCAAACCCCCAAACCCAAAAACAACAAAACAACACCCTAGCTCACAAACGTCTACCCAGCACCTAGCCACCCACCGAGCTCTTAGCGAAACCGAAAGCCCGCGACCGCTCGCCTTCACGGAGTACCAGGGGTACCGACCCTCCTTGGCCGCGGAGATCTTCTCAGAGCTCAAATCGGTGCCCAAGAGCCGCAGGTCTGACGCGAAAGACGAAACCGGACGTATCCGGAGTTGCGGAGCTCAAGGCTGGCCCGACCTCTCACCTCTTTGGTTGAGGGTTCCCATACTAAAATAGACAGAAACAAGTTGGTGCCCTTATTCTAACCTCTCTGCTGGAGAACCTAGTCAAGGACTTGGCTGTGGTGGTCAAAACTGTTTTGGGAGCCCATTTTAGGGCTTGTTCGGTGCACCACCCATGTCAGAGCCTATTTTAGTGGGGCCTATGTTCGTGGGGATTGGGATGTTCACTGGGGGCTAACCGATTTGGGTTTTGATGGCCACATGTCTGGCGGTCGAAGTTTGAGACTTCGGAAGTCTGTTGGACGTGGTAAAAAACCATGTGGCCCTTGAGTTGCGACTCTCGCTTTTTGAGGAAACCAAAGGGAAACGCATCTTTGGGACAACCTTCCGGTTGAGTTGCTGCTTTTGCGGATTTCGGACCCCGTTGGATTTTGCGGTTGCAAACCACTAGAATTGGAAAGGAAAGCCGCGATTTACAAACCAAATGGAAAATGGCTTCAAACGTCGAAGCGTGCAGCATCACGTTTTCCAGGGACCTGCTTTCCAGGTATGCAGACCACCCCAAAGATCCTCGGAAGAGCAAGGAGCCAAAACGGAGCAAAATCCGGGCGAAAGCTTTTCACCAGTTATTTTAACACAAGTTGCACACCCCGCCGTTTTTCGGCCTGCGTGGGGGAAAATGGCGGCCAGCACACGGTTCCAAATCATTCCTCGGACCGGTCGACCCCGCTTCTGCGGAGGCATGCCGTGCCTCGCCCGGCGTTTTTGGGATATGGCTGTGGCGGTCAAAAATGGAACTGTCCACCAACCACTTTTGAGGGAGTCCCCTATTTGAATTCATTTCCATATGGCTGTGGCTGTCTTAAAAATGCGGTAACCCCAAAATGGCGCTTGCGCCCTGATCAATGGAACCCAAGAAAACCTCAGTCTGGTGGCCCAGGTGCTTCAGCCATGAGAGCCGAACCCCGATGGTTTTTGTTAGCCCTCCCTCCCGTCCGTCCCTCCCCCCCTCCCCCCCGCTGCGGCTTTGTTTTGTGGCGGTTTGCGGTTGGCTTCGGGCTTCTCCTCACAAAGCAACCGGTAACCGGAAGGTAGTTCCTCATGCTTGGCCGCCACGTAACTTGGCTGGAATTAGGACCCCAGCGTAAAAATTGCTTTCTTGCCCGGTTAGAGGAAAACAAAGGTGACCCCAAAAAGGCAAAAAAGAAAGAAAGAGGGGAACCAATTATGGGAAGGTTTAATTGCGGGCTGTGCTAAGCATCCGCCACAGTCGTGACCACTTCCCTTTGACCAGCCTAGCCTTCAATCTGCGCCGCCAGCCCAAGATTGGCAAATCACCTCATAGGTCTAGATGGGAGAAAAAGTTTCGGGAAGAAACGTATGCTCCATGTGCTTGCCAAGATGCCAATGAAGTATACTTCCTCAGCATGGATGCACTCCCGGAGCCATCCAATTGTTCGTGGACTGAGACTGTCCAAAAAAAAAACAAGCACACGGAGAAACGCTAAAACAAAGAACTTGAAGAACAAAACAACCCTCCATACCTTTTTGTTTTCTTTGAGGCTGCGCCTGTTTCTCAGGCTGCTGAAACATCACAATTCGCGCAACGTCTGCGTCAATCACGTTGAACCCAGCATCTCATTTGGCCGCTGGGTCATGTGCGTGCTCGGCTCGCTGCACCCCTTCGAGTCCAAGGATCACGGCACGTGAAGACCAACTCACCAATTAACATGGAACCTGACGTTTGGGGTCACGTTAAAACGAAAACACATGTCAGGTTCCATGAGAATTGAAGAGGGAGGTTCACTATTTGGCCCCTATGCCCAACCGCCCCGAGCAGCTTGAACATAACAAATCAGTCATGGGAAACGAACCTGCAGCAGATCCCGAAACCCAGGTCAAACGGGCCGGGCGTTTGAAGGGAAGGCGTCCACTGAGTTTGTTTTGAACGGATGCATCATGTCGCAGTGGTTCTTCCCATCGACCTGGTCCAAAGAAAATAACATATGGATTCCAACAGATCCGGGCGCTTCGGATTACGTGGCCTCCTTGTAGGTTCACTCTCTGAGGGATTGAGATCTCGTCAGCTCGCGAAAACTCTGGATGCCTGAACTTGTCCCCTTCAGGAACGGAACGAGTAGAAAAACCTTGTGGGATGCGTGCCCCCGGTAGAAGAAGGGGCTCCAGCCCTTTTTGAAGTCCATCTTTTAGGGATGAAAACCAAGCAACTTTTAGGATTTTTAGGTGGGACTCCTAAGGAAAAGAACCAACATGGATGCGAAAAGCAAGCGCAACGTCTCCGCATTCCAAGTCTCCTCCCCTGAGGAGCAACCGCAACTCCAGCAGGAGATCGTCTCTCCGAGCCCTGGACAGGTCTGGAGATCTCCAGCATTCGACTGTGAACAAAAAGAGGCTACACCCACTCAAAACATTGCATGGAAAGGGAACATGTATGGAAAACTGTATGGAAAAGAGGCTACACCCAACTGGGAACATTGGAAAGGTTCTCCCTCGTACTCAGAAAGGGAACACGTATGGAAAATACTATGTACATCACTTCGCGGATTGCGATTGCCCAAAGGAGCACATGGACACACATTGTATGCGTCCCAGCTGAAAGGAAAGTTGTGGTTTGGCATAAGCGAGAAGAAAAGGGGGCAACAGCCTAGCTCAAGTTGTGGATGCACGCATTTGTGAGATGACCGCGATTCCTACAATTAGAAGTTGGCAGGAAGGCTTTGGAAGACTACCTTCGTTTAGGAAAAGCCCTCCGTCCCCTTCCATGATTGCTGGAAAGAGCGGCTTTCCTCCAAGCACCAGCTGGATAATCCCATTGACAGGACGTGGGTTGAGAGGTGTGTACTTTGCTATGGTTCACTTTCAATATTCCGGGAATCCGGCGTAGCACACCGCTCTCCCCGCTTCACAAAGTATGCTAAAGTATGCTAAACAGTTGCTTCATGCCCTTGGGAGAATCCGTAGTCCCAATCCTGCACGAGTGATTCAAGCAATTGACAAAACAAGAAGCAAACACCTCGTACCGACAAGGCTAAAGAATTCAGCAAGGCCGGACCAGTTCAGCTTTCCAAAAAAAGAGAGGCAAGACTAGCATCATCAAATGAGAAAGTGAAACAGCTAAGGGTCAATCTAGATGATGCCTACATGCTTCATTCCTACGTATCCAAGTGAAACGACACCTAAAGGATCATTCTACTCTGCTAAACACAACACGCATGAGGACTTCCTAGATTTTTCACCCAACCCCTGCTAGTCGTTGCGAAAGGCTCTGAAGTGGTGCGGGCGGCTGCCGCAGGATAGCAACACGACAAGCACAAAGTGAGCGTTCGCCAAAACCAGCAAGTCAGTTTCACAAGCCCCACGCATCTATGAATAAATCGTGAACCCTTCTGGGCTTATTTCATGTCAACTCTTCCTATAAGTGGATTGGCCAAGAAACAAACATAATTAACTAGGTCGATAGAATAGGGGTACCCTTTTTTTTCTGTAGTCTATTTTAGTAGGGGAACCCTCCCCCAAAAAAGGGTAAACGGGCACTACTGGGGGACCTAGTCAACCCACCACAAATGCGACGTCAGCCTTTACCGAAATACCCTCCTCCCATTTGCTCAAAACCAAAACTACAAGATCTATCAGCCATAGAGATTCCCCTCTCAAATCAAGAGGCAAGCATCATCACCTGAATGCAACCGGGTTTGTCTCACCTAAAATGCCTGGTGTCCCTTTGCCTTTCAAAGCAACCCAACAGGAACTCCGCAAAAGTTTTGCACCAATGGGTGAGTGGCATCTTCTTCATACCCTTTTGGCAGAGCGTTTAAAGGGACGCCAAAGAGAAAATGGGCTTGGTTGGGTCCCAATTTTGAAGACCCAATTTTCGCATCCCGAGCCGCTCACGGCGAGAAAGCCCTCCCTTCCATAAAACAGCCAACAGCCCAGGGAAGATGGCTCCCTCTTGAAAAGGCACGGCTGACTACAGAAAAGGAGTTCACCTCCAATGGAACAAAGCTTCAATCCAGCCTTCCCCGTGTTTTTCTTCTCCCCTTTTAAGGCCACCGGAAATCCGACCCACCCCTCCACCCGAAGCGATCCGCGCCTCGCCGCGCCGCCCGCTGCGCGGAGCCCCAGAGCACCACGTCCGCCACCGCGATCCAGGCCTCGGGTTGACGGCCCCGAAGTTTTTTCCCCCGCTCCGTTTCGCCCCGACCTGGGCATGGCTCGAAAAACCGGAATTCCAAAATAAACCAAAATGGGTTGCCCTGGTAAGTGGAAACATGGACCAAACCTTTGGTTCGGTTAGGTTTAGGCTTGGTTTCCCCGAAGCCTTCGCAAGCCTTTCAGGTCTGAATCGAGTGACCAAATCATATTGTGGATGCCAACCTAAGGAGAACTTGTGGATGACAGTTTTCCCCGATCCGTTTCCCAAATTTGTTGTTTCCCCGTCCTGTGGATGGACGCGAAATCCAGACATCCCCAAAATTGGTGTGCCTTTTGTGGGCTGGATCCTCCGAAATTGTGATTTTCCTTTTGGTTTCCCCTGAAAACGAACCAAAAGAGTCCCAAAAAAGTCAGACCCATACTGTGGATGGTTGCGAAATCCAGAAATCGCACCACCTAAATGATTCCCCTGGAATGATTCGATTCCCCAACGTAAGTTTCCAAGAAACAATAGGTTTCAACCATGGTTTCGAAGTTTTCCCCGCAGTTGGTAACAGAAGACGACCCTGAAACAAAGCCGCTAATTTCTACAGGGAGGCCCCTCCCTGAAAGAAGAGAAATCCCAACTAAAACCAGAATCCTCCCCTATTAAAAAAAAGAGAGAGAAAAAACGGCTAGGTCCGCCAGTAGAGAGGTTCCAACAAGTTGGTAGCGTTTCTTTTTTCTGTGGTCTGTTTTAGGGGAACCCTTCCAACCAAAGAAGGGGTGAGAGGTCGGGCGCCAAGAGGGACATGCTCCGCGAGGTTTGGAGCAAAATCTATCCGCAAAAAGGGCTCTGTGCAGGGATCCTTACAATAGAAACACCTGAACATTGCCTTGTAAATGGTGGTTTCCATTTCTTTATTTTGGTGCTGAAAAAGCAACATGTTTCAAATGGGCAAAATGTATCTTTTAAGCAGCCCTGCTGTAAGCCACGATTTTGGGAGAAATCGTCTCAAAGTTAGAGAAAGAGAAGTTCGAGGCTCGGATGAAATTCATCGCGCCGAGGCGCTGAGGCATCGCGGTTGAAGCGCGAGAACCGCTGGAAGGCAGGCCTCAGTGCGAGAAGGGGATCCTTTGGATCCCTTGCTAGAACCGCCGGACTGGATATGTCATCATAAATTTCGGACGTGTGCCCGGGAATCGCCGAGTTTGAAATTGGGAATCAATCAGCATCAGCAATCCGTGGGCAAGGATGAAATAGTCAGGACTGAGGTTGAACAACAACCAGCTTTCTGTGATACCATGATGAATTCATTCCCGTTTTCGCGACTACTTTGCCATGTTCAAGGGGATTATCGCGACTCAAACTCAACCCTGGACGTGTCGGTGGACACATGCACGCCATATATATATATATATATGGTTTGTCTCTGTTTTCTGTTGAGGCTTGGTACCCTTGTCACATGTTGGGAACAGCCTTTCCTTTGCGCCACAATCACATATATGTTCTCTGCAAACTTGCACTAGCCATTGTCTCACTCCTCTGGGCAGGCATGGGACTTTATGCATGGCAAAGCGCCCGTTGATTCCTTGGGTTAGATCCCCGACTTATTAATATGTTTGGAAGAAAAGGGCAACACCAGCGCTGCCAAGACAATCATCCGAGCAAAAGGGAGCCTCTGAATTAGTCAAGCCCAGGTGGGGCATATGTCACGGCTAAACTCCTGGGTCACCCATCTGACCGGATTGGAGGGCGAAACAAATTGGTTCATGTCCAGGCAAAGGAAAAACCGGAGAACACTTTCGACCCAAGGTGTTGACTCTCCTCGTTGGCCTTTTTGGAGCCTTCCCCAAGCTGCCGGCTCGCGAGGCGAGCAAGTTCGATCCGGGAAGGACTCGGAATGAGCCCCTCACCTTTTCCATCTTGAGGTTCAAAGGAAAGGTTCATGTCCAAAACCGATTCCATACACATCGAAACGCATCGAGCCCGCAAAATGGCAGCCTCAGCATAGGGTCGGGCTCCAATGTGGAACAAGGAGACTTTTTATGACACGCGAGCAGCGAAGTTGACCTCTCAAATCCAAACCCCTCAACTTCCTAAACATGATTCCGAGGGCCCTCACATGACCGCTGAACAAGGCGTGGACATAAAGGCGGAAGATACGGAGTCCATGTAAGCAGAAATTGGTCCTGGCCTCAAACACACCCACCCAAAAACTCCACCCAACCACCCACCCACCACCCACGCCACAAAAAAAAAAAAACAAAAACAGAAAACCCTTCAACTCACCACCCCACCACAAACCCCTTCAACCTTTCAACTCGACACACAGCGGTCCCGCGCAACACACCTCCGACCCGCACAAGAAAAACCCTCCGCGCGGATCGGCGCCCGCCACCGGGGACTTTTCTCGGTGCACGCCCAGCGTCGAGCTGGGTGCCTCCATGGCGTCATGAAGGACTCCAAGGCGAAAAAAGATCGCGGCCAACAGCCGAAAAGAAAAACAAAAACCACGGAAGACGTGCGTTTTTTTAAACACCCGGCCAAGTGCAGCATTTTTTTTACACCCAAGTGCAGCATTTTGTTATGTTTCTTGTTTTTGTCGGAAAAGGTATGTTTTTGTTTTTGGGAGTTTGAAGCAACGACTCTGGGAATCCGGAAGCCAAGTTCAGGCTCAATCTGGCTTGGTTGCAACCAAATAACTGTAGAGTGTGAAAGATTGGAAGGAGATTGTGCAGCACAGCAGCAAGAAAATAGCATGCTAACCGGTGTTTGCACTGCGCATCTAAACAGTGGCCAAAACAAAGACATTGCAGCGTTGCTGCGGCTTCTCCATTTCTGAAGTGAAGGTTGGATCTGTTAGTCTATGCACTGATGCCCAGTTTGGCAAATCTATAGCCGCAAACACCGATTCCTTCATTGGGCGCTGTGCGGATTTTGCGCGGAGACCGCGCGAAGACCAAGCGCGGTCGTCGCCTCCGCCCCTGCCAAAGGGCCAGGGGCTACCCAGGATCTTTGCCGGGCTCGGGCCAAGCCGGCGTCGGCAAAGGGCGCGTTTGCGGGGGGCGAAAAGGTGGTTTTTGATTTTTTGTGAAATCTCAGTCAACTGCAAAAACACATTTGCTATATCTGTAGTCATGACAACTTCCGGTTGCTGAGGTTTTGACCAAAATCACACCCCACCAAACAGCTAAGGCGGTCGGGGGGGGGGGGACGGGGGGATTGGCAGGGCAAGGAATGCAATTGGACCCGCTACCAACTTACCCCCAACCGGGCCCATTAGCTGTCGCTACCTTTCAGCACTTTAGGGCACCAATGTTGGGTGGTCTTCGTGGCAAAACAACAGAGACAATTAATCTACTTATTCCTATATTTCATTTATTTATTTATTTATTTATCAATGCTTGTTCATGTGGGGGTGTCTTCTTTAGGGAACCCCCGCAGAAAAGGTCTGTTTCTTGCAGGAAACCAACAGGAACACTGCTTTTGCGCACCTGGACAAAGGCAACCACGGCCATGTCTTCCCAACGGCTTCCTTCGGGCCGTGGCCGCCGACTTTTTCGACCGCTACGCCGCGGCATGGAGCTGCTCCGGTGAGATCCGGTATCCCGCGCCCTCCACCTAAGATCAGCCCTCGTTGTTTGGTTTTGATTGGTTTGGTGGTTCAGGTGTTTCGTCCACCCTCTACAAGAACCAAGGGTTCAAATCCAAATCCAAACCAATCCAAGCCGCCAATCAGGGGTTACCCTCACTCCCACCAATACTGTACGGACAGTGACGACCGCAACGCTACCAGCCTTGCATGATGGCCGTGCCACAGATCAGTTGGACGCTTCTAGGTTGATTTCATGTTGGCGAAAGCTGTTTGTTCCTCTGAAAGTTACCCCCTAGCAGGTGCCGTAAGACATATGAAAACGATCTCTATGGTCATCTCACTGGGATCTATGGTAAGTTGATCCTCTGTATCACTAGGTGACCTTTAACAAAGGGCATTATTGAGGCCCTCTTCATGCTCACTTGCGGAGCGGTTTTGGTTGCCTTTCCAGCTGAAACAGCCCCCTTCTCACTGATGGCATGATCTTCACCGGCCCGTGCGACAAGCTCTGATGGTGAAGGTCAAATTGCGCAAGCAAGCATGGGAAAGTGGGTTCAACTCGTTTTCATGGTTTTCAACTAGCACTAAGCGATCCAGCTCTTTGTGCTTCCTTTGGTTTTTGGCTTTCAGCCAAACACAGCATGGGTCATGGGACGCACGTGAAAGTGGCACCGGCTGCAACCGTCCGCTACGTCCACTCCCACAGTCTGAACATTCTGCAACTCTTGTCAGACTTCTGATACACGTGTATAGTCGTTGAACCTAGGGCTCCTTTGGCTCTTCGCTTCCGAATGCCGCCCAGTGTCCTCGTTTGCCCCCCCCTTCCCCCCGGCGCTTGGGCCAAAGTGGCAGATTTACGCTCCACATCCTTGGCCCGGACGTGGCTCAGAGCGGCTAGCTGCCAGTGGAAGGAAGAAAAACACGAACACAATCCCTTGTCCTGCATTCTCTTTGTTCATTCAATCCATTAATCTCTCGGAGCCAAGACAGCCGACACCCAATTGTCTAGTGCATTCCCATGGGAAAGAAGGCTTGTTCTTCTTGCCTTTAAAGCCTGGGAACCCCAGAAGGGAACCCTACCTTTGACAAGACAAAGGGGCAGGGCTCTTACACAAAGCATGCTATTTAGACAACACTTGGGGTTTTATGCACATAGGGAGCTGGTCTGGTTGCAACGGAATGGGCTCAACACCCTCTTCGACATTGACAAATTGACCAAACATGGGTCCCGCGGAACTTGACATGTGGGTGCCGCCTCAATAGGGAAGCCCGTGGTTGCTTCATTGCGGCCCTTCAACTCCGGCCATGAGAAACACCTTCCAAAGAGTCTGACTGGGGTGGCTTTGCTGGAACGGGTACACTTTTCAGGTTTGTGGAACCCAACAGGCTGCAGCCGGAATTTAATTTCTTTGGGTGATACATTTGTGGTGAACGGTGTAGAGGGGCGAGACCCAAGCCGAGCCGCCCTCTTCAGCGGCTTGCGCATATCGAAGGCGTCCTCGTGACCAGAGTAGTAGCCAGTCACGGTGCCTCACATGGGAAGCCATACGGGCCACGGAAGACGTGGAACCTTCTTCTCTAAGGAACTCAAGTGGGAAAGGGTGGACCCCTAAAGGTCTTTAGGGTCTTCACTTGTCTGGGTCCTCCAGTAGAGAGGTTAAAATAAGGGTACCAACCTTTTTCGGTAGTCTATTCTAGGTAGGGGAACCCTCCCCCAAAAAAGGGCAAAAGGGCACCGCCGGGGGACCTAGTTAAGTAACTCAAGTGGGAAGAGTGCAACCCGTAAGGTCATGGCTTTTGAAGGCATGGGGAGGGTTCTAGGCAACGCTTGTCTCACGTTGCGATTGATTTATTCGCAATATCTTGCGATATTTTTGCGAGGCGACCGAAGCTCACATGCGGCGGGGTGACGGCAATACATGTCACGTTCGATTCGATGACATGTTGTGCCGCGTTGGCTTTTCATCAGGTAACACAAACTGCAGCTGCGTCCCGCAAACCGTCGCAAACACCCACATCTAGTGGCAAAGACGGGCTCCGCCATGCGAAGCTGCGGCAAGGGACAAGATGGGACAAGGGCCCCGCGCACCTGGGTTGTGTACGGGTGCCTGCATGGGATGGAAGGCGCTTGTCACCTTCCCGCGCATCGGTGGCCTTTTGGCAAAATAGATGGCCGTAAGCCAGCGCCATCTATGTTTCATCAAACTCAAACTAGAAAGGACACCTATGTTCCCACGTGACTTGAGTATCCAGAACAATGTTGCCAAACCACAGCTCCAACAACGAGCACCGTATTCGCAAACAGCCAACACCAGAGACCAACCACGTGGTTTTGTCCCTTCCATACATTTGTTTCCCCACCCTCAAAATGAAGCTCAGATGCCCAGTGGCCAGGGGAAAAACAGGCATCCCCTGTCGGTTGGTTGAGTTTAAAGGGAACCCTTCCCAAGAAGAAGGACAAAGAATTGGCACCACTGAGCAACTGGGGAAGGGGATCTCAGCGTGGGATTCGTGCGGCTAGGCAGCGGTACACGACGTAGCCCAGGCCCTCATAGAATTTGATGGCCGCCAAGTTGGTGGGCCGCACGAAGAGATCTACGAAGTAGCAGTCGTGCATCTCCTGGCTCACCTTGCTGCTCAATTCCAGGCGTGTACATACTCCTTTTACATACCCCTTGGACAAATGAACCCAAAAGGCCTGCTGATGTTCATACCCCTCTCCCCGAAAAGGGTATATACCCCTGATACAGTGGGTTGGAAACCACGCAAGCCAAGGGGCATGAACAAGGGGTATGTACTGCTACCCTTTGATCAACGCACGCGTGGACATGAAGTTGGTTCCACAGAAGGTCGCTTGGCTATGACTGTATTTAGGCTGAACACCCAATGCCACCCCAGCAAGACAATGCGGCTTGTTACTTTAGTGGTTGGCAGACATAGATCCCAATCTAAATGATATTTTCCAAGGGTCTTCAATCAAAATTCATGCCCATGCTTGTGGCTTCTTGCACCTCTTGGATCTTCTTTCCGTTGACTTCAGAGGAACCACTTTGCCGTCGCCAGTATCAAGCTTCCATGATCCAGGCTCGGAATCAGTCCCGAGGAATCGTGGACGCTGAAGGTCAACCTAGAGGTCCTTATGTCACTTGCCAGGGGCCTAAAACAGTCGGTGCAGGGCCGCCCGAAAACCACCGGTAAATCTGTTCAACCCATTGTGCGCGTTGGAATCAGCTCGCCAAGCCAGTCAGAATTCGAGACTAGCGGGGATGCAAGCGAAAAAACATGGATCCTGGAAGGATACACCCAAAAACCAGCGGATGTTTCAATGGCACGAATATCTACGATGGTTCCCACTAACCACCCGCAGGGGCAAAATGGGTGTGTCTTTGTCTGGGGACCTCCAGCATGGTAAAGTAAAAGTAACCGCCCCGAACCCCTTTCAGGGATAAAACTAAACCGCCCCGAATCCCGAAAGGGATAGCTTCAAAATAACACGCCCAAATGGGATCTATGTTCATATAGTTGTCTATGGCGGGTCTCCCACCTCCTCGAGGTACTCCATCAGGCGGTTGGCCACCCCGGTTCGGCGGAACTCCGGTGCGACGGAGATGGCTGAGACGTGGCCGTGCCACCTGGGCTCAGATGCGGCCATGCGGGACGCCATGGTTGTTCCCCCTCCAGATACCCGCTTTTTTTAAGGCATTTTTTTGCAAAAACCGGGGGTTCCACGGTAAATACCTCCTTTTTTAGTAGAGGGTCGGCATCATACCCTAAACAAAAGGTGCATTTGGAGTAGGGGGTTGTAGGATGGGACCCAACCTCAAAAACAAACCTCCGATTCCGGTTTCTGAAAGCTAGGGGGGGGGGCGCAAACAATTCAGCAGCACCGTTTCAAGACAAGCATAGGAGATACCGAATCGCGTCCTTGTGTGTGGGCTATCTGAATTCGCTTCCACAGACCAACTCGCCATGACTGGAGTTCTCCAAATCAAAAGTTGATCGATCCTTACATGATACACCTGAACATTGCCTTGTAAATTGTGGTTTCCATTTCTTTATTTTGGTGTTGAAAAAGCAACATGTTTCAAATGGTTGCAACATTTCTATCTTTTAAGGAGCCCTGTTGAATTCTATCGCATTGGCTTTCAGGTATTGCCTGGGTTTGGCTGTAACAGCGCCGCCCAAAAAGAACGCCAGCTCGGCCAGCAGCGGGGGTCCGGGGGTCCTCTGAGCGCATAGGTTTCATGTGCCTGTGGGTCAAAAATATGGAAACCTCAAAATGGCTTGCCCTGGTAAATGGAAACTTGGACTACAACCTGCCGTCCAAATCCTGGTGGTTTAATTTTGACCCACACCCATGTGTGGAGTGAAAAAGACACTTGAGATGACAAGTCCACTGACGGCTTTGCCACCATCGGGAAATGAAAGCGAAATCAGTGCGAGTCAGCGAACCACGAACTATTGACGTCTCTCTTTGTTTGCAAGCAATCTACGAGGATAAGCCAAGTTTCAGATTGGTGTGTTTTCCCTTCTGCTCATCCAGGTCGATTTCCAGCGCGTTTGGTTGATGGCAATTACACGTGGCTTCTTGAATCAGCACCACCCAAAAGGGTTGTCTACACTGTGACCCTAGATCAGAGCCCTAAACCGTGTCGATGGACTTGCTTGTCGATGTCCATTCCTTATCACCTCTTGTGAGCTCCAAATGCGCTTCAAAAGAGTCCTTCTTCCACAAAAACCGCGCAACTCCGCGCGGAAAAGCAAAACCTTGACCCAATCCATGGGTGCGGTTTTGCCGATTCGTGGATGCACTAGACAAACTCGCCGGGAGAGGTAGATCCTCCAGGGCTCGACAATCTGCAAGTCTCAACTTTCGCTGGCCGAAAGAGCATTCAACCCCCCCCCCCCCCCCGCCCCCAATCCGATTGCCCGCCTGCGATTGGAGCAGGCCCACGCCCCAGCGGCTGCGTGTACTCGAGATACTTGTCAATACAAACAAGCACATCGGACATTCAATGTCTGTCAATTAATTCCAGGAGGGCGTGTATCCAATCGTATCATCGAACAAAAAGAGCTATCTCAACCTTTCTCCACTCCGTGGCCCAGTTTGCGGGGAAAAAACTTCTGACCAAACAACATGCGTTTCTCCATGTTCCCTGCAATCTTAGCTGAAGCTGCCTCTGATCGGCAAATTACTCACTTGGGTGAAAGGTATCAGCGGTTGACTCATTCAGCCGCTTCTCATTCTCCTGACTTTGAGCTAAACAAAGTGCTTTGCCCCTGCTTCCATCGAAGAAGAGCCGTGGTTTGGCCCCCGAGTCACGAGAGAACTCGCTTCTGGAGTGGCTTGGCGTATACACATATATATATATATATATTTCTATATATACGTATAAATGCATGGGCCACACAGTCATTGTACCGAATACCTGGCTTGTCTGGAGATGGGATCCCAATGATTCGCTCTCCATGACCAGGCGCAAAATAAGGGACAAACGCGTCATGTATATGAACTGGAATAGCCGGACAGTCAACAGGCAATGCATCTACCAATGGTTTGAGCACATTGTGCAACCACCATTGTGTCAAATGACTCTGATGCAAAGCATCTACGTACATGAAACCCCAACGGCGAGGCTGGTATGTGGACTGGACGTTTCCCAATACAAACGTCCATCGGGCAGTGAGCTTTTGCAAAGGGAGCTGTGTGCTCCATATCAAATGAGAACAAATGGCCAATCGCGACCACAGCGGAGTCAACTGCGGAGCAAGCTTGGTAACTTCTTCCCCTCTTCCCAGCAGCAGGAGCAGCAGCACCGCCATGACCGCCACCACCACCACCAGCAGCACTAGCTGTAGAACCAGCAGCAGCAGTAGCACCAGCAGCACCACAAGCGTCGCTGACAGTCTCGAAGGGTGCGGTTTGAGAAAGCTGCGAAAACATCATTCGCGGAAGGGCCACAGAAGGGCACAGCCTGGCGCGGACGGCTCGCCAATCGCCGACCAATTGCCGCACAATCGCGGGCCTCGCCTTTCGCGGCCCAATCCCCGGCCTTTCGCGATGCAGGTTTTACCAATCGCGAAGAAGTCACAAGATACCCGGATACATATATTTAAGACACGCATTTGCGGACGGCTTTCAAAGATCCATGGAGTCCATGGTCATTGTCAAGCAATCCAAGCATAATTGCCATGCTGCTCGAAGCGAATGCGGGACCAAGTTCGAAACTTTGGTGGGTCGGTTCTCTCTGACTGTCAAGTACGACATTCTGTTTCCAGAATGCACATTGGGGCGTGGCAGGCCATGTCTGATTTGTCAATGCTCTGACAATCAGCCATGTACTCGTGTAACCGCAGCAAAACCTGCCTTGCGCGTTTCAATTGACTCCTGCACTTTCACATGGTGCCCTTGACTAAAAAACTGGAACACGTCAAGAGCCAGGCGAAGGGGAAGTAGCCATCGCGGTTGCACACGGTTGCCGATTGCGACTTGACATCTGCAGCTTGGACCACAAAACCTTGTGCCGGGCTCTGACGCAAGAATATGAGGGTCAAGCCGCATCCAAATACTCCGAACGCTTCCCGCTTGCCGTGTCACAGTCATACGGGGCCTAACACCGCAGCAGCCTTCTGGCTGCACTCTCTGATGCACTCCAGCCAAATAATAATCTCCCAACAAAACAAGCAAACTGCAAAAACACACGAAAGACATGGCTTTATGGAACATGTTCCTTTGAAACTCCGGGCTGAAGCCCGGCAAACGAGTGCTGGCAAATAGACGACTCGAACTGTTTCTGCAATTGTTGGTTTCATGGGTTGTTTAACGCTGCCCAATGCAGTAGTATCAATTTGAAAACTCAACTGATTGAGAATACACACCATAATCTTGTTAAAACTAATAATAATAATAATAATAAGATTGCCCCCAAAATCATGTTGCACGCCCCACCATCGTCAAGTCCAGGAACTCGGGGAGTGAGAGATGGACATGGGTCAAAATCCCGTACCCCCAGTGAACATCCCAATTCGCACTAAAATAGACCAAAATGGGAGGCGCACCTACCCCAAAATGGTACCATTGGTTTTGACCCACAGCCAGATCGACATGTCGAGGATTGTGGCCAAAAGTCTCCGAAGGAACTTTCCTCTTGAACAGCGAAGGGCAAAAACTCGGTTGCCTTCTGCTCCCCTGCTAACGGCTTAACTTTTAGTGGTTTAATGGAAAACCCATTAGTTGGCAACAAGTTAAAGTCCTGACATCCAATCAAAATGCACCAAAGAGAGGGCGCTGAAGGTCTGTCGCACCGATCGCACCGAGTGGCTCGGTCTTTGCACCCTCCACTTTGCCGATGATGTAACCGGCAATGCTTCCATCCGCTGCCTCTGCGACCTCGGGAACTGTTCAGCTTGCTTCCAAAGGCTTCTTGGACAGCAGACTCAGATGCCCGGTGGATTTCCATGGGAAAAAAACAGGCATCCTTTCTTGAAAAGGTTCAGTTTCAAGGGGAAGCCTTCCCAAAAAGAAGGAAAAAAGGGCGCCACGACATAACTGCAGTCAGGGTGGTTGACAATGTTCAGGCTTAGCTCGGTGATCAACCTGATGCCCTGTCCAATGCCCCGAAAAAAGCGGAACCCGAAATCAGGGAACTGGGAGGCACTTACATGCTAATGGCTGTCTACGCGCTGCTTTGAGGAGGGATCTGAAACGCAAGGACCCGTGAAAAAGGACCGAATGATCTTGGGACCCCAAATCCGTCACAAACCCAAACCCTGTGTGAGGGTGACATGACTTACATCTGGAGCTATGCAAGCGCTAAGCACCAACCATTCCTTTGAATGCATTCTCAAGCCTAAGCCCCCATGGGTTGGCTTCAAAGTTGGGGATTCGGCTTCCAACCAAAGAAAGGTAACAAAGCGCTGCGATGTGCGCCAAGACTGGTGCTCCCCGCCCCAAAAATTATTGCGGGCGAAGAGGCCACGCAGCACTCGGGCCAACGCGTGAGGTAGCTGAAGTAGAAGTTCATATTGAAGGTCTCCGTCCACGGATCTAAATTCACCGCCTCATTTCGGGTATCGAAGGCGAGATTTTCGGGTGTGACTCTCGGGAGCCCATAACTTTTGGAGATGTTTTGGGAAACCAAAGGGAAAGGACACCCATTTTGGAGGGCTCCCCTCATGAGTATTGGACAAAAGGACACCAACCACCTAAAATCTAGGTGTCCCCTATTTTGGGGCCACACATATCCCGACTTGCCCCCTCCCCCTGCAGCGTTTCTTTGGTATACGAACCTGCACCCTGGCCCCTCGTCCTATTCGATTTTAGGCTGGCCTTATTTTTTGCCAGTGAGCAAGTGAATAAGTGAGAAATGAGATGATCCCATGGAATTTCCATCCCTGGTGATTTGATTGAAAGGCGTTGAATCATTGAATCCCACCCCTGAATTCCTTACTGAGAACCAGCAAACGAAAGCTGCAAAAGAGCACTGTGACTCTCAGGTACTGCGCCAAAGCTCGTGCTGCTCTGTTTGTGGCAGCTTCACCGATTGAGTGCAACCGATTTTCGTTTGTTTAACAAGAGCTGACCAAAAACAGACTCAGTCCTGCCAGAGCTGACCAAAACAGACTCAGTCCTGCCAGAAACCCTAAATGTGACCTGGGAATGAATCATGAATCATGCGACATCTTAGTGCAATCAAAAACACGTGGTTCTTATACACGTCTCTAAGATCACTGAGAAACACACACACACAATCCCCCCCCCCCCGCCCCCGCCAAATGCCCGTTGCACCACAGCCCCTGTTTAAGTGACCCGCTGAGTTGACTTTTGAACCTGAAAAAAACATGGCAAAGAACTCTTTCAACTTTCTCTTTGGGGCTGAACAAAGTGTCCCTTCAAGACCAGGGTCCGTGGTTTCCAGGTTGGCCCAAATGCTGTTGAAACACAACAGCTTTCACGGCTCGAAGGCGCATTGAAGTGCAGCAAGTCATCCACCATCATCGGCCGAAGGCTCGACATCGCACGGAAGCCGTTCCGCCGAAAACTCCCCCGAAAACGCGAGGCGGGGCCCAGGGGTCGCCCTGTCCTCTTGGACTTTGTGTTGCATTCAAATGTCACGCTTTCAGTAGCGCGTTGTGTCGAACCCTTACGTGCAAATGGATGCCCTTGCGCCCGCTCTTCAGCTTCCCCAACATGTTGGAGTATGGTCCATGTTTAGCGGCTGTTCAAATAAGGAGTAACACATACAAGAAACAACAAGGAACATCCGAGTGATGTTTGATTTCGGCCTCCATGAAACCAACCCCCCAAGTCTCACACGGGTAGCCGCGAAGCTGCAGGCGTGCAAAAGACTGCTGCCAGAACGACTGGGCAGTGCCCAAAACGAGGTGCCTTAAAGACATCCACACCACCATCTTAAATACAAGGGTTCCACCAACCCTGCCCAAATGCTCTTTAGCCAAATGCGATGTGCTAAAAGCAGCACATCCCCCCTTTCGAAGCAAAGAAAAGAAGAGCCAACAGCACCAAGAACGGCGAAATCCCCTTTTCTCCTCTCTGAAAATCTGGTTTCTCCCGGGCCGCGGCCTTTTCGCGCTCCATCCGGCAACCACGCGGGCACTGCCGAAGGCGATCTCCATGGGGGCTGTGCACAGCGACCAAACTGCTCCGTTGGAGTTTGGTGGGCAAACTTCCCATACCCCCTACTCAAAACACCCGCTTTTTTCAGGGTATTTTTGGGAAAACCGGGTTTTCCATGGTAAAAAGAACCTGCTTTTTTGGTAGAGGGCCGACATGATACCCTGAAAAAAGTGAGGTTTTGCAGTAGGGGGTACTTGTCCACACCCTTCGCTCAGGAAACCCGCAGTTGCAGTCGGAGATGTTCGGAGATGCGAGCTGCGCCATCTGCTCGATCTGAGGTGCCTCGAGGGAAGCGCCGGTGTGATGCAAATGTTTCTGGGCAAGCGAAAGGGGGGTGCACGACCTCACCCATCATGAACGTTCTTCTCACAACGATGACTGGTTGATGAAATTCACTTTTCACTCAAACGCGGGAGACTGTAGGCTCAGAGACGGGCTTGCAGGAAAGGGACGCCGACCGACTCTTTCGAACCTCCAGCTGCGGGAGTGCTGTTGGCATCTTGTGTGCTCAAAAATTGAGAACTTTCGAAACAATGCGAAGGGTTCTGTCTTTGTAAACGGCGTGTGCCACATCTTGCATCCCACATCTTGTCCCACGTCTTGCTCTCCTCATCTGCATGCGACACACATTCGTCGACTATGTCGACTCTTTAAACTCTCACGGCGCTCGGGTGGGGGACCTTCTACACGTGCGGGTCGAGACGCTCCTGCTGTGGTCCCATGCGAATTTGCGTGATTGCTACAACAACCCTCCGTGGGATCGCATGAGTCGAAGCTTTGTTGTTACACCGCGGCGCCTAGCAAACGGGTTTCCCATACTGGTGATTTACACGCCTGAATTGAGGACTGCGCAAAGAGACTTCATGGATCTCGCCCAAGCTCGTCGAAATTGGTCGTAGCACGTCGCAATTGGTCCATGTCCAACGTTGCACAGGAAGGCAGAGAATGGACCGAAGTCTGTGCACCCCTGGGCTGGTGTGTGCCCATCGTGCACCCATTGGCATTTTGGGGCGTACCGAGCCAGCATTACGTATAATTGAGCTCGTACAGGGGGTTGCTTTAAAGAGACACGCTGGAACAGGAAGCCACAGGAAACCAACCCATTTCTCGGAGGCTTGAAATAAGATGGGTCGCACATGCCTCAGCAAATGCCTCACTGCGCATGCCGCATGGCTTGGTGTGTCTTGACCGTGGACTCGCATGGTTGGATCCTCGAAGGATTGCCCGAGGACCTGGTGCATATTTAGTGATGAAATAATTGCAAACAAGATCGTGGAGTGGAATGCACAAACACTCCCCGGCCACGACAAAGGTTCTTTCAGGCAGTGTGCGCTTTTGCAGTGGAGACTGCAGAGCAAATGAGCACCTTTCACCGGCTTCTTGAGAAGCTGACCCCGATTGCCCAGTGACCCGAGAAGTAGGAAAAAGAATCGGAACAGCATTTTTACGATTAAGTGTTGGGCTTGATCCCTGTAAAAGGGAGCCCACCAACTGGGTAGCCCCATGTCGAATGGAAAGCTGCGGGTTTCGTGCGCCTCCTTGTTGGTCACGTCGGACGTGCTGACCGCGAATCGCCCTTCGTCGCATAGGGTGGCCTGCTGCATGTCACAGAAACCCTCCCAATGCCCTCAGCAAGGTGGTTGCCTGTGCCCACATATAGGCCAACAACAGGGGGGGTTGCCAGAAAATCCGGCAGGGTCGGAGAATTATAGTTTGAAGCATGCTTCTTACCCCCTTCTCTCTCTCTCTGCCTCTCTCTCTCGCTCTCTCTATATATACCTTTCCCTTTCTCTTTCTGTTTTTCTTTCCGTTTCTCTTTCTCTTTCCCTTTCTCTTTCTCTCTCGCTCTCTGTTGCTCTCTTTATCTTTCTCTTTCTCTTGATGTTTCTCTTTATCCTTATCCTTTTACGTCTCTTCTTCGTATCTGTCTCTGTTTCGTTGATCTTTGTCTTCTTGTTTCTCTTTCTCTCTTTCTCGCTTTCTCTCTTTTCTCTGTCGTTCGGTCTTTCTGTGTTTCGCTTTCTCTCTTTCTTTCTCTTTATTTTTCTCATTCTCTCTCTGCGAGCTGAAAACCGCAGAAAACCGCACATTTCTGCTGCCAGTCCCTCCTACAAGCATCAATGCACATGGGTTGTTTGGAGAGGGGTGGCTGCACAATGTCAGCAGGTCACTTGCGTTGTCCCGCCGCTGGGTCAACTGCACGAAGGTAGCATGTTTGGGTCCCCCACCAACCAAGTTGCTTCTGTCATGCTTAGAAAGTGTCAGAATCATGGATAACTTGTGGGATCAGTGTTTCTGAGTTTGAATGGAGTGAACCGGCAACTAGACTAGCAAAAAGGCAACCAGTGTCTGCAGCAAGCTACCGTTTTCGACACATGACGGGCGTCAATCTGTCTTTGAGCTAAGGGTGGTCTGGGGTGTGTGTGGAGCTGGTTGGTATGGGGTTTGCTTTGGGTTAGTTTACTGCTAGGGACGCCGCAGTGCTGGTTTAGCGTGGGTTTGGGGTTGGTATAGAGTTTGCTTAGGCTTCGTTTGGTGTAGCCAGGGCTTTAGGTGGGTTTAGGGTTGGCTTAGGGTTTGCTGGTTGGTTTCGGGTTGGTTTAGGGTTTGTTTAGGGCTGTCTTAGGATGGGTTAGAGTTTGTTTAGGGTGGACTTAAGGTTTCTTAAGGGCTCCTTGACGGGCTATGGGTGGGATCAGGGTGTGTTTTAGGTTGGTGGGTTCAGGTTTGGTTTAAGGTTGGCTCAGTTGGCTTCGAGCAGGTCTCGTGGGGGCTTCGGGTGGGTTTTCATGGGGTTGGTTTAAGGCCGGCTTTAGGGTCAGAAGAGGCCAACAAAAGCCACCAACACCCGCAACTAGCTGCCGAAAAAGTGAATTGAGGGTGGGCGTTGTCAGGGTTGGGAGTGCAACAAGAAAGTCATCCCGGAGAAATGCAACAACCAATGCCAGAAAAAAAGGCTCTCCAAGGAACGTAATATAACCCATTGATTTGAAATAATCACCAACCCCTCGATGTCCCACCAAGCAACCGAGAGCAGCGCCTTAAACTTGCCCAAAACTCGAATCGTTAAACCTAAAAAAACTTGTCATCCAAACAATGACCATAAACCTCCGTGTGCTTAAGCCCCCCCGGAAAAATGAGAACATGTTTCCAGTCGCGAAATTGATTCCCTTTACATCGAAAAGGCGAACGTAAATTCGCCTCGCCCCAAGGGGGCCAAGGGTCTCTTTTCCCCAAGATTAGTCTTTTTGTCCGAGAAGCATGACCTCGTGCTGGCCAGCCAGGCCTGTCTGACGTGTCTGAGACTTGCCTCACAGCCCAACCAGCAACCCACGCAAGCAAGGGACGCGTCAGACCAAACCAGCCCAACAGCCCAACCAACCGTCCAAGCAAGGCTCAGCCCATCCCAGACCCTCCACCAACCAACCCAAGCAAGCCCGCCCTGTCTGCTGGCTCCATGACTCACTCCTGGTCCTGTGCATCGCCTTGCCCTTGCCTCGGGGATTCCTGCGGGCCCATGACATCAATTGGTACAACGACGCCAGAACCTGTCCATGCCTGAATCGCCACTTGACCAGCTCTGCTGCTTGCAGTCGAACCACAGACTCTGCGCGCTCGGCTGGGCCGAGGCGGGCAACGCGCAGCGTTTACAATTACATCTTCACTTGATCATTTTAAACGAAGCTAAAATCCATCATATGAGAGGAAAAAACACGCTGCTCATTTCAGCCAGTGGAAGTAGCACCCCAACGCCAGAAGTGGACCCCACCTTCGTGTGTCGCTTCTCCGGATCGTCGGATCGCCGAGAAGCGAGTCTCAGGTCCTCAGAGCGTTCGTTGCAAGCTCAGTCGTGGGGGCTCCGGGCTGAGGTTGGCCCCTTGAAGCACTTCAAAATGAAGAATCCAAACAACACCTCCATTTAAGGCTGAGTTTGGCCCTGTTTGGGGCACTTCAAAATAATTTAAACAAAAAAAGGGGGGGGGGGGAAAAAGCAATGCCTCCGTTTGGAGCCAGACATGGGGTATAATTCGGTACCGCAATTGACAGGGTTGAACCACTAATAACTGAATATAGTCTAGGATGAGCCAGACAGACCCACATGAACAAGCGGTTGAACGACGTTCGGATCAGGAAATGTCCCAATATTGGCATGGGATCTAACCGGACAACTGCAAAATAAAGTAATTATTTTTCGAGGATCCCGCATTGCTGCAAGTGAGGCTTTTAGGGGCAGGATGGGGCTCCCAGCATCAGTTCTTTTGGGCCCCCAACAGAGGAAGTTTGGCGCAAGCAGTGCTGGAACGCCTTCAAGTACATTTCCCTGAGACCCCGAAGCAGACACACATAGGCACACGAAAAGCTGCGCTCTCCAGTTCCACTTATGTGCTGGTGGCAGATGTCTCAAGCTGATCTCGAAAAGTGGATGAAGAAAACATATCGGGTCATCTTCAAAGGGACTGTTGGTCCCTTTTTTCTCCACCCAGAGGCTCCTGGTGTTTTTAATAGAAGACCTCTCCATTAGACACCCTGGAGGTGGTTGGGGGTCTCAAAACCCGGTTGTTTGAAGGCCCTAAATCAATCGAATTGGAGCCTCTGGGCAAGAAAATGTTTGCAACGACGCGGTGATGCCTACAACTTAGAACCGCGGGGTCCTTGGTTGACGTTGGACGGGGAGCAAAAATTAAAGTTTAGCAGCTAAGTGGGGATTTTCCACTAAAAACCACAATAAGCAAAAATGTAAAATGCTTCCCAACAACAACCATGAGTCTGACATCATGGGAACGAACCCTGACTGCCGGTGCCCGAACTTCGAACTTCCGCGCCGAGGCTTCGGCAGGCTTTGTCCTGCGAGCTTTGAAAGACAGCGCTTTGACTCGGTTGCTTTCTGCTCCCCTGCTAAAAGTTTAACTTAACCCATTAGTTGGCAAAAAGTTAAAGTCCTAACATCCCTTGGCAAAATGCAACAAAGTTGAGTTGGATCCAGGCATACGAATGCATGCAACCTCCAACATTACATGAATCCTGGGTCTGGCGTGAACAACATGAAATGAAGAAGAACTGCAAACAATGTGTGCACACACACACACATGTAGTAAAAAATAACATCGCCACCCTAACGCGAAACCTGCCGGCCGGGGGTTGGGGGTCCTGGAGGACCGTTTCGCTTGGCCTTCTAGCAGCTTCCAAAGAGATCGCAAGGGAACCCTTGACCAATTGGTCTACCCTTCTGGAGCGAATAGGCATGCAAATGGCTGTGGCTAAAAAAAACGGTACCAAAATAGAACCCTCGTAAGTGGGAAAATGGGCCAAAACCTGCCTGACCCCCTCCTGCTTGATTTTGAGCCACACCCAAATCTGCAGGAATCTCTCGTGCAATCCGACTCTCGAAGCATGATGAGTCCTGAAAGGAAACACCCCCGAATAAAATTCAACAGTCTATTCATCAACAGTGCCCCAATTCGAAATCTCCTGGCTTGCCAAGTGAAAAACTGTCTCAGGTGTCCCAATACCCGGGCTCTGCAATGTGGGACCCGCGGGTCCGGGCGCCACTCGTTTTCACCCTGAACCAGCCGCTTTGCTGATCTGCTCGTTGGCATGTGAAGCATGGTCAAGGTGGAATGTGCGGAAGCTCCTTTGCATTGAAACTCATGTGGTGAGTGCGGGTTGCAGGTCTATATATACTTTACGCCAAATATATGCATGATAGATTGATTGGACGCTTCACCTGTAGAAAACAATGTTTTAGCAACCCAAATTCAAAGTGTGAGTGTCCCCTTATTCACAGGATCTTGTTCTGTGTACCTACGTATATCACGCCGACCCGACTACGGCTTGACTCTGGAATAACTGAACTCAAAAGAATGGGCCCAGTCAGTCGGTCGGTCAATCAGTCAACCACTCAGTCCCCCACCCACGCTACGCCGCGCTCCACTCAGAACACCGGTCAAAAAATGACAATCGATCAGTCAACCAGGCAACCACTCAGTTTTTTCGCATAAAAACGCCATGCTCCCAGAACAAAAACCATCCGGCGCAAGATCCTGGTGCCCAGAACCACCGTGCTTCGTAGTAGACCCCCAGCAGCGGGCTGGGGCTCTCCCCCACGTGCAGGATCTGCCCGCCACTCTGGGCGCAAGAGGAAATCAGGGATCAGTCCAAGCGGGCTGGCAATTGGCTTGTCCCAGTCGTTCAGCACCCTCTGACCCTAAGGACTGCTTTTTGGCCGGAAAAAAAAAACCAGTCCTTAGAGGGCGTTGGTGCAAATGGGTTGGTCTAAGCTGGAGCGGAAACCGTGCTCTCACATGCGCTGGGAGCCTTGGTGATGCTTGCCTCATTGAGACACTGTCAGGGATTCATGACTGTCCTTGACTGCGCTCGAAGGGGAGGTATGAAGATCCCAACATGAGCGGTTTCCTTTCTCCTTTCAAACCACGAATAAGCACATCCATATGTGGGGGTGACCCTACACGGGTTCCAACAAATGGGTTCCTTTCGGATGCCACACAGGATTGGTGTTGTAGATGTTAAGGAGAGGGGTTTCCCATTGACCCTCTACAAGAACCAGGGGTCCAAATCCAAATCCAAACCGCCAATCCTCAGTTGCGTTCTGCTCCCCTGCTAAAAGTTTGACTTTTAGTGGTTTAATGGAAACCCATTAGTTGACAAAAGGCTAAAGTCCTAACATCCCTTGGCAAAATGCACCAAATAATCCAAACCACAAACTAAGGGATACCTGAAGATGGAGAGCCCACGGCGGTTGCCTCGGCAAACCTTTCGAGCCAAGTCGCCAGCACCGTCAGCGTCCAGGGCTGCTGCAGCGCGACGTCGTCCTTGCCAGGTACCGACGCTGTCCCGATTTGTTTGGCTCTCACTTCACGTTGAGCCCAACACCATGATAACAAAAACAAAAAAAGAAACAAGCTCTAGGGACAGGGAGGTTTCCTCTTGAAAGGAAACGCGGCGTGCTTTGGTTGACAATAGTTGGCATAATTTGGTTGAAATCAGTTTTTGAGGCTCGGTACCCTTTTTCGGGGTTGGTTTGAACAGAAGCCAAACATCCTTTCGCCCTTTTTGCGACCAGCTGCGCGCTCGGCAAAAGCGCGGAACGTAGAACCAAACATCTGGGCCCCTTCTGGAAAAAAAAATGCCACGCCACTGTTGCAACCAGCCCCTCATACTTTGCACAGGCCCACTTCCTGAGTGCATTGGCCCAAGCGAGGAAGGGGTGTCCCAGGTTTTCTTATTTGTTGTTTGCTGTTTGTCAGGATGCTGCTACCTCAGCCTGTATCCTGCAGCCAACCAGTCCACGTTTCTTTCTGGTCTGTCTAGCGGATGCGAAATCCTGCACGAGCAGGGATGGATGAATCCCGAATGAATAATGGGACAAACCACCTTTCAACTGGTGCAGGAGTGCGTCCATTCAACGGAGTCGAGTCTAGTGAAACTTAAAATTGTAAACAAAGTGCCAAAAGAGACCCCACATAAACCTGGACGTACGTCAGTGTGGATGGTACTCGTACTAGCTGAGTAGGTCTTCCAGCAAAGCAGGAAGCGTTTGGAGGTTCCAACAAAGGATTCACCAAAGATCCGTCATGTAAAGCACCCAACAAACTTGCACATTGACTTGGTTGACGTTGGAAGGGGAACAACAAAATAAATTTGCTTTTTAGCAGCAAAGTGGTTGGATTTCAACCACTAAACCACTAGAAGCAAAAATGGGCAAAACTGGCTTCCCAACCAACAACCATGTTGTGTGTGTCTTCATTTGAGCGCCAACAAATTCCATTCACTTGTGGCTCTCAAGCCAAAGGCCCACGTTGAGATGGCTTCAGGGACCATTTGCAGCCCACTTCTCAGGCTCTCAGGCTTCTTTCGCAAGTTTTTTTTGTTTTTTGTTTTTTTTTGTTTTTTTCCGGAATCAGAAAGGGTTACATCAGAAGAGCTCAACACCTCGTCTAACAATTGGGAGCAACAGTGTTCAAGGGTATCCTTTCGCAATGTTTTTGCTCAAGTATGAAGGAATGAAAAAAGAACGCGTGCCTGGCCTCCTTCCTTTTTGGGATCCAATCAACCCCCTTCAACGACCCAATGGTCGTGGGGGTCTTTGGGGGGTTAGTTGGGTCCCATGACTTTTGCTTGAGATGCCGAAGCAGCCTCGCGGCCCTGACAAGAGGGCTCGGAAAAATAGCATCTGAGAGCCTGCAAGTACGCATGACAAGGGCAGAAATCTTCAATTCCCTTTGAAGGCCATAGACATAGCATTCCAAGTTTATGGCCGTTCCGCTTTCGTGCGTCCAAAAGACCACTGGCCCTTTTGACCGAAAATATGGTGCTGTTTTGTTCCGTGTTTTCTCGCCACAAACCCATCCGAAGAGAGTCCCGAATCCCCAAACCGACTTCTGGGACATCTCACGTCGTGAACACGATCTGCCTGGCGGCGGTTGCAACGGCCACTTTGATGCAACTGCATGCATGGAAACCGTGCATTGCATGCAATTTCTGCGGCCGCGACGGCCAAAAGAAAAAGGTGTCCTGCCGATCTGCCACCGTCACATTCAACCTGAAGGAGTATCTGGTCTCGTTGACCCAGGTCGGGGGCACGTCGAGAACCTCAGAGCCGATGAAAAATCAGGAATTCCAGTTCTATCGGTTTACAAGCTAATCGATTGCAATACGTTCAGTTTCAAGCAATCGTTTAAAATGATAATTCAACTTACTTGTTTGCCTTGAATTAGACTTGTCATAGGATTTCCTTTCCAAGTAGGATCTAAAATGCAATCTATTAAGGAAAAACAAGACGGTTCTAACTCTAATTTACCTGCCACTTAGACGGAGTGCCCATGAACAGTAACAAGTAACAACTCATGGACAGTGCAAAAGACAAATCAACAGTCCAATTGGCGTTGCAAGTTTAAAATAGCAAGGCTTTAAGTTCTGATAGGAGGTTAAGTAGACTTCAAAAATGAATTTTCATCTTGAATTGAATTGTAAATAGGATAGTACAAGTTTAATTGTAGTTTCATGCGACTTGTTACTTTAATGAAGATAATCAATAGGAATTCCTTTCCAGATGTGGCTTCAGATAAAGCAAAGTCAGAATGCTTATGTTCAATTAGAAGTTCCTTTCCAAGTAGGGATTGATTTATAAATAAATTCCAGCCCCTAGGCAGGATTTGAATAAACTCTAGTAAGGAAAGGCTAGCTGGTTGTTTCTAGAAAACCGGACAACTAAAAACAAACCGAGAAAACCAAACCAAACAACCTCGACGAAACACTAAAACGGGAAAAAAAAAAAAAAAAAAAAAAAAAAAAAAACGAGAAAACCAAAAAGCCAAGGAACAGACACACACAACACAAACAAACAAACATGTGTCCAAAGCTCTTTCAGCATAAGTTGGTTTCCGAAGAGCTTCTTAAACAAGTTGTTGTTTCTTCGTTTCCTCCCAGTTTGTTGCTTGGTTTTCTCCAGTCTGTTCTCGTTTTGCCTGGGCTTGTTGAGATGTGTCCGCTGGTTGGAGTTTGGCCACCACCCAGCTTGCCAAGGGACAACTGAAAGCCTCCAAACGCACCACAAACGCACTGCCCGGGTGTCCTGTTCTGTCCTTTTTTGGGGATGACTTGTGGGACGCCTGGAATCCACCCAACGCAGCACCCGAACCGCTCTCTGGGGGCCGGGACCCGAGCACAGGCGGTTCGGATGGCTCGAAAGAAATGGAATCCTCCGGCACGTCCCGTCGCCCATCTGCCCACACCGCAGAATTAACACCCGGCAACGCTCCCGCTACGCTCTCATCGTACATCAAAGCCAATCTGCCCTCCACACTGACGCGCCTGGATTCACGCACGGGCTGTTTCTTAAAGCAGCAGTCACTGAGTCGAGGGGCCGGGCACTTAGTAAGTGACTAGTAAGCCTGGTTATAACCCACTTAGGAGACTTATAACCCCGGTAAGTGGGTTATAACCAGGCTTACTAGTCACTTACTAAGCACCCTGCCCCTCCGAGTCGAGTCCCTCGAGTCGAGTCGAGCAGCCGCTGTGCGGGCGTTGGCCACGCGGCAGGTGAGCAAATTGTCCACGTCCGGCAGCTGGTCGTAGGACTCCTTGCCGCCCCAGCGCTGGAAGCCTGAGCACCTCACGAAGGAGAAAAAAAAAGAAGATCCGAATGGGCTGAACGAGAAAATGTCCAAATGATTTGCTGCGCTGGGAAATGGGAAAAATACCTTTAAACAAGGAAATTACTTAGAAATGGGTTGCGCGTGGAAAATATAAAGATTCTTCCAACAAGCAAAGATTGGTTGAAGCAGAAAGGAAAGAGCTAATTACCTGAAGTCAGGGTTGCCTGAATTGGAGAACCTTCCTCACGTGAAGCCGGTCGCAACACCACCCTCCCCCCTTCAGGTGAGGTCGCTATGACCTGCCCAAAAGACAACCGCAAGGTCGACTCATATTCAATCATTGAAACCTGTGGCCGTGGCAAAAAAGAAGGCACCCCCTTTTCTGGCTTGGTTTAAAAAGCAGCCATCTTCTTTAAAGGGCTCTGGAGGTCTGGAAGCATCGTAATCTGTTCGACCATCTAGGGCTACGATGTCAAGTGGTATCAACATGTACCAAATGTTGACCGAGATCCCCACTTCCCAGTTAAAAACGCGAGGTTCAGCCCCTCATGGATTGTTCCTCTACACGCAGGCACCGGAAAATGTATGGTTGGGCGGAGGCATTTTTTAATTGGAGTCCTCTTAGATAACCCCCTTTTTCTTCAAGGCATTCCCTTTCAGGCAGATCCATCTGAGCCAACCCCCAAAATTGGAGCACTGGAGTTCAACGCCTACCTGGTGGCCTCGCCAAGCCACGCTTCCGAGAAGCTTCCCTTCCTGAGGTCGCAACGGCCGACCCAAAACCCCCGCGGACGCTCCTTCGCGATCAGGGACCTCTTGGATATCAGAAAAGAGACAAAACAACAGCAACCAGCTCAAGGATAACTTGTCAAACATGCCTCTTGAGGAACAAAAACATGTGCCTGGAGCTTCAAACTGGTCCGATATTCTTTTGGGTGTTTTTGGAGACCCCTACGATGTACCGAATTCCAGTGGTTTAGCTACAATTTGAGCAAAATCACATACAAATTGCGTCGTTTCCAGTCGCGCGTTGGCCATACAAAGTAAATACACCTCGCAGCACTTGCCAACGTGCCAGTGAACACCACGGGAAGCCTTGGTCATCAAAACTACGACATTTTCTGATTTGCAGGAGTTTGCGGGTTTTTGCGGGTGTTTTGCGGAAATTTGCGGGCGTTTTGCGGCAAAAATGCGTACGCTTTTTCTGCACCGCACAACTTTGGACCGCCCTTGCATGTGTTGACAATCTTGCGGGCTGCAGTAAGTCGTTTTCTCCTGCAAAGCTTCCTTTAATCTGCCACAGGCAGCGAGCAGTGCAATAGTGTGGTTTTTAGGAGTTTTATGAGTTTCAGTTTTTTGCGGCAAAAAGTGCTACGATTTCCCGAATATCCAGTCAAAGGCGGAAACTACTTCTTCTTTTTTTCAGGAGGACGAAGGTCCAGGTGGCCGAGAAAAAAACAAAAACGGGGCAAACGAAGTGCCCTGAGTGATGAAAGCCTCCCAAACTGGTATCATTCTGTCATCCTTGGCATGTTCCCATCTCTCGGCCGACTCGGGTCTGCTCCGCGACCCGATTAGCCTCAATGAAGGGTCTGCAAAAAAGAAAGAGGCAGTTCATCACAACATTGAATGTTGCTTTCACGGAAAGTTCGTCCAAGTCAGGAGCTGTGTCGAAACGGCAAAAGCCTTTAAACTGGTTTCAACTTCACGCTGGCTTGCTTGCTTTCAGCAACCCCACCTCCCACAGACAGCTTGTGGCTTGGTTTGGCCCTGGGTGAGACGGCGCCCAATCCGCCTCCCCACAAACAGAAAGTGAAGGACTATCCCTCTTAGTGAGCTATGACCATGCTGACAAAAACTCGCCCATATCAACCAACATCACTTTCAATTTGCTGGTGCTGCTGAACATGGCATGTTTACCTATCATGCTTGCCGACGCAAAGAAACGAGAGGGTGAAACCAACGAATCGCCAACTCGGCACAAGGCAGCAAACAAAAACACGAGGGAAGACACCAAAACACACCCCAGACGCGGAAGAAAAAACAAAAAAACGAAAAACGGGGCTTTCCCGAGCGCACCCATGAATGGTTGATCGGGAATCTCTGAGTGGAAGGCCCGGGAACGCGAGTGGAAGTCATATCATTCGCTGTTCAGTGCCAGTGGTTCATTCTAATCTGACTTTATCACTTTGTCTTGGGGATCTAAAGGTAGCACAGAAAGTGGCAACTCGAGAAAAACAAACACATGCTCCGATGTTCAAGGAAAACAGGTTCCCAGCGCAAAAGGGAACACACCGCCCCTGGGTTGGCCAAAAAGTTCAGAACATCAGGGGGTGTTTCGTCCAAAATGGCCATTGCGCAGCCTGGGGCCTCGCTGTCTGTAAGTCTCTGGAAGGTAAATACAGGCCTCACCTCTATGAAACCAGGGGCCTCACCTGTGCCATGCGCCAGGGGTTTCCGCGGTTTTCCATGTGCCAAGGTGCGTGGTCACTGTGAAGCCCTGGGGTGCCACCAGCAGAAGCTGCCAGCCCGCCCCTTGCCGGGGCAAATCCCCCTGCTGTCCATTTCGGCGCCGAAAAAAATCGGAGGACACCGCGCCCCCCAAAAACGGGGGGCGCTTGTGAACATTTGCTTTTGTCTGCTCCAAAAGCAAGCGACAAATCAAATGAGAAAGGTGCAGTCAGTACGCTCAGTTAAGACTGCATGGTGAATTGACATCCGTTCATACTGCGGGTGGAAAAAGCCCGCGCCAAGCACCAGTTGGTCGGTTGTTTGGCCCAAAGTGGTGCAAGACTTCGTCCAAGGGGCACCAATCCAAAAGGGGTACCCCTGTCGGGGTCCATGAATTCTTGCAACCTCCTTCTGACAAATATGTTTTGTCTTATAAACAAAACTTGCTCTAAGTGTCCCTGGCAACATACTTACACTCAATGTCATTTGGTTGACGTTGGAAGGGGAGCAAACATTTAAATGCTAGCAGCTAAGTGGTTGGATTTCAACCACTAAACCACAATAAGCAAAATGTAAAATGTGTCCCAACAACAACCATGGTCACTATGACGAGGTGGTAGTATCCAACATCCCGAGTCTACTCATTCATTCTGGCCCTTGGAGCAAAACTGCATGCCGAGGAAGAGGAGTTGCTGCGAACGGGAAGTCCTGGCTTGCAAGGTCAACTTTGTCCCAAAACAACTAGCTTTCAAGTGGGCAACTGAAAGCAAGGATTCCCAAGGGATGGTTCGGCAAGGATTCCCACCCTCTAAAATATACGGGAACATTGGTGAGTCCCTGGATTTGTGCGAACATTGAGTGAGTCTCCCGCCCCCTATGCCCAAACTGACCATAGAACTATGCGAGATTTTAACCAATCCTCATGTAAATGTGAGCCATCATTAAAACCCGGTAGATGAAGGTAAGTAAGGGACAATCCCAACCACAAAGAGCTGCGGCCGCCTTCTTAATTATTTACATGATTCTGGGTAGACCATTTAAATAACGGGTTTTGATTGTGACTCATTGGTTGATGTGCTGAAAGGCTAGCCTCCTTGGCTGACTCTGCAAATGGATGGCTCATGAAGCATGACTGGCGGGTGAGGTCCTGCTCTGTGGCCCAGCTCGAACCCCACTCTTGGGTTACCTCCGCTCCCACCAAACAAAGGAAGAATTGTTGAACCCTTTCCCAAAAAGTAGTTCTCCAACAGAGGCATGTGCACTTCCATGTTAGTGGGAGGTTAACTTGTTTGGCGGCCTTGGCAGTGAACTGTCAAAACTCTGCTTGCAGCTCTAAGCAGATCTTCTCTGAACCAAAGTGAAAAGGAATCTCAACAAACAAGTTGCAACGCGAAAAGGGTGGCCTTCACAAAGGGTGCCCGGAATACCCGAAAGGAAATCTCCTTGATAGAAATCTTCCCCCCAAAAACCACGGGTGTTTGACACTGACCCGTTCCATTCCCCCGAGCTCCAAAGGCGATCCCGCCCCTCCCGCGGATCGATCCCGCCGCGCCTTGGGAGACCTGGGAAAAGATGGTGTAGCTGGTCACAAAAAGCAGCCTCAGCTGAGCCCTGGAATTAGGACGTTTTTTGCCTAGTGGAACACAAAAAAAGACCCCGAAAAACGGGGGGGGGGGGGGAAAAAAACAAGAGGGGAGCTAACTCTGGGGAAGAGCTGAGCCCGAGGCAAGCGACGATTTCTCGGCTCTTTGTGGAAAGCATGTTCAAGTGAGGTCTTCCATGTCCTGAACCCCACATGCCCTGGTAACTTGGTTGACGTTGGAAGGGGAGCAACAATTTAAATGTTAGCAGCTAAGTGGGGATTTCCCACTAAACCACAAGAAGCAAAAATGTAAAATGTTTCCCAACAACAACCATGGTAAAGGGAAGCAATTCTAGCCTTGGGGTTGGTCATGCTTACAGCTCGGAACTGGCATCAGCCTTACCTCCAAACGTCTGTCATTTTGACAAATCAAATTAGGACCAAGCAAACGAACAGTTGAAAGGTTGACTTTGGACTAGATCGTCCTAGCGCCTCAGCATGTGCAAAATTTTGGGGAGAACAGGATTGGCGCTTCTTCATTTTGTTGGTTCAGGTTGGAAACCAAAAAAAACACTCATGAATCCCTTTCTTCTCCATACCTGGCAGGTGCGGATGGAATCATTCCCAGTGCGACTGGTTGGAGTTGTTCCCTCCCACCCAGAGGGTGGAATCCGAAAAACCCAATGATTCGATTCTCCCTGTAACTACCTATCAATGGTTTCAACCATGGATTTCAAGTGCTGCGAAATGGAATTTGTCCATCCACAGCATGGCCTTGAAGGGGTTCTTCCTTTGGGGATCCCAGCAGGGTCCCTCGAGGTCTCAGTGCCCGAGTCGCGAAATGTCGTTGGCGGTGCCAAGGTTCCAGGGCAGGCTGTTGGGATAGACCTCTCGCCCAATGACTGACCGGGGCAAACGTCCACCGTTTACAACAAATGCCCTTTTTTGTTGTTGCCTACCCGGGGTCACCGGATTTCCCCTTCAAAAGTTGTAGGTTACTGGTAATTCCATTAAACCTGCAACTCTCGGAGGTTCTAAAAATGGAAACGGAGGAAGCCTGTCTGAACCGCAGTTAAAACGATCTCAAAATCAACCAAAACCCCTTGCGTGCGCCACTCGTTTCGCTGCTGTTTTGGGTGCAGTGGGGGTCCTTGCGGATCGATGATGGCACTTTAATGCCTGGAATACGCCCTGTGAAGGAAGGAGCTCCCTCAAATTGACCTTCAAGCGGCTCAGAACGGACACCGAAACAAGCAAAAGCAGCGCCTGAAAGAATGGCATCCGGTAGGAGATCACAAAGCCAGGAAGGAACTTCCGTAGGTCGATGTGCTCCATAAACTGAGTCCTCAGCCATGGATTTCACTAGGGGATCCCCCATCGATCGAGGCGTGGATTGGAGCGGCCCTGCTGGAGTTTTGGGAAGTCTTCGCCGATGGGGATCCTTCTTAAGCTTTGGTTCATTCAAGTTGTTTCGGCGGTCGAAGTTGCATCTGCACATGCGAGTCACGGCCACTTTGGCTGCATGAAACATAGGCCAGTTGTACTGAACATGGTCAGAATGTTGCTCCCCCAAAAGGAGGGCCACACTTCTACCCAAGATACCAAAACAGGATCGAAACCTGCAACGCACGCGATCGCACTTTGCAGGGCCATCCCGCAACCAATTGTTGTGTTCCGACGAAGTTCCCAACTCATGCCACGCAAGCTCGCCATGAACATTAACATGGTCTACCATGCAAGGAACCGAAAAGGCCGCTGACGACTTTATGGCTGGGATTATCCCTTACAGAAGTTCATAGCTGCCTCTCGGCTTGCCCCGTTGGATGCGCCATGCTGGCGGCTGTTTCCCGGGCGAAAGCTGCTGCCGGGCGTCTGCACATAGAAGTACCAATAATTCGACGCAGGTGTTGCTGCAGGGTTGCGAATGCGTGCGCTGACGTAGAAGAAAGTGTTTGGAGCCACGTAATCCTGCTGACCTGCAAGAGGATCCGAAAACTGGACCGGCATACGTCAAACGATTCAGATTCAGTCTGAACCAAAACATGTTCTCTGGAAACTCGTATGTGGAACAGCAATGCGTACTCTCCGGCAGATTCACTGGGACTCGACAAGCCGAGCGAATTTTGGTGGAAGCTTAGGGTTGGGGCGAAGCATCTGTTCAAACAAATGGATTCCTTTCGTGCGAGGTAGTGAGGTAAGCCCCGAAACAAATTGAGGGGTCGACTATCAAACACATGGACATGTCAATGAAAAATTGACGGGTCAGAATGAGGCCTCCTCTTCGGCCTGATCAAGCTTCATTTGTTTACCCGCATCAAATTGTGATTGCTGGTGCGAATGCTCACACCAAGAAAACACGAATGAACAACAGCAACAAACGATCGCAGCCGAGCGTTCAACCAACCCACCGAGCCAACCAAGAACCCAACCAACCCTTTCTCCAATCAGCAAGCAGAAACCATCAGGCCCATGACACTCGCGGTCCAGGTACAACCAGTGACGGTAGAAAGAACAAGTGGAACCCTTTCTGGGTTGGGACAGCAAGTTCTCTCTGAGATGCCCAGTGGATTTCCATAGAAGAAAAAAAAGAGGACACCCTGTTCTTGTTGGTTGAGTTAGGGAAACCCTTCCCCCCCCCAAATATATATATATATATATATACAGAGATATATATATATATACAGATATATATATATATATATATATTGGCACCACTGACCAGCTGGGCAGCTGGGTCTTCGGACACCGGGCTGGGATGTTGCACGAGCCCGCTGAACCGGGCTGGGCTCACCGCTTCAGAAACGGACGCCTTGAAGTGGACATCGATTTTTTGGCTGGCGTTGGTCTCCTTTTTGGTCTCCTTTTGGTCTCCTTTCTGGCTGGCTGTAAAAGGAGACCAAAAGGGCAACCACCATTTTGTTTTAGGTGTTTTTTTTGGTTTTTAAGGGACCCCACCGCCAACATCAGCGTTGATTCGCGCAACTAGCACACACAGTTGAAAAAAGTCAGAGGGTTCCCTTTTTGTTCTCCTTTAAGCATCACCTCACAGCTCACTTGAATGTGATTTTTGTCTCACCCTGGTGGATCACGGGGACTGCCTTCGGCCTTTTCGGGCCTCTTTCGGGCGTCCGGCCCCCGATTTCGCGCCGGCTCCGGGCGCGGCTTCTTTCAGCCGCGGCGCTGACGTGGAAGCGGATGGCCGCACCGGAGGGCAGCTGCGCGGTGAGGAGGTCCTGCAGAATCACGGGGGCCTGGTCTCGCTGGAAGGAGCTGGACACCTCCCAGCGATCCAACGAATCGATTCCAGGGCGGGTGTCTGTTTTTTCCTCTTGTTCTTTGTTTGGCTTTATCTCCCGGACGTTTTTGTTGTTGTTCTTGGTTTTCAAAAAAACACGCCCAATCAACGCGGACACCCGTTTTTGGGCCTTGTTTTGTTGAGGGTTGTTCGACATGTTGTCTTTCTTTCTTGTTTTCACACGCCCAACCAACGGGGGAACCCTTTTTTGTTTTGCCTTCTTTTTAAGAGGGGGTGAAGGAAAACAGGAGGGTCCTAAAGAAAAACCTCCCATGGCTCTGCTGAGAGGGGGGCCCTTAGGCGTGTCTCCTAATAGCAAGATGAGAAAAAGCTCACCACCACCCCTCCCTGGCTATAAATGTAGTCTATATGGACGTCTCAAACATGGGATCTCCTTGGACGAACAACTGCCCATCTGGTCTGGCACGTGGGGAAGATACACTCAAAAACAGACACGCCCACTGGACAACATGCTGCACCAGTTGGTATGGAGGAAACCCGTGAATGCTGCATGAACAGGTGCCAAACGGAGCTTGTCCATCGGTACTGTCAGCTCCATATTTTGTCCCTCAGGCTTTTCTTCAGTCGCTGGAAGCTCTTTCACAGCTTCGTCCGTCCGCCCCATCCGCCCATCAGCCTCAGAGGTGTCGAAGATGAAGCCTCGGCTCCGAAAGCCCCGCAAAACCCACGGAGACACACAGGGGCATTGGGCAAGTCGACCCGAAAAGCCATAGAAAGTCCAAAGAAGCGACGGAAACAGCCGCGAAAAGGAGATTCCCCCAAGCAAGGGCGCGAAATAGTAGCTGAAACCAGGGCCTGAGCCCGCATAACTGTGGATAATTGGTGTGAGTCCACTGCGGATGAATTCCGCGGCCGTGCCAACGTCGGGCGGTTCCCATGATACAAGGGTAATGGATTCGTGTCACGGGTTGCATCTGTTGACTAGCTTTGAGCCAAGCTCGCTTGGTTTCCAAGAGTGAAGAGTGTAGCGGTTGGGGGGCCAGGTACACACTTCTAACTTCCCCAAAAGTGTCTTTCTTCTTAAACTCACTGCGTTGTGCGCTCCTTGCGATCAACAAAGCTGCCGGCCGAGTTCAGGTTGAAAGGGTTGGCCTGGCACTTTCCATGCGACAAAATCTCAGCAAACTGCTCTCTGGTGAAAAGAGCGGCATTTCCTTGTGGGGTTTCCGGTTTTTCCCGGGGAACACACCAAAGAGGAAAACACGGTGCGCTGAACAGGGTGAATGGCGCGCCCTTTTCCAACAGCAACCTGTTTCTATCTCCTTGTGCTTATAAACAGGACAAAGCACTTAATCGTCCGCTTGCTTAAGTCGCCTGGAAAACAAAAACATATTTCCAGTAGTGATAGATTCCCTTGAAAACCAACGGGGGAACATGAAAAGTAGGCTTTCCATCCGGAGTTTTTAGAGTAACTCTCGGCTGTGTTGAGGGGCCGACGGGTGGTGTGGGTGTGTGTGTGCCAAGAAAAAGAGGCCCAAAATGGGAGGCGTTCCTTTTTGAAAACTCAAACCTTAAGCTAAAACGGGTACTCTAAAAAAAAAACGCACACACACACACAGAGACACACGTAAATGGGTAAAGTAGACGCCGATAAGAAGCTGGTTGTCTTCTTGGTTCGCTTTAGATACCGTCCCTTGCGGGGATCCGAAATGCGGTGTCTTTGATTTGTACCAGATGGAGTCGGGCAACTTCGTGAGACTGCTCTGATGAAACCAACGTGTTCAACCATCGGCCCTTTCAGACTCCAGCTCTTTTTCCTGGATGCTAAGCTTTGGGTGGGGAACATACCACTAGCACTACTGGATATTTGACAACGAACCTCATGTGGGCACATTACCATAACTCACATAATCCCCCAGTAAGGGACCTTCGCCACGGGCGAGCTCGTTCTACCCTCGACCGGGAAGCTCGTTGCAATTTGTTCGGACCCGAACTTCGGCTGGACCTTGAGCAAAAAGTTGGGAAACATCAAGGAAGCCCAAAAGTTCAAGGAATAGTCTCGCAATGCCAGCCCAGTCAACATGTATAGAGCCAACAAAGCAAGTGAGTGAAAGGATGCTTGGTACCTGTGCCAATGTAACCTCAACTGAGTTTTCTCCCGAAACGTAAGGTTTACATTGAGGCTAAAGTCTCAAACATGTTTTGAGTGGTTCTCCTTTTCTTTCCTACAAAGCACCGCAAAGAGGAGGCCTTTTTAACAAAAACCCCCCGCCTCCCGAGCAAAAACCCAGGCAGCACCTTGCGTCCGAGCAGCCCAGGGGCGCCACCACCGTCACCATGGCCCCGGGAGGCACAGGCCGCGTGGTGCGCAGCAGCGCGGTCACGGAGTTGTCCACCGCACCTGCGGGCAACGAGCTCAAATCCCCTCACTTCACTCAAAACGGACCGGTATTCAAGAACTAAAAAATGAGAGCGCGCCCGAACTGCGAGAAAAAAAAGGAAAAGAGGCGCAACATTTTGGAGAAGAAGAAAACGCATGCACAATTGCGCACAAAAACAATACAATGACTCTTGCAAGGACTCTTACAAGGCCTTTCAAGGAAACAAAGCAAGGAACCCAAAGGACTGTAACAAGGCCTTAGAAGTCTACCCGGGTTTTGGTTGTGACTCGTTTGGCCCAGCGAGTTGAAATTCTCTAATTGGCCGCCAACAAATTGATTTCCTGTAGAGTTTCCATATGTGTCCCAATTAAGTTTCATATTTAGATCCTAAAATAAGAAATATTTTGGCCCCAGTTCAAGCAGTGCAGCAGGGTTTGGCAAGTTTAAACTTGCTTTTAGCACCCTAAAAGGAGGTGTTTAAAGGTGAACAGGGCGTTGAATACAGCTGTCCATGCTACAAAAAGACGGCACCAACATAGGGCCGGCTTTTGGGCGGTTGGTCATTGAGACTTTCCGCCACCGAAACAAGTTGGGAGGGAAACCAAAGTTCCATTGAGGCTTGGTCATTCATGGAGCGTCCGCTGCCAAACGGACTGAGCGGACGCAGTCCAATCCATACCTTATCTTGGTTGACGTTGGAAGGGGAGCAAAAATTTAAACTTTAGCAGCTAAGTGGGGATTTCCCACTAAACCACAATTATTGTGGTGATCAAAATCAATAGGCCAAATTGCGATGATATCATTTGGTGCTTCCGCGTGCTTCCGCGCGCTTCCGCGCTGCGGGTGTTTGCTTCCGCGCTCTCATTTCCCTTCCGCGCCTTCCGCGGCTTGCGTCTCTTTCTTGCCAAGCCAACACAACTAGATATTGAGCTTGTTTTCCACCACCCGTTTCTTTCGTGAAAAGCGTTGCCAACAGGATCACTGCAGCGCCAATATTGATTCACGCGCCTGGCAAATCGTTTTTGCTTTCCCTGAGTGGCTGCAGCTTTGACGGGGCTTGAACCTCCAACTGTTGCCTCTTATCCTGGGAAGTCCGGGTGCTCTACCAATTCCCGCCCATACTCAAAACGACGAGCCCTGAAACGCGAATCCCAATGGATTTGCAAACGTGAAGCCTCACGAAACACAGCGGCTACGATTCCCGTACAGGGCCAACGAAAACAACACATCGCACGCAAGTCATCCAAATCACGGAACCCTTCCGCGGTCCTCCCGCGCCCTTCCTCCAGTGTTCCGCGAATTGAGCCCAACATCAATCTCCACGCATTTAAGGCCCGGGGTTCAAAAAAGATTTGTTTAGCCCGAACAAATCGATTTTTAAGCCAGGAAGCAAAAACGATTTGTTGGGACCGAACAAATCGTTTTTAGGCTTGGGGTTCAAAAACGATTTGTTTAGCCCAAACAGGTTTCCCAACAACAACCATGATATTGTGTCTTCATTTAATGCCAACAAATTCCATTGACTTGTGGCTCTCAGAACAAGCCAAAGGCCCGACCGGGCCAACAGCGAGCTCGTTCTGCTCCAAGTCGCTTCAACTTGTGGGATTGCTTGTCCCGATCCCCGCCTCGTAAAGGGTACATCATGCCTTTGACTTCAAAAGGTTCCGGGGCTCAAGCGTTGAGAGTTCAAGTTTGGTTCCAGCGCGGCTAAACAACAAACATAAACTTCCCCAAAAACAACAAGCCAACATCTAAACCAACGAACTGAGAACTGCTTGGCTTTGGACACGTCCGCCTGCCAGAGTCGTCACCGGCGTCACCCGCACTGTGCGCATCTGCCGCAGCGGGAAGCCTTCCACCTGGTCGCGCTCCCGCGCGATGCCGTCCTCTTCAGCCCGACGCGTGCGCGATGCGTTCTGTTGAGGCTGGCCACCGTCGAAAAAAGTGTCGGGGCTCTTTTCAAAGGAAACAAAAGGGGGACCACTTGTTTTTGGGGTGCCTGACAGACACACTCGTATAGGTATGGTTGTGTTGCAGCTACGCTTCACAGCTCTGAAGGAAAATCAAAGGACCAACAGTTTGGGCGACCCCCCGCCCCCACCCCTTTTCACACATTCGCATCCGCGTTTTCTTGGACGCCACAAGGAAGCCAAGCGCCAAGGTCAAAACAAGAAATAACTGGTCGTGGTCAGAGTCCCCTTTCGCGACTGTCCTTCTAAAGTGGCCGCCAGCCAACACATAACGCAAAGGTCCTCAATTAAAGGGGAGCCCGCAGAATCGGTAGCTTCCAAACAAACCTTGACACACACACACACACACAAAAAAAAAAATAAACAGAATGGTAGGTGCCAAGCGGTAGGAGTGCCCGTCAAACATGTTTGTTGGTGGGAGGGTGAAAGAAAGTGAACGCCATGGTATACAAAGGAGAAAGGTGGCCTCCGCTAAACGAGTGGGAAACCAGCAAAAGAAAAGTCTGGAGCAAAAAGGAGTGGCATTGGCAGAGGCCTTTTCCCTTGTTCCCAGAGGGCTATATGTGAATGATGCCTCTGCCTGTAAGTCACTGCACCCCCCTTAGCAAGGGCGTCGCTGCAGATGAACTTGCTCTGGGCTGCCCATGTTCAGTGGAAATCCAACCACCAGACACTAAAAAGCTAAAAAAAGCTAAGGGGATGGCTGGGAGCCACCAAGATTTCTTTCGGAGGAAATCCAGTTGGCCAAAGCTTTCAGCAGGTTAAAAAGCGAAAAAGCTAAGGAACCGGATGGCTGGGAACCACTGAGTGCTCTATAGCCTGGCTCCTTCCAATGCTGGAAGGCCACTTGGATCTTGATGCGCTTGCAGCTCTTAGCTCCGGACGCGGCGCTGGGGCTGATGGATTTTTTCTCCACGGCGCTCTTTGCACCCGTTCTTGTTCCATCTCTGTTGACATATACTGCGTCATGTTCACTGCCTTGATGTCCGTCATTCCGTGTAGGGGTGATGTGGCCTCACCCACAATTCGCAGAAGCTCCATGGCCCGATCTTCCCCCTTCCCAGTCGCCGTTCCAGCTGCCTGCCTCCCCAGTGGGGTCTCGTGCCCTGCGTGCCACCGCCAGGGTCTTGCAGCTCCCAATGCTATGCTTTTACATATATGTGCTTTACATCAATCACTGCAGGCACCCCCGGAGGTCTGAGCACTCAAGGAAAGGAACAAACATAATTGTGTGTGTGTGCCTGGCGGCCCCTCTTGATTTGCTTAAAGGGCAACAAACAAGAAAACAACTTGTCGTTGTTCTCATCAGTGGTTGTTATTGTGTGAATAGCTAAGTATATGTGTCGGTCAATTATTATTGTTGTTGCTATTATTATTATCATTATCATTATCATTGTTATTGTTATTATTATCATTATCATTGTTATTGTTATTACTATTATCGTTATCATTATCATTGTTATTGTTATTATTATTATGATTACTATTATTCCCATTATTATTATTACTATTATTATTATTGTTATTATTATTTATTTATGATTAATATTATTATTATTATTATTATTATTAGTAGTAGTAGTAGTATTATTATTATTATTATCATTATTGTTATTATTATTATTATTTTTATTATTATTATTATTATTATTATTATTATTATTATTATTATTATTATTATTGTTATTATTGTTATTACTACTATTATGATTTACGGTTATTATTATTATTATTATTACTATTATTATTATTATTATTAATTATTATTACTATTATTATTATTGTTATTATTATTATTGGTGTGTTCTCATCATTAAAGTTGGCGATACTGTCACTGATATCGTTAGTATTGTTATAGCTAATTCATAATTACTCATTTTGTCACGTTTATCGTTGTTATTAGTTTTACTACTGTTATTGTCATTCTTTGTTTGTCCGTTAAGCCCCGCACCCACGAAAGGGACACCTCATGTTCGGTCTCCTGCACGGCATTGAGCTCCCAGAAATTATCCAGCGGCACGCTGAGCGCATTGCGCACCTCTTGGATAGCGAGCCGATTGGGTTGGTCGGGGGGCTAGCTGGCTGGGCGAACCTCTTGTTGAAGTCATGGTTCAGACCATTGGAAAAAAACAGTTCTACCAGGCTCCTTATATGTCCTGTTTGAACATCAGCCCGGGAGCTAGGGGGGGTGCAAAAGCAATCAACCGTCAACCACTTTTCGTTGGACAACTTGCTGATTCCCATTTGGGTATGTCGCAAGATTGGAGCCCCGAACTGGTCGCCAAGAGGGCACACCCACTTCTGGCAAGGAACTGTTCCTCAACCACATCTACCCGAATCTACCCATGTTGGTCTTCGAAACCTGAAGGCGAATGGGGGACAAGGCTTCAACCAGCACAAAAACCAAGGTGCCAGGCTGCAACACTCACTTCCTGGTTGGTCGGGTGCAGCCTTGTTTTTTTAACTGATTCATCTTCCCAAAGGCAACTGCAGAAACTGGGGAAGTGATTAAAAAAAAAAAAAAAACAAGTGGTGTTTCGGGTGAATGGTATTTCGTCTGCGCCTGTAGAGTGAACTCATAGATGGTGAAGGCGCTCAAGCTCAAGGATAGGCGCACCCTGCGAAGAGGAAAGGGCTCATGCAGAGGTTGCTGACTCTACATGGGCAGGATGCGCAAAACGGCATGAAAATAGGAGCCCGTTTGATCGAATCCATTCGGGTGTGTCCACTTTGGGCGCTCCCGCAACTCGACTGAGACCGAGCGCTTTGCTTGGTTGACGTTGGAAGGGGAGCAAACATTTAAATGTTAGCAGCTAAGTGGTTGGATTTCAACCACTAAACCACAATAAGATCAAACATGGGCCAAAAATGTTTCCCAACAACAACAATGGTCACTGTATGACGAGGTGGTAGCAACCTTTTTGCAAAACCGCCATGCTTCCCAACAACTCCCTGGCTGAGTGGATGGCCCAAAAAAAGGTCTAAACTTTATATTTGCCACTAAAATGGTCCAAACCCAAACAGTTTTTAAAGTTCATGAACTCAGGAAGTCAGACAACAACCCATGGGGTGGTCCGACTTTTGAAAGCCCCGAGGGCCGGATCCGGCTCTCTCTTCAGCGCGCGTGAAGGGGCCTCTTCTGAAAGAAAAAAATCACGCAGGAGTTTCGGCGAAGGGTTTCCTCTGCGCCTCGAAGAAGCGTTTTGTTTTTGTTTTTTCACTTGGGGAGAGATGGGCGCTTTCGCATGTTCTTAAAGAGAGGAGATTCGCATTTCCTCACGCTGGGGGCTGGCCCTTCACCACCAAAAGACTGGCTTGGAGGCAATTCCCAAAAGGCAAATGGTCCTCCAAAGTTACGCGAGGGCGTGCAATTAAATCAAGAATCCTCACATAATTTATATGCATCGGGCTTTGTTTGCCGGGGTTTCCAACTCTCAAAGTGCAAATACCATTCCTTCAAAGCATCAAACCCTCGAATCCGTCAAGCTACAGTGTGAGAGTGGGCGCAATTCCAACCCATGTTGGTTGAGTCCCTTCAGGTGCCGTCTACTTTCACCCCATCAACGACTACCCTTCCGGGTTCCCAACTCTTTTGGCGTCCAATGTTTGGTCTCTCTGACACTTCAACCTCCAAATGGGGCGTCCATGTGGCTTCAAGCTGGGCATCCGAACATCCGAAACGAGCTTGGCCAATTGTTGGTGTGATCTTGTGCCGGGAGCTTCCCAAGACCCCGAAACCGTCTAACCTTGCTGAGAATGAGCGAATTTAAGCCAACTGAACAAACATTCCTGCGCCCAGGGCAGCCATGCCATACAGCCAACGGACCAAACGATGCAAACTTCCGCTGCCCAGCGCGCTAGTGCGCCAGTGCGCGAGTGCTAACCAAGCTGGGAATCCAGGGGACGAACTTCCATCCCCTTTCAGCTCCACGCAAAGCGCATGTTGCCTTCGGCGGCAACACGACAACCCTATGTCATCAGCCGAAGATGCTAGATGCTAGCTAGACCAACCGGCGCGAACGCATGCACGCGTAAGCTCCTGATTCAAAAGGAGAGTGCGTTTGGTTGGATGGCCTCCCCTGCCAGCAATGCAAGTAGAAGCCAGCCGTAGCCTCATCTAGGCAAGGGAACTGACTTGCAAGTGGGAGCCCAGTGAGCACGCTGGCGCATCCGTGCCACCGTCATCCACCCGGCACAGGGCGGGTTGGCCTCAAACTCCCACAGGCCCACATGTGAGAGCCAAAACATTGAATTTGTCTCTCCTCATGCGTAGCTTCACCCTTGCATTGCGCCCCACACCAGGCCAGCGGTGTGCAGAATGCCGCATTCCAAAACTTCTGTGCCACGGCACCTGTTGGGTAGGGCTTGCTGACTTGCTTACATAGCCAACGGACAAGACGCTGGCAACAGATGTCAGATGGGCATGAGCAGTTCCGATTCCTGGCACGAATGTCAAGAAACATCTTCATGCATAATGTTCCAGTGTGCAAGCGCGAAGCAAAGCAGGGGCCAACTCCCATCTCCAAGCACACCATGCCGAAGGGGCAGCACACACAAGCTCCTGACAACTCCAACTTCACAACCCACAAAAAGAGTTTCCAGAGACTCCACTATAACCATGATGGTGTTGTGGGGGATCCATGTCAAGCGGGATGGGCATATTGGGGCTGATACACCGCTCAAATCCAGAAGGTGCAACACAAAGAATGCTTGCATTATGAACACAAACACGCTGCCAAGCCAAGATTCGACGGGTCCCTCTCATTTGCATTGGCTATTTCAAGGGCAAACTGGAACCCTCTTTGGGTCCAAATCATGTTTTTAGCAGCCCTTGCTTGTTTGCGGGCCCAGGTAAGCAGCGTTCTAGCTTCCCTGCAATTTGCGGTAGCATTCGTGAGGAAGTATGGATTTGAACCTGCGAATGTTTCCGTCACGGAAGGCCGCGAAGCGTTTCGAAGGTTTTTTCTCACTTGCCCAGTCGCAAAAGGCTCGCGAAAACACACGTTTGGAAAGTTTAGCGTTTTCTGGTTTCGCTGCCTTTATCGGCAGAGCCTACTTGTTATTTTTTTTGTGTTTAGCCTTTTTTGCTGTCATGTTGCTTTTACCATTTGCCTTCATGTCCACTTCATGTTCCTTTATTTGCCTTTTTGTGTCGCCTTTCAGCTGTCTTTCTTTCCACTTTTCCTCTGCAAACCCATCAGTTTCCCTCATGCTTCTTCTCAGCCAGAGAAGTTGCTTCCCTTTTGCAGGGAAAAAGGATCCGTTTGGCCCAGCTTGTTGAGCGCCCCAGTCCAGCGGTTCATCTCCGCAGACCCTGAATTTGTGAGGCTCCTGGCTGCATCTTGCTTTGAACAGGAGGCCAAAACATCACTCCCCTTTGTTGGCCGAAGCGCCTGCCTGGCAATGTTGGGCTTTTGCGTGTCGGCCACACAGAGGCTGCCTGCAAAGCTCAAACACGGCGCCAGTTGCCAGGTCCAAACCAAAAGGATCCAAAAGGCACCAGCAGCTGCTGGACCTCCAATTGCCTGTCACCGTGTTGATTTTGCCTTTGAGTCAAAGCCAGGGCTCCAGTTCCATGTGACTTTGGGATTTGGCTGTGGCTCAAAAAACCGGAATTCCAAAATGGGTTGCCCTGGTGGAACCATGGACCACCTGCGTACCCCTGGCTTGATTTTGAGCCACGCCTTGATCCAATTGCCTGATCTCCGAGTCCATTGGAGGCCAGGGACAAGGCATCCGCTCGCGTCGATGGGAAATTCGCTCGCAACATGTCCCTCTGCTTCGGTGACCCCCAAACTTCGGTTCCCTGTCCCTTTGAAACCAACAGCACACCGCCATTTGCTTCTGGACATTGTGACTTATCTCCAGTGAAATCGATTCACTTTAAAACCAGGGGAAAAACATACTCTTAAGCCAATGGAAGCACACGTAGATCCCTGCCTTCGGCCATCGAATTCGGCACTGTTTCCAGGGCTATCGGGTTCTTGGAGCCGTGCCAAAAAGGCCCTTCCACTATCCCCTTCCGCCATAGCTTTCCCCTGTTCTTCATTGTTGAACAAGCTGTGGATGGAAAAAGAAGCCAAAGTTTCTTTTGGCATGTTTCACCAAACAACTGTGGATGGAGGACATCCTGAAACATATAGTTGGCATCCATGTGGCTGCGGCTCACAAAAAAGTACCAAACTGGAACCCTGGTAAATGGAAGCATGGACCCAAACCTGCGTACCCCTCCTCTTTCATTTTGAGCCACACCGGAGACAGCTGAAGCAAACGGAAGACACGCCAAAAGCGCCGGAAAAGTTGGAATCCTGGCAAGCGGAAGCATGGACCCAAACCTGCGGGCTGCCCCTCCGGCTGAAATTTTGCGCCACACCTTTTTGGCAGGCCCAGGGGTTGGGCGCCGGAAACCCGAATGGCTGCGGCTTGGAAGCCGCGCGCCTGGGGGCAGGCCCCGGAAGCGGCCGCCGGGGCGCGCCAGCGCCCAGTAGCCGCAGGTGGCCTGGAAGGCGAAGCCCTCGGGGGCCAGCACCTGGCGATTTCTCAAAAAGCGGCGCTCGGAGAAGAAAAAAAACTTCGTTTTTGGTTGAAGAACAGGGAACCAAAAAGGGGTGCTGGGTGAAGAACAACAACAAAAACAGGGAAACCAGAAGAAAAGTTCTCGAACCGAAAAGGGAAACCAAGAAAAACAGGACACCGCAACCATGGTGAAGAACTTGGTGCGGATGCTTTTAAGGACTTGCCATCCAACTGGTGGTTTCCTTTGGAAAAACGGAAACCACCCTATTGCACCATGGGTGTCCAATTTTTAAAGCAAGACCCGTGGTTCTACCCATGGTTCTAGGAAACCACCCATGGTTTGAGGGCTTGATTCCGAATGTCCATTCTGTTCAACAATTGTTCTTTTCAAAAACCCAGCTGCTTCCTCAGGGTTTTGGTTTCTGAGTGCAAACTTGCAATTGGAGCGATACGCAGGGAATGAGTTGGAATGACTCCGAAATAAACCATCCAACTGGTTTTGTCTACGGGGATCCCCAGGTTCATTCCCTCATTCCCTGAGCATCAGCTCAGAAAAAGGGGACCAAACAGGACACCACCCAACCAGTTGGGTGTCCAACCTAACAAAAAAAGACCCATCTCTGTGCGCCTTGGCGAATTAGCCTTTGGGCTGGTGTGGGTGATATTTCCAGGGGCCCGACTCGGGGATCCCATGAGCCGAGGATCTTAACCTGGTGGATAACTGGTGTCCCTTCGTATATTGACTCCATTTCTGTACCGATGTCTTGCCTACCCATCTGGGGATACAGCAAAGAAAACGTGCCTAAGACTCTATTTCCCACAATCCTGACTCAAAAATAGTAGCTAAACACTTGGATCAAGGGCCCAACTCATGTCTCAAATCCAAGATGTTCCCCTTAAGCCCCCCAACCAAGGGCAAACCGGGCGACGCAAATGTTGTCATTTTTTCCGCTATGACTGTCTAGACCTACGGCTTACCCTTCTTCCCTTCGATGGCCATAGCTTGATCCCACGCAGCCCGACGCCTCCAGCCACGTGGCGTACACGCACAGCTTGTCTTGGGACGTGCACTGCCGGCTTTGGCCTCGCGCAAGGGCCAAATCCGAAGGCTCTGGCATCGGCGACTCAACATCTCGAGCAGAAAATGGGTGGCTCGTCTTTGTTGGGGTCTGCCCTTTTTTGGTGGCTTTAAAGGACACCAAGAGGAAAACCACCATTTTGTTTGGGGGTCCATCCTTGAAAAAGACACGCCCGAAAAATATATCCTTGATTCTACGTAACCCCTATGGTAAAAACATCTCAATTCAGAGATTCCGGTTGAAGGTTCTGAAGGAACCCGTTACTGTGGATGGACGAACTCCTGCACTTCGAAAGCATGGTTGAAACCCTTGGTTGGCTTTTGCATGAGACTCATCGTTCCAGCACAGTATGACCGAACCGTCTAGGAAAAATCGAGCTGGTGGGGATACAGGTCCTTCTGCCCCTCCCTATGGAAGGAAAGTCAGCGGGCAGAAACCCGCACCTTGAGGTGTCCACTCTTCCCCAAGCTTCGCCAGGGCCTTCTCTCCATTCTGGGAGAAAAATATAAGGAACTCCCTGGGGATCCCGGCTGTTCGCAAGTAAGTCGCCGCGAGTTTTCAGCATGCTTTGTAAGTTTCATGCTGCCCTGGAAAAGGCATCATTTCGACTTTGAGCCTGACCTTCGCGATGACAAAGTGAATTAATTCCCTTGGGGCACACCACAGGCAAGTACCAGCACGTTTCTTGATTCAAACCATAGATATAGACAGGTTACATTCCGTAGCCATTGCCACGGATGTGCCACCCCCTGGGGCGGGTTCACCCTAGGAGATATATATATATATATAAAAATATCTGTGTATATATACATATATGAAAATCATGAAAATGAACTCACTTGGCCGTAGCTAGTGCATATGTATATATATATATATATACGCGTATTAAAATATATCATGGGAATGGAATCACTTGGCCGTTGCTGGTGGATATGTATATATATTTTGTATACATCATGGACATGGAATCACTTCGCAGCTAGTGGATATGTATATGTATGTATACATATATATATAAATATATAAATATACATCATGGAAATGGTATTTCTTGGCCGTAGCTAGTGCCTGTGTATATGTGTATTTATGCATATATATATATATATCTATATATGTATCACGGAACTGGAATCAACTGGCCACAACTAGTGGTTATGCATATGCATATACATATGCATGTGTGTGTAACATTGAAATGGAATCACTTGGCCACAGCTAGTGGGTATGTATGTATGTATGTATGTATGTGCATATATGTATATCATGCAAATGGAATCACTTGGCCATCGCTGTAGGATATGTATATATATATAGCATGGACATGGAATCACATGGACATGGCTAGCGATGTGGATATATATATATATGTATGTATTTATGCTACCACCCCCTTTTTGCCGGGATGCAGAGCAGACCTTGCAGGTGACCTTCAAGATGCAGATCAGACCTTGCAGTAGCCATTGACAGACTGGTCAGACACATGTTGAGGAAGTGAATGGTCAGGCACATCTTTAAGAAATGACTGGTCAGACACATCTTTAAGTCTGTAAGAAATGCTGAGCAGAAAGCGGCCGGCAGCGGGACCCTGGCCAGAACATCTTGAACTACGGCCTGGAAGCATGCTTTCGCATTGCCCACGCAAGGAGTTCCCCAGATGCTGCACAAGTCTTGATTCTTGTGCCAGTACTGGTACTGCGCAGAGCGAATCTTTGCGTGCAGCTTAGCAGCTCCTGCCTTGCAGTGCTGATTGCGCTGAATTCAGCCCTTCATGAAGCGCCAGGCCCTGTCCACAATCTGCGTGCCGCTCTTGACCTTCATGACCTTGCCTGTGATTGGGTCTGTGTGCTTGGCAATCGTAACATTGCGACGGTTCTGCCAAACATACTTTCCAGGGACCTTGACGCGCTTCTTCTGGCGCACAACGCAGTCGTGCAGGACACCTTCCACCTTCGCTTTGTAGCTCTTTGCGCCGTCCGTGCGCAAATTACCTTGCGAATCCGCAGCGATTTGTGTGTGATGGGCTGCCACTCGTCTTTCCTGATGAAGCCTGGTCTGGGGGAGAGCCTCACGGTGCACTCTGGCCGAAGACGATGGAGCACCAACATCTCAGGCTTGCCTCCACGATTCCGCACCATTGCTCCCACAGCCGTGGCTTGGAGGGGTCTTCGAGGTCCTGCCAGCCCTTGATGTCCCTCTTGTCAAACGTGGTCTCGTCCGCCTCCATGTCGGCCCACGCACGTTGGTTGCCGAAGACAATGGCCTTCTCCTTCTCCTCAACCCACACCTTCCGGAGAGCAGCCAAGCCAGAGTCCATGTCTTCGATCATCTTGTGGTTCGTGTGCCATGACCGGTGGATGGTAGGGTGTGGCGTGTTGTTCAGGAGCATGAACAGAAGAGCACATTGATCTTGCAGCGGCGTTGAGAAAAGAGCGGATGAAGGTGGTGAGGGTTGCTGTAAGCCTTGCACTTCTTGTGGTTGCACCTCTGCTTCAGGCCAGTCGACCCCGGCTTCTTCACGAGCTCGGAGAGGGAGCCTTGGACACCTTCAAGATTCCCACTTTGGAATGAGACGATCCTTGCGAAGTTTGTAGATGAGGTCATTAAGGCCAGTCTTGAGCAGCTCAGTCAAGAATCTCTTCCACTTCATCTGCGCTTTGCGCTGGATGGAGGGGGCATAGCTGATCTGCTTCGCTCCTTCAACTTCTTGGTGCGTCTAGCTCTTGTGCTTTGTGTCAGATCTCTGATCTCTGATATGGTGGCGAGGTTCAACCCATTTCCACCCCCCAAGAAGGGCAAGGCAAGGCAGGTAGTCGGGTAGTTCGCGCCGATTGCGCGAGGCTGGCTCTGGACCTACTTGGCTGTGCCCCAACGGGCACATGCCATGGACTCGACGCGGCCCACGTCCAGGAACGACTTGAAGGTTTTCAAGTTGACTTGCTGCAAGGGTCGTCAAGGAAATCCCCCACGACAACAGACCCTCTCTTCGGAAGTCCGAGCTGCTTGTTCTGCGGCACTGTGCCACGAGAATGCTACGCCCCAACGAACTGTTGCCTGTGTTGGGCTCACCAAGAAGTACCAAGGACGCCACATCGAAGTTTCACACCTTCTCCATCTCCACTTGGGGTAGCAGGCTTTGAGAGGATTCTTTGCGGGTCAAGGCACCCTCAGACAAGCAACGCATTGATCTCTCCACAAGCCACGCATTGGCCATCCGAAGATCGACAACATCTTCTTGCGAAGCTGCGCGGCGCATTCGTCTTGAGGAAGTGGAAGCCCTTGTCCAAATCCTCATCCTCGAGCTCATCGAAGACTTTGGTCTTCTGGTACGCCGGTGCGGACTCTGTTGCCAGATCAATTCATCTGAATTGGCGCCCGCCCATGTTCTGCAAGCAGTGCTGCAAAATATTTCGCCCGACTTGCGCGGTCTTGCCCATGAAGCTAGGCCTGTGGAGAGTTCCAAAGACGACAGCCTTGACAAAGGAAGCCTTCAGATCATCTGCAACTGGGTGTCTTAGAGGGCAAGAGCTGCAAGTCTTTGTTGAGAATGGCGGCCTTGTACTTCGAGGCGACGTCGAAGTCGATCGGCTGCCTGTAGCCAGTGACATCCAGGAAGTCGAATTGCCATCCCCGTTGACTTCTTGCATCGGGAAATGGACATTCCAAACACGGCCCTCGCCATTCTGGAACGGGATCCAGAGGCACGGCTACCGAGAGATGGCGAGGGAAGACAAGGGCGAGGACAGATGGGTGTCCAGAAAACCAGAAAAAAACTAATAATAGCAGGGGTCCTCATGAAGAAGGGCCCCAAACCAGTAAAACCAGAAAACAAAAGAATGAGAAAACCAGGAAAACCAAAAAACCAGGGTCTAGGAGATAGATGATGGAGGTCACCCTTCTTCTGGAGGACCCTGATTTTTTGGTTTTCTGGTTTGTCTGGTTTTTCTTTTTTGGTTTGGGGCCCTTCTTCATGAGGCCCCCGGTTCTTTGGTTTTTCTGTTTTTCTTTCTGGTGTTTCTGGTCTTTCTGGTTTGGCGCCCTTCTACCAGAAGATCTTGGTGTCTTTCCTCTTCCATAGGACCTTGGTTTTCCCTCTTCCAGAAGACCATGTTTGTTCTTCGATTTTTCAGCTTCCCCCCCCCCCCTTGTGTTTGAGTTGTTTTTTTTTTTTTTTTCCGGATTGCAGGGGGCGGGTGTTCAAACATATGTGTGTATATATATATATATATATGTCTTGCAAATGGAATCACTTGGCCGTAGCTAGTGGACATGTGTATATATATATATATATATGTGTTTATATATACATATCATGGAAATGGAATCACCTTTCCGCAGCTAGTGGATATGTTTATGTATATATATATACTGTGTTTTTTTCATTGGTACATGGAAGCACTTGGCCGTAGCTTTCAAGGGCACTGGGCCGCCAATGTCCAAATCGAGGGGCCGAAGCTGTCAGCGTACAAGGTCTCGGCCACTGCCACGGCCAAGTGCACATAGTTTTCAGCCAGAGGCTCGTCCACCTCGGAATCCTCAGTCCCATCTGAAGATTTTACCCCAGCTTTCGATTCGACCAATTTCGCGTGTCTTTTTTCAGGGAACCCCCCCCGACCAAAAAAAAAGGTGGTGTTCCTCTTGGCCCAAAAAGGGGTTCCATCAACAAAGGACAGACCCATATGTCTGAGAGCCGGGTTTAGAAATATACATGTATAGTTCCGATTGAGTCAGGGTTGACATCATAGAAGCCTGGGTATTTGGAGGGTCCGGGACCCTAAGTTTGGCATGCGTCCACCTCACGCTCGCCTGAAGAGCCTCATGGAACCTGGCAGGTTGGCTTTGGGGAGTGGTTCTTGTAAATATTCCAGGGGTACCTTCCATTTCCATTCTTTCCAGGGATCCTTCTTTCTAGAAAAACCTCCGGACATCCAGAAAAAAACGGCTGTTCTTTGAAAAGAACGATGGTTGAAAAGAATGGGGAATCAACCCGTAGAGATATGGCTGAGAATGTACGCCACTAACAGGTATCAGGTTGGGAGAGCGTTAATCCAAAACAGCCAAAAGTATGCCGCGCGCTCGCACAAATCTGCCCCTTGATCCCTGCTCTTAGCCCAAGTGCAGAGGCGCGTGCGCGAGCCCCAAAGTCAAAGTGCTACCAAAGAGAAAGGCACTCCCAGCTCCAAATGCCCCCTGTGTTAGGGCGTGTTTTGAAAGCCCTCCCCATGCTAGACACCTCCTTTGTCAGCCAGGTTGACATCATATCTTACATATAGTGGGTATTTGCAGTAGGGGGAAAGACAAGAATCGCACACGCTGATTTGTTTGATAGCTGGAATTTTCTGCAATCTAACAAACCACGCTTGCCCCAAAATGCCTTCCGAATCCAAATGTCTTGGGAGTTTACATCCCAGCCCTTGTGTCCAAGCAGCAATCATGGAACGAGGTTCAACGAAAGGTTTCCCTGGGACCCATTTTATACTCATGTCCACCGGCCCTTGGCCAGCTGTTGTTTGACTGAGCAAACACCAGGAGACCCCTCAAATTGGTTGTGCCCTCCGCAGCCAGAAAGTCCTCCTAGACACTGCCAGTCGTTTTCTCCCAGGGAGGAATTCAAAGGTCTTGATGAGGCCTTGTGAACTCTTACCAGCGGAAAAACTGCCGAGTAGGGCCTTTTTCAAACTCAGGCCTTTTCAAGTCGGGCCTTGTCAAGGTCCACCCCGCCCGCAAGCCCGCCCGCAAAACAAAATCAAAACCCTACCAGGTCCTCCAGTAGAGAGGTTCGAATAAGGCCACCAACTTTTGTCTGTAGTCTATTTTAGTAGGGGAACTCCCTCAAAAACAGGTACAAGGGCACTACTGGGGGGGGACCGGGGAGGGGGGGAGGCAAAGCGCGATTTCAGCCGAGCCGCGAGGACGGAGAAGTTGAAGCTGGACCGCACCGCGAAACCTTCGATGCCGCGGTCCAGGGCCAAGGTCGCATTCTGCAGGGTCCGCAACTCCAACCTTCGAGTCCGACCAAACAAAACCGGGGTCCTTACATTCTACACCTGAACATTGCCTTACTGGTGGTTTCCCTGTATTTTGGTGGGAAAGGGAACAAAGACGACTTTTATTTTGGGTCGAACATAGGGTAACCCCAAAACGGAATCTTAGATGGAAACATGGACTAAAACCTGCGGTCCCCTAGTGGTTTAAGTTTGACCCACGCCCGAATTATGTCCAGGCCTCAGAGCCCGGGGTTTTTCATGGCTTTGGGCTTTCCCTTCAACTGCAAACCAGGCGGAAAAAAAAAAAACGAAGCTCTGAAAAAGAAAAACACCCATTGAATCCAAACTCCCAGCTGGCTTCGAGCGTTTCTTTTGGTCGGGTTTCACTTGATTCAACTGGGTCCCTTGGGGGAAGCCCATTGAGAATTACGAAATGGCCGTCGTTTTTTGAGCCTTGGCGGACCAACCATCTTGAGGGTTCCATGATTTTGACACACAGGTCCAAACAAACTTGTATGTCCAAATCGAATCTGAAGACTCCCCTTTGCGGACATGGATAACTCCACAGTTGAATCCAGACTCCGTGTGTTTCGCCATCCAATATTGACTTCGAGATGGCAGGTGGTTGCAAATTGTTAAACACAAAATCTCCACCCAGCATCGCCCCCATTCCCACTCCAGACCAGGCTCCCAAACATCATCCCACCAAAATGAAACCTGCTTAGAATAGCCCCACAAGGTGCTCCCAAGACCCACGATATGCCTTTTTAAGTGGACCCCTAAAATGTTGAGTTTCTATTTGGTTTCGCTTTACAACCACCAAAAAAAGGCACCAACAGAAAAAAAAAAAAAAGAAAAAAAGAAAACTTCTCACGAGGCACGTCCAGCGATTCACGGGGGGGCTCACCGCGGGGTTGCCGATGGTTAACTTGAAGCTCGCCAACTGCAGCTGCAACGTGCCCAGCGCCACCTGCACCTCCCCCTAAGCGGCGAGGAGGTTTTGGGGGGTTCCTTGAACCACAGGAAGTTATCTAGGTCCTCCAGTAGAGAGGTTAGAATAAGGGCACCAACTTTTTTCTGTAGTCTATTTTAGTAGGGGAACCCTCCCCCAAAAACTACTGGGGGACCTAGTTATTGACAACCCCAAGTTGAAATCCATGGGGACACCTGTGTCTCAATTCAAAACGAGGGTAAGCAAGTGGAAACGGTGTCCTTGTGAAACGAGTGAAACCTCCTTTTGCGGAGGCCCTTCCCCTCTTTGGGTTCCATGTTTCTTTGCAGGGGCCACACTCAGTAGGATTCAAAAGAAGCCTGCTGAGGTGGTACCTCAAGTGGGATAGACGGGCCTCTGCGCGCAAATAGAGTGTGGGGATTCTCCACTGGCTGGCAAAATCTGATGGACGCCTACCCCTGCAAATGGGACGTGCCCTCAAAACGAATCTAAGTGCTGGTAGAAATCCCGGGCACACGGCCCCTTCCAGACCATGGAAACAAAGAGGCGAGAGGTGACTGTACAGGCAAAGCTCCAAACCACGGCTGCGCCTTGTCCCAGGCGTTTTTCCCTTTTTTTGAAGGGACTGATGGCAGGAGCCGAGCCAACTTGCGTCCATTTTGATTGAGGCCCTTGAGTCCCTTAAGCTGCCATCCCGCTTGACAGGGGAGCCAAACAAAAGGAACATATAGCAGTTGAGTGGTTGGAGTTCAACCACTAAACAATAAGATCAATGGGCAAAATGTTTCCCAACAACCATGTTGGTTGTTTAGAGAAGGGAATGGGCATGAACCTTTTGAGAGTCATTCCCGTAGTGTCCCCGATAAGTCTCTCATCACGAGCCTCCCATCCCATCCGCTCGACCACGCGACCCCCGCCTCCGCCACCTGCTGCGCCGGCGCTTCCACCGGCAGTCCCGTCCCCGCCGCGAAGGTGCGCGCGTAGAGGCGGAAGCTCTCAGGCGCCTTCGGGGGACTTTCGGGAGACATTTGCCAGCAGTCTACGACAAAAACCCAGGTATTCTTGCTGGTGCTCGAGGAAAATGTGAAATGCAATGAACCCAGGAATTGGGAAACTCGGGGATTCGACTCTGGAGTCTAGGCCAAACCTTGTTGCTAGGTTTATCAACCAGTACTAGGGTTTCATCCATGCCAGGTGTGAGGCAGATTCATTCCATTCACAAAGTGATTGTCTTGCTGCTCCAGGGAATGAACCCAGGAATTGCACCAGTTGGAGGGTTTCTGGAAATCACTCCCTCATTCCCTGCTGAGCAGCAAGTATTGCAGTCTGCCACAAGATGAAACACGCATCATCTTGTGGAAAAGACAAATAAGCCTGGAAACTATGTTAGGGCACTGGTGGAATATGTGTTTGGAACAATGCATAAGCCTTGATGCGCGGTGTCATGCCAGAAAGGATGTACATGAAAACCAAATACCTCAAGCATAAGAATTCATTTCACCAACAGGAAATGCACAAAGAGGAAGCAAGGGGACTCTCCATTGCTAACCTTGTCTCACCACCTCGTGAGAAGACACCTCATGGTCACCTGATCCTCAATCTCCAATCACCCTCCTCAACTGGCGGTTGCTTAGTCGTCCTTATAAGAGACAGCCGTGACTGGCAACTATATGAGTTATTAAAGACCGTTTGTTGCTGGGGTCGGTGATTCCTAAAAGTTGGGCAAGGCACACGTGTTAACAGTGGATACACTTGAAGCACATGAACATTTCAACGAGTGAACTGATTCTGGCTCAAAGTTCCGGCAAACAGAATGCGAAGCTCAAGACCTCCCGCGTGAGCAAATATGAAGGCAAAAATGGGCAACCCCTCAGCTCAAGTCCGGGCAAAGGCGCAACAAGAGGAGATATCGAAACGCTCGACTTTGCGCTGTCCACTCCCCCCTCCGCCCCCCCTCTGGTTTAGGACCAACTACTCGCACAAAGCGAATGTGCACATGGGATAAATCACCTACACCATCTCTTGATTCAGGGCTTGATGGGTCAGCATATGTCAAGGGCAGGTGTGGGTTTTCGAGGTATGGAGGTTATATATCACTCGGGGTACACACATTTTCGCATCACCTCCAAAAAGCACACATGCCCTAACCCTGAGTTGGTGGTTTGGACCGGTAGTTTGGATTGGTGGTTTGGGGGATGTGAACCCGCTCTTGTAGAGGGTAAATGGGACAGCCCCAGAACACCTCCAAACCAATCCAGACCACCCTTTTTGAGACGGAAAGAGAGCGGGAAGCTGTGTGTGCGCGCTGTTTTCACATGTTGAGCGGAAATGTGTGATTGGGTTCATTCCTTCTCAAATTGAACTGTAAAGTTCTAGTAGGAAAGCATGTCGATCTAAATTCTAAATGTCAGATGCAATGTCCAGCAGGATTCTGATCAAGTATTTTCTTATTGCGTCACATTGAATTCCTTGTTACAAGCTTAAACAGTGTTTTAAAGAGCGGCCGTTGGTGGAGATGTGAATTGAGTACGAAGCACGATGCTACAAAACAGTGTGTTTTACGGTGCTGTCTGACCATACAGTGCCGGGGCGAGCAAATTATGATAATAACGATGTTGGGCCTTACGACACTACTTACTCAATTTCTAGCTGAAATTAAATAGAGATTCTTACGGATATACTCCAATCGAAACAAACATATACTTTAAATTGGAACTTAAATAATGGTTAGTATGCTGGTTTGCACAGGCCATTCTATGGGAAAGAATCCTGTGTATCATGTTTGTTTTGAAATAATCATGACTTCTTTCTTATATTTTTAAGTATACATGTTCTTGGGATTCTTTCCTTATTAAGTTGTATGTAATGTCAGATAGGGGTTAAGTAGAACTTCATACATGTATCATGTAGAATTTGTAGGGAAAGCATTTAGAGGACCCACACAAGCTACACACATACTGATTTGTAACGACGGCTCTATTGGAAAGGACAACAGGTGTAACGTTTTGTTTGAAGCAGCCGAGCTCTAGTACAAAGCTAGAGAAGGCTTTCTCTGATTGGATTCGTTCCTTATTAATTGATTGTTAATTTTAGCTAGAATCAAGCAGAGCTTAATAAGCATATTCAGTATAATATATAAGAAATAACTTAGAAGTCCCAAAATTGTTGAAGACATGTTGTTCATTTTGTACCCCAAGTTAGGACAGCTGAGATAGTCTTGCTTTTGATTTTGGGATTTTGAGGTTTTCACACTTTTTTTCCAAGAAATGAAAAGAAGAAAAAAAGAGAGAGCACAAACATATTATGCCCCCCCCTCCCACAGTCAGAACAGCTGCCAATAGCCTTGTGTTATTGCTTTTGTTTTCTCGAGGTTTTTCACGGCAAAACCAAAACAACAAGATTGTGCCCGAAGCGCGCATCGCGTTTGTTTGCTTTTTCGTGGGGACTGCAAAGAAGGGGCAATTTATACCCGTGTCTCCAAGAATGGAAGACAGAGGTGCAAAAACAAACTGATGTTGGTCTTTGAAACGCCTGCTCCACGCATGTTCACAAAAATGGGCCAACGGCCCCATGCCTCCGGCCCCCTCCCAAAAAAAAAGAGGAAACACATGTCTCCAGCGCCGGGGCGCGGAAATCCGCAGTGAGCACCCAGGAGGCACAGCCACGGGGGAGCGGAAAGCGAAGTCGGCGTGGTTCACAAAGGACATGGAGGACACGTCCTGAGGGCTCGGGCTGACCCTTCCCGCCCCTCCCCTTCCCACCCCTTAAAAGTCGGGTTAAATGGAAACAAAACCAAAAACCAAAAACCAAAGTGACTAACCGGTTTGAATAAGGGAACCAACGTTTTTCGGTTTTGTCCTGTTTTTAGTAGGGGGACCCTCCCCCAAAAAAAGGGTGAGAAAGGGCAGTACTGGGGGACCTAGCCTTTCAATGGCAGCTGACAGCCTTTTGATAGAACTTGCGTCCTCTTGAAAACTGTTCGTCTATGATTGGGAAAGAGGCTACAAGCCTGTTCAAGCATGCAAAGTGGAGATTTGCTTGACCATGCTACCAGAAGAACCGTTGAACATCTGCCAACTCCTTACATGTTGAAATACCTCCACCTCAGTCAATTGGCAAAACCTTGCAAGCAACCACCGAAGATATCTAAGCTAGTATACCCTTTCGATCCACTTGACAATGGAAATTCACCCCTTTTAGGGAGAGGGCATGATATTAGCAACGGGATGCATGCAGATGCTTGTTTTCACATATCACACCACCCAAAGAAAGTTCATTTTCAAAGGGGCCCAAAAGGTGATCCATAAAAGGGGCCAAAGCGACCTCAGCGTTCCCCCCCAACACACACTTGTGCAACATAAATATATATATATATATATATGTATATACATATACATTCAGAGAGCGAGAGAGAGTGGCATATTCAGGAAACGCTAAAATTTTGGAGGCTGCCACCAAGAGGGGCAAGGTGGGTGCCTCGAGATGGCGGACCACTCTTTTGGAGTGCTCAAGAGAAGTTCCAGGACGACCGATTCCCTGGACCCAGAGGCGGTCCTTGGGGATCACCACCGCGTCCAGCAGCTGCGGGAAAATGGTAAAGCCTGCCGGGTGGGCGCCCTGCCGCTACACCGATTCCTCCTTTGGACACATCAAAGGTACGGAAAAAAAAAACGGGCCAAATGCCATTTTTCGAACGGAGAAGAAGAAAAAAGGTGGCCTTTCGGGGCTCCAGGAACCAATCGACCACAGGTCGAAATTTGTTGAATAAAAAACGCATGTTGGAAGCATACGCCGGAACGGATCTTAGTGGAATGGCCCATGCACGTACGCGATCCTAGCCTCACCAAGTTTGCTTGCGCGGAGCGGCGGAAGACGAGCTCCATCCTAAAACGAAACGAACACGCCACAAGCAAAGAATATGCCCCCTTGGCTTCAAGTCTACCTTGGGCCAACTGGGCTGCCCTCAGATCCCCCGCTAAGAGCTGAACTTTTAGTGGGTTAAATGGAAACTACCACTAAACACTACAAAGCTAAAAGGCCAAGGGGATGGCTGGCAGCCACCAAGCCAAGAATGGAAAGGGTGCTTCTTCCATTGAGTGATGAGTATCCTTCAGAAGCTCCTCAGCCATCCGTGGATCGTCCATGCAATCCAAGCCTGGGAACCCCGGCCCTTCCACAGTGAATCACCAGTCTCGCCCAAGAAGGAAGGCCAGGAACTCGGGGAGTCGCGGTTGCTTTCTGGCTCCCCTGCTAAAAGTTCAACCTTTAGCGGTTTAAAACGGAAAACCCATTAGTTGGCAAAAAGTTGAAGTCCTAACATCCCTTGGCAAAATGCACCCAAGGAGTGGTGAAAGCAAAGAACCCCCCAAAGAGAAACCGGGCGTTGGCAAGGTTTACCGCCAAGCCGTCCCCGCGCTCCGCTTGACGTTCCCTCCCAGCTTGGCCCACGAAAGAAGGGCGCTCAGATCGGAAAATGTCGGAGTCCGTTTCATAGCTCTCCAACAATACTACAGTGGTCTTGGAGGTGTGGCTTGCCTCCGGACCCCTGAAACTCCTGGAACTTCCCCCGGTCCCTTCTCTTCTACCACCCAAGAAACGGGTCCCCACCGGAAAAAAACCCGCGGCCGGAGATCCGGCGCTCCAGCGCGCCTGGCACCCGTGGAGCCTCATCCCAGGTGCCTGACACTCCCTGCGTCATCACGTCCCACGAGTTCGAAGCATCGCTCCCGCTGAGCCTCGGAAGCGAAGATCGGCGAGCCGCGGGATTCGAGCGCCCGGGCCGCGGTTCAAGTGGCTTGTGGACATGCATACAGAACCCCCCCAATGATGTCCAAAGGGTCCCCAACTAAAAGAACCAGCTGGTCAGAGCTGTCCAAATGAAACCTTGCTATGACTTTTGAACAGGGGTAATGGATGACATGCTTGTTTTCGGCGCACCACTTTCACAGGCGAACACCACCTACAACCCCGGGAGTTGGAATCACAAGAAATCGGGTCCAAACTTGTGAGTCAGGTTCCCAAATGCTTCAATATTACCGCTGGAGTCTTCAGTCAACTGGGTAGTCAAATTCAAACAGAGAACTTGTAGTATTGACTTGTCCAAATCCTTTCCCATTTTTTTGGCTCAGAAGTGTCTGCCTTTTCGAGGGTACCCTTTTCAGGTTGCTTAAGGCCCAGATTCCTGACCTCCCTCCCATTCTGGAAACTATCCCTGGTGATACCATGGTGCTTCCCACAACCTCACTTTCAGGGCAGCCCATGACCTTATCACCTTCCTCCCATTGTCGCAGAAAGTCGCAACCTGATTCCCACGTCCCGCAACCCCATCCCCTCCACGGCCCGAAATACTAAAAAACACCTACGATCTCCCGCAACCCAAAAAAAGAGAGGCAAAAACACCATCCGCCCCCCCCCCCCCCACCCCCCCTGGCCCTAAATACTCAAAAACCCCTAGGATCTCCCGTACCATCCCCCCTTCCAAAAACACGCGAAATCACGATCAACAACCCCCCCCCCCCAAAAAAAATCCACCCACCCGCCCGCGTCCGGAAAGGGCTTTCCGGGCAACGGCAGCGGCCCAGTGTTCGCCTCGATCTCCACCTGGACGCGGCTGTCCCCGGGCCTCGCAGAGCGTCAAGTTGGGCCAGTCAAAACCACCCAAAGAATTCCCGGATCTTGAAAAACCACCCCCAAATTGGTGCCAGAAAGAAAGTAGCACTGCGCCCACAGGCTCAAAGCGCGCGCCAACCCATTCCCTTTGAGCTGGTTGGGACATGTGAAGGCCCTCTGAAGCTACAAAAGGCACCGACTCCGTACCGTTCAAATCCGATTGAAAAATGTCACCAACCGGCAGGGCCTACTCCAGGCTTCTGGCAACTTCTCCCGAAATCTCCAAAATGACCTTGGCCTTTTGTTCCCACCCTTTGGTTTTTCCTCGAATTTGACATATGGGGATGGCTCAACCTTAGGAAACCCACTCGTATCCCCTCAAAACAACAACAGTGCCCTTTGGCTTCCCTTAAGCATCACGCAAGAAGGGCCCCCTTGGGCTCAGAAAAAAACAGTCGTATGTGCCATGGTAAAGATGCTTCTTCAGGGATTCTTGACCAACAACCCTCATGCTGGTCTAAGATCCTCATTGATGACCATTTTCTGCCCATAGCGCAGTATGGCTTTGTTGTTTTTCGAGCACAATTTTTTGGGAGATGTGCCAACTACCAAAACATCACATAAACGCACGCAGTTGAAATATAACCCCCTGCACTAGTTAGCGGGGGAGTTCTGTCAAAGGAATATGATGCTCCACCCAAAAATTCGTGGGAGGGAGAGTGGTATCTTGAGCAAGTCAAAGAATTGGTGGTCGCCCTGCTGGATATGGGAGATTGGCTTGGGCTCCCCTACTTCTGCAGAATATTTAGAGAGTCTTAAAGAGTCTGACCATAAATTGACCAGACATGCGCACAAGATTTGACGAAGTCTTGTGCAGCAACCCAACAGCAACGATTGATCTTGCCCCTCTTACGGCTACTACCAATGGGTATATGAGTTGCATCCATTGGAAAGTCCTTGGCACCACGTTTTTGTGAGTACTGTGGGTGGTCGGCCCGTCCCCACAAACCAACGTCCATGAGCCCACCAAACACCATAGAAGGACGAATTGCCCAACCCAGGGCCAGGAACCTCCACAGTCGGGGTCTTGCAGAAACCTGAGCTCCCTGCACCACGGCCGTACCCTGCAGTCCTCGCATATGCTGCGTCAAACATACCATTGTTGCGCTTGATGGATGAAACACTGGGGAGACTGAAAGAAACCGCGTACCAACTTCTCACCCATTCTTGTTTCTGGAAAATAATGGGTGTGACAGCTGTGCGTTCATGCAATCCGGTCTCACCCCGATGCCCCTTTCTCACTCAGGCCTTGAGCCCCAGCGTGTCGCAGATAAAAACAGGTGCGTAGGTCGCACCTTAGGCAAGCCTTTCAGGCAGGCTTCATCAACTTGTTTGGTTTTCGAGGGAACCATGAGATCGACTCCACCAAGGTCAGCAGCAACTGATTCTTCTCTTTGTGCTGTCACCGCTTTGCGGCGCTCTCCACGGGTGACTTCGAGCCTCAAGGCGCACTACCTGAGCCCAGGGTTCGTCGGGTTGGCTTCATTCGGACAAGTTCAATCCGAATCGTGGCCGACAATTCTCCCCAGCACTTCACAGCGCACACGAAAAAGAGAAAGCAAAAAGGTATTGTTGGTCTGACCTGTGCGAGCTTGAGCTCGTCTCCAACGCGCGCATCGCTCTCATTGCTCTTTCTTTCCACTTGGCCCTGATTGATCTACGGCATCTTAGGCATCTTCATTCTTGTCTGGATTTCTGGCACCCAGATCGTCCGCATCTACGGCATCCACATTCTCAGAAACACGGCAGAGCGAAGTTGTTGGCTCCCCAGTTGATGACTGGCCCTGCAAGGCTGTTGAAGCAGGGGGGCTTCAGGGGCGAGCAAGGAGCTGTCCGCTTCACGAAGAATCGGCCCCACACCAGCACCATCATAAACCAGTACTACTTCCCCTACAAGCGCCATCTTTAGAGGACGGTGAATCTGAAAGTCGTCCAGGCTACTCTCGACTCCCTCGTTGTGTCGGACGCATCCTTTGGCATCCGGCGCGGCTACCCGCCAACAGGTGGCAGTTCAACATCAGCGCCGCCAACGCGCTCTGACCTGAGGACAGAGCTCCATCCTCGAGCAACTGCGTGGTTGGTGGTTGCTCTCCGGCGCATGTTTTGTCAGCAGAGGCCAGCAGCCACGAGAACGTCAGTGTGGTCCTGCCGACCCTCTCTGATGACCGCATCAATGCCGAAACGATCCCCAAGCGCAAAGCGGTCGCGCATCATGATTGGGCACCGGATGGCTCCACACTTACAAAGAAGCTTTGGCGCACCTGGTCGCAGGCCATCGCTCTTGGCAATTGGCTCGCAAAGGCCGCGGCTTCGACAAGGGCGCCTCCAATGGATTGCCCCTTTGATAACTCGGTATCAAAGTGCTTGATTTTTAGGATGGCATGACCATGGATGAAGAGCTCGTGATACCGTGTCTTCAACGTCTCGTATCCTTGCTGAATGATGAAGAAATGGACGTTTGTTCTGGAGCACCGCCCAACGCTCATGCGGATCCAAATGGTCCTGATACGTTGAGACTCTAAACGGAGAGAACGAAGTAACGACTCGTTTCCATCCAGCGACAACCCCCAAGAGCCACCCAAAATCTCAAAAGAAACCGAAATCCTGCCCAGCAGGGGTTACCCAAACCCCAATGCAAGCCTTGAAACCTCAGTTTCCCAATGAGTGTCCATCAGCCTACTCAGCAAGAATACTTTTTCTGTATCTGGCTGACAGAAAAGGCCTTGGCCACATGTGGCGGAAGGCATGATTCCAGACAGCCGCAACTGTTGAGTGCAAGCGTAGTGCGCGCAATGCGCTGCCGCAACCCAAGCTGGAAAGTCGCAACTTTTCAGTACCAGGTCAGTACACGAAATGCACTTCCGCAGCTCCAGCTGGCAAAGTGGTGAAAATGTTTAGTAGTGATCCCTTTCCCGCTATCCGCAGCCAATTGAATCATATTGCCGTCCCCAGAACTAACCGAGCGATTCAGAAGTAGACTCCATCGCTGGGCTCATTCACCGAGGCGGGCAGCATGATTAGTGCGAATGCATTCCAAGGACGCGTGTCTGAGGCCCTGGAAGGGTAAGATGAGTGGTCAGATAAATACGATAATACGATGACATGTTGCTCCTATCATGACATATAACTCGATTGCTTAAAGTACCTCCCTTGTAGCAAGCCAACATCACCTGGCGGTATATCACTTTCAGTTGGCCAAGGTAATGTTCAAAAGAAAGACTCACTTCCTGCCCTGATCGAAAAATACGACGATGATCTTCCCAAGTCCACTAACAAATTTAACTCTTGCGTTCCAGTGAACATGGCGCTTTACAAAGAAAATCAAGGATCCCTGACGTGGGTCTTTTGATGATACCCCCCATTCTATTTTGAGCTCCAGACTCCAGACTCGGACAAAAGCATGCTATGGGTGTCAACGCCCCAAAAAGGGATATCAACATACAAGGCCCCAAAATGAAGGAGGGGTCCCTTTCCCCCTTAAACCCACCAAAAACAAAAAACGGCACCCTCCCAGACAAAGACGCCCCGCGATTCTTCGCCGAAGCGTCGGAGCACCATCTCGGAGCCGGCCACCTCGCAGGCCAAAGCCACCTGCGGGGCCGCCCCCCTCCCCACCCTCCCCTCCCACCCCCCGGATAAAATACCCTGAACAGTTCCCTTAAATAACCCCAACATACCCTGAACATACATGAGTCAGCGTCAAAATTTCTTGCCTGGCGTCCCGTATCGTTTTCCAGGTTGTTCTCTCAGGTTTGGGGGTATCGTTTTGGTTGGACGTCCCGTATGGTTTTTCGAGAAACAACCCAAAACAACATGTGCATGAAGTATTAAAAAAAAGTAAATGGCGGTAATTTTGAAGCCGACTCACATGCATTCATATCCTAAGAGTAAGAGGACACATAACATGTTAATAACATACCCTTGTTCGGGGGTTTTTCATGAAGGGTAAGTGCCCGGTTCGGATTTTGGGTCCAGCGCGAAAAGGACATTACCTCCAGGTTCGATCTCCGAGGCACCTAAGGGCCACAGGAGTTGGGCTCTCAAAATGATCAAGACTAACATGGGCTGTGGTTTCCGTCTGGTGTCTCCCTTGAACATGACCCTCCAAAAATGGAGAATTGCAAGCGTGCAGTGGAGTTCCTTCAAGACACTGCCATTGAATGTAAAATAGGGTGGTTCCTTCAAATAAGGATTGAAACACGTGTAAATGTTGGTGATGTCCTTCGCATGTTCCCTAAAAACACCACCAACAGGTGAAGAACATGTGTGTTCCTTTCAAACACAACCCTTTCCAAACAAAATGTGCTCCTTCAACAAAACCCCAAGCACGTCCAAAAAAGCCTAACAAAGGCAAAGTTGGTTCAAACCAGCCCTGAACACACTCGCGCCAGTCCAAGAAGTGCCGGGGTTCTAAACAGAGGGACCGGACCAATGAAAGGTACCCCCATCCCCCTTGGTTTCCCCTTCGGGTATTCTTGGTGTGCGTTGGCCATTTCGCGCCCAAATGGTTTTTGTTTAGAGTGCAGCCTTTTCAAGTAGGTTTTCTTGGGAGAAAAAAAGGAAGACTTTTCGTCGAACAGGGTCTTGGGGCGTCCAACAATCCCCAGGCCATCGCCACATGAGCCAATCTCCTTCTCGAGGCACCGGCAAGGCATCCACCGTGAGGCTGCAGCCTTCCACCGACGGCACCACCGAGGCCTGGCCCCAGCGATTTTGGTTTCTGATGCAAATTTTGGGGAAACGAGCAAGAAATGTATGGGTGTGGGTCAAACATATGTATCCAAATGACTTGCCCTGGCAAATGGAGGACAACATATGAGCATTGGTTTTTAGAGGTTCAGGGCTTAAGAACTGGTAATACAGGGGCTGGGTCCTCCAGTAGAGAGGCTCGAATAAGGGCCCGATGTTTTTTTCGAGGCCAGGGTGAGGTGAGAGGAGCGTGCGGGTGGGGTTTTCGGAACCCAAGCGCAGTCTCTTGGCGAAACCGGCTGCCGGAAGCATGCAGGCATCGAAGCCACCGCGCTGGTTTCCAGAGTCAAGTCCCCCGAACACTCTCTCGAGGATTCTGCAACCAGTGCATTGGGGGTTGGCCTGGTTGTCTCCAAAATGAAACCATTGTCTTTGGGCTTCCGTGAAGCAGTCAGTTCCCCCAAAATCTTCCAATCATTGGCAACCCTCTAGCCTCAAGATGTTCAGTGTGTGTTTTGCCCCCTATGGGCGTGTGAAACTTTGTGCAGAATGTGGCTTCCTTTGAGTTGATGCCCTTTGTCATGGCTTCCTGAAGAGCCCTCATGGTTGTCCAATTTTATGGTGGATGGAATGGACCAATTCCCCGAAATATGCAAGTCTAGGTCCCCCAGTAGTGCCCTTTCTCACCCTTTTTCGGTTGGGAGGGTTCCCCTACGAAAATAGACTACAGAAAAAAGGGTACCCTTATTCTAACCTCTCTACTGGGACCTAGCTAAATTGGGTGTCTCTTTAAGGTTGGACCCAAATGGTGGATTTCCTTTATATGTCCCTCAAAACCCTCCCAGAAAAGGGGTACCATCTCAACCAAACACCTTTGAAATGGATCCTGGTAACATGGAAACAGGGTGTCTAAAACCTCCTCCCCCTGGTGGTTCAATTTGATTTGACCCATATCTTTCTCTTGCTGCTGCTCAGCTGGGAATGAGAAATGGAATGGCCCTATAAACCATCCAACTGGTGATTCCTAGGGGACTAAAGCCTGGGTGCATTCCACGTCTCATTCCCTACCTACCTATTAAACCACCAGGGCCGCAGGTTTTAGTCCTTGTTTCCGCTTACCAGGGTAAGCCATTTTGGCTACTTATCTTTGACCCACACCCATATGGCAATGAATTCAAGTAGGGGACTCCCTCAAAAGTGGTTGGTGGACATAAATCCCATGTAAATGATGCTCACCAAAGGGTCCCCAATGAAAATCAACACAATGTAAAGGGTACCCATAGAGCAAACATTTTCTTAGACGGATTTTAGCTTCGGGGGAACTCTCTTAAGCGCTGAACCTCTAAAAATATTAAGCCCTGCACCTGTCTTAAGCCCTGAACCTGATGTCCACCAAAGGGTCCCAAATGAAAGTTCACCCCCAAAGTCCCCCAGTAGTGCCCTTTCTCACCTGATACTATATTCGAAGTCCCCCCCGTTCAGTGGAGGGTTAAAGGGAACACCGCAGGTTCTGACTTTGATAACAGAAACCGTCGAAATAATGACCCCAGTCACCAACCCTAACCCCCGCCACCCCCTTCTGCCCCGCCGGCGGATGCAGCACCAGTCGGTCGCCGTTCGCGGAGGCCAACGGCGTCACCGGGCGGAAGCTGATTCGCACCGTGGTGACGAAGTTCGTGGGCAGTGGGGGGTCCGCCTCAAACGAAAAACCAACGCATCTTTCTAGGGGTACCTTCCGTTTCCATTCTTTCCAGGGATCCTTCTTTCTAGAAAACCGCCAAAAACCCAGGGGAAATGGCGATCGGCTTTGAAAAGAATCATGGCTGAAAATGGGGAATCAACCCCTAGAATCTTGAGCTCATGACGTCCCTCCTGAAGAAACAAAATCAAAGCGGTCAAAAGCAAAGATCCGACTCAATTTCAGTCCCCCCCCAAATGTGACTTGACCGAACCGCCAGGAGCCTTGGCCTGTGCTTTTGTGACTATCTCATTTGGCTGGCATTTCAGGAGCGGCAACCCACGTTCCTGCCCCAACCAATATGCAGAGTACGCGCAATATGTCGACTGAAGGCTGCTCGGAGACAAGGTAAGTTGGCTCTGCCGCGGGAATCATTGATTTCAATGAAGCCAAATAATATTTCAATCCCAAACCTCAATCGAGAACCCCTGGATGAAGAAATCCTGCATCATAGACCTCGAGCTGGCTTTTCCTCGTGCATGAGAAATCCATCAGCGTGGGCAGGTGAGAATGCTACCACTGAGGATACGCATTGACATTACATGCACCACACACAAACACAAAACCCTCAAACAAACCAACACAGAGAGAGAGAGAGAGAGAAAAAAAAAAAACATATATGAAGAAACACACACACACACACACTCCCAGAGCGAGAGAGAGAGAGAGAGACTATACAGATCAAAAACACACAACCAAAATCACAGCTTCGCCATCTGCGGAAGAGCGGCTTCGACGGTGCACTCCTGCTCCGCGCGCGTTTCAAACAAAAAAACGAGACTCAGAGCGCTAGAAGGTTGGTTTCTTTTGAAATGCAACTTGAAAGCCAACTCCAAGAATGGAGCGGCTGGTTATTTTGGAATTGGCGTTCGGAAAAACGGCTTTGACTGATAAGGGGAACCAGAGGAAAGCCAGCCAACACTCTACAGGTTTTGATCCCTTTTTCGGAACGGCTCGGAGCAACTCTATCATCAATGCAAACCTCGTAGTCTCAACGCTCGGTGCAGCCCTATTTGGATGTCGATGAGCAATTAAACAAGTGTGCCGTGGTGAAAACTTCTTCTACGGGGGCCTGTGGCTCCTCCCCAAGTCTGTCACAATCACAACCTGCTATTGAAATGGTCTACCCAAAACCACGTAAAGAATCTAAAGGCTGGGGTTCGGACCGTCCTCTTACTACTATCTTCCCCCTAGTGGCCAGGGTTTTGATTGCGGCTTAAGTCAAGAAACCGGTCTTCTGGCGAATTGGGCGGTCCGTCCCTTCCATTTGCTTAAGCCCCCTGGAAAAAAAAAATAAAATAATATGTCCAGTAGTGATCGGTTCCTGTTAAAACCAACAGGGGAAGAAGCAAAAAAAAACATTTCAGCCAATGGGAGTTCTGCTCCCCTCTCCGAGATCTCCGCTCTCCTGCAGCAGCGGCCGCAGCTGCGCGCCCGCCGCGCTGCGCCCGGCCAGCGTCGAGTCCAACCCGTCGAGGTGCCGCGCCAGGCGCAGCTGCCAGAAGTTGGCCTCCGCTTCGCGGCGAGGAGCCAAAGTTCGAGGAGTTCAGGAGCCAAAGTTCTGCGAAAACACGAATGAACAACAGCAACAAACGATCGCAGCCGAGCGTTCAACCGACCGACCGAGCCAACCAAGAACCCAACCAACCCTTTCTCCAATCAAGCAGAAAAAGCAGGCAAACCACCAGGCCCAGAATAACATTCGTCCAGGTACAACCAGTGACGGTAGAAAGAACAACCGGGATCCTTACAATAGAAACACCTGAACATTGCCTTGTCAATGGTTTCCCCTTATTCTGGTGGAAAAAGCAACATGTTTCAGATGGGCAACATGTATCTTTTAAGGAGCCCTGTTTCAACCATCGATCTTTCCAAAAAACCGGATCCGTTTTCCCTCGGTGTCCAGAGGTTTTCTAGAAAGAAGGATCCCTGGAAAGAATGGGGAAGGCACACCTAGAAAAGTCGGCTCCCGACCCCCGCGGCGAGCGCAAGGCGCCAACTCGGCGGTGGCTGCAAAATTTCACGCAAAACGGCGGCTGCGCGTGTTCGTTAAGATGGGTTTGGATGCATATGTCTCGTTCATCTGGCTGCTCGCTGTCCTCTTGGCTGTTCGTTCAAATGGGTTTGCGTATCACTCGTTCATCAATCACGCCGAATCTTTCGAACAGATGTGGTTTTCGGTGCTCGGTGGTGTTGTTTTCTGAAAATATGTTTGTTGGACATCAAGGGCTCGAGCTCGCCCAGTCAGGGAATACTCGCACATCGTCGACTTCGCATCGACGTTCCCAGGCAAGGCGAGAAGAAAACAATCTAGGGGCTGATTCCAACCAGTCTTTCCAAACATCGTTCTTTTCAAAAGCCAGCTGTTTCCCCAGGGTTTTGGATGGTGTCCTGAAAAGAAGGATCCCTGGAAAGAATGGAAATGGAAGGTAGCCCTAGAAACAAGGCTCGTCGTGGAACGGTTTGCTGGTCCTCACTTCACAGCAGTATGAACTTGTGACTATCGATCATCAGCTACTCAACTGGAAGTGTCTGGCCGGTTGACCGGGCATTCCTGTGGAGCCCATCCGCAAATCGGAAGTCGTTTTCAGCTTGGAACTGGAACCAGCACAAATCCCACCCTCTACTCCAAGAACCTGTAAAAATAAAGGATGCAAACGAAAAACCTGGTTTTGAGCCCGTACGCATGTATGCTTTCCATAAAACCGGGTTTTCCCGCGAAGAACCCGGGTATTTTCGAGAACCTTTAAAATAAAAGGTTCTTGGAGTAGAGGGCAAGCACATGTCCAAGGTCGTTGGTTGTCCTTGCGATTTCCTGCATGCAAAGACCATCAAGGTAGCAAAGGCAGGCGGAAGGCAGACGGAAGGGCCATTGCCGAACGCAGCAGATGACCATCCTGTGGTGTTTTCTGCAACACATTCACTTCCTGTTCTCCCGGATGAGTGAGTCTGCCCGAATACGGCCGATGTCCGCTCGGCAGTTCCCCAGCTTTCTACTCAAGAGACCTTCGGAAGACGAAGTGCCTCTTGGGCAAACTCCCCAAGTCCACTTCAATCATTGCTCAAACCCCCGGTTGCTTCAGATCCAGGGCATGCGTTCGATTGGCCGGCCTGGGTGATCTGCTGCTGTCGCAAGGCAGTGAGCGCTGGGTTGAAGACCTGCACCGAAAAGACGTAGTTCGGTCCTGCGCAGCCAGACAAGTGTGATACTGTGAGTGGAGAAAATCCTGCACCACTTTGAAAGCATGGTTGAAGCCATTGTTGGTTGGTATTTGCAGTTGAATCATCATTCCAGGGTTTCTTAGGTGGTGCAGGATTTTGCCCATCCGCTGTTAAAAAAAAGAGAGGACATTCTGCTGGAAATCAACTTGCAGGTTGCTGGTGAGTTCTGTGGCAAATGTCCTGAATAAAATCCGGTAGCTGGCTTCTATGAAGTGTTGCGCCGAAATCCCTGCACTGCCTTTGCACCATATAAAAGCGGGAAGGGCACACAAGAGAAAGCCGAAGACCCAATGGCTACCCAAGGCTCTTTTTCAACAATATGGATTCTGGTCACTGGTTACTACCTGTGGTTGGGACTGCTCGCTTCTCTGGCCGATTTCATCCTGCACCTGGAACTGCGGAGCTTAAAATCCATTTTGCAGCGGTTTGGATGGACATCGTATGATTGCTGGGATAAGGCGCCACTACCAACTGGTGCGATGGACCGTGGATTTTGTTCATCAATGGGATTCGTTACTGTAACCCCCTCCCCCAAAAACAAAGCAACAAGCACAACACGGCGCCGGGGAAACTCTGGCTTCGCGGTGACAGCGCCCGGGACCCGGTTGGCTGTGTGTTCAATGAATGGGTCAGGGGGTCAGGAGCCCAGAGTCACAATCGAAATTCGGGTTGGAGGGCAAGGGGGGAAGCCCCGAATCCGAAGCCAACCTAGATCCTCCAGTAGAGAGGCTAGAATAAGGGTACCAACCTTTTGCTGTAGTCTATTTTAGTAGGGAACCCTCCCAACCAAAAAGGGGTGAGAGGTCGGGCACCTAGCTGGGGGACCTCGGAAGCCAAAACAACTCTCCTACATCCAGCTTGCTCTCCAGGCGCAGGCGGAAGCTGTTCGAGCCCGGCTCGGAGATGCAGGCGTCCGCCTGAAAACCGGCTCCAATCGGTCGGGGTGGCTGGGTGGCGGCTCAGAATCCCTACGTTGGGAGGGGGTAGGGGGTCCCCGATTCCAGTGATCTAGTCTTCCCCAAAGGGAAATAGTGGAGATCTCCAGGGGTCGAAATCCCCCCTCCCCCAATTCCATGACTAAAAGGGGGCGGGGATGTGCTCAGTCGGGAATCTGGGAATGAACCCAGGGATTCCCCGAAAGGAAACCACGAGGGATTGTCAATGGGGGTCATTTCCTCATTCCCTACTGAGCACCAGCAAGTTAATTGGTTTAGCGCTCTACCAGCCTAACCATTCCATGAAAAAAAGGCCGATTCACCTTTTCCACCAGGAAGCCAAAGGGTTTACGACAAAATGGAACAAGGGATCAGAAAAAGCGGTTCCTTTCCTTTGGGTTACACGCCCCTTTGGGTTTCTGACAGCCAACCTGAGGCCCGAGGGGCCCGAGGGCCAAGGAATTCAGCCCTCGCACCAGAAGCCGATTTTTTGCTCTGCCATGCTCTGCCCCTTTGCACCCCTTGAAGCCCCATCCTCCAAAGGCCATCTGTCAAGCTTGAAGGAAAGCAGGCCAGCGAGAAGCCACTCACTTCACCAAGGTAGGATCCAAATCCTTGTCACATCCATCTCTGAGATCATGTTTTCTCTTTCAACACAACCGTTCACAAATACAAATCCAGAACCCCAGGGGCCGCCCTGCTGAAGGTGAGCTTGCAAGGTAACAGCTGGATGGTTTACCACCAACACGTAATGCACACCCCATACTAAGTGGCAATCGTAGGCGGCATATATATATATATGTATAAATAGTCCTTTTACCAGGAAACCTGCCAGAATACACACCCCTCCCTGTGCAAGAATTGAAGAATGCGGATCCGTGCAGAACCTGGCTATGTCATGTTCGGCCCCCTCTTGGTAACCAACCACCATAAGATAAGGCAGTCAACCACTTTGGAGGGTCAACCATACCCTACATTCGCCCTACGACGAATTCGCAAGTCATCCGAAATCATGTACTTCCCCTCCCTATTCATTCTATAGTGCCCGTGCAAATCCGTAAAACACTCCACTCGAAAAGCTCTTTAAAGTCATTCACTCTACCGACGGACAAGATCCAGTCGGCACCAGGTGCTTCTCAAAACTCGGGACTTGGGTTCCTTTCAAAGGGAGGGGCTCCCTTTTGTTCAGACAAACCCCACTGGGAGGTTCCAGGTCAGGTCGTCCGTCGCCCGTCGCAAATCGCGTCGCGGGTCGAATCGGTCGCACGTCGCCAGTTGGGTCGCGGCCTGGGTGGGGAAGGACTGCTCCGGCGCGAGGCGTGCGAAGGCGGCGCACGGCTTCATGCGCAGGATGTTCACCGCCTGCGAGCAGAGTGGTTCCTACCTGGGTCCTCCAGTAGAGAGCTTCGAAGAAGGGTACACTATTTTTTTCTGGTCTTTTTTAGTAGGGCACTACTGGGGGGACCCAGCTACATTTCCTCTTTCAAATCACATTTGCTGAAGCGAAGCGGTAGGGCTGCCTACATAGCCCAACAAGGAAGCCCACTTTAAATTGGCAACCAAAAGGCGAAACTAAAACTACAACAACGGAACTATGGCTTAAACAACCAATCCCTGGTCCCCTTTGAAGGGAAAGCAACAAAAGGATTCAAACCAAGTTTTAAGGGGGCATCGAGTTAGATTTCTTGTCCAGCAAAAGCGGGGACTGATCTCACATGGGAAAGCTGTGGGTTTGGTGTGTATTTGGCCAACTTCCGGTAGCCAGCTAAAGGTTCGGCCCGACCATGTTTGTTGTCTTGCTTAGTGGGCCCTCACAACATCCAACAGTCTATGGCTGGAGAAACGGCAAGTCACGCTTGAACATTCGTAGTAAGGTTGGATACAAACAATATTATAATATATAAAACACATAAACCCTTTATCCCCTTTGTTCCGGAATGGTTGGTGGGGTTATTCGGAAACCACCAGTGTCGACGCCTGACTAGTTCTATACTTGGCGAGTTGATAAGTGAGCCCCCCAAAGCGGAAGAGCCGTTCCGGGTGTTTTTGGGCTCGGGGTCGCTGCTGGAAGTGGACTGAAGCCAAAGTGAGCCGGAACATGATGGGTGGTGCCAGTGTGGTAGAAACTGGGCTGTCCTCAGATCCCCCACTCAAAGTTTAACGTTTGGTGGGTTAACTGGAAATCCCACCACTAAACACTAAAAAGATCTTAAAGGAACCGGATGGCTGGCTTCGCCAGGAAATCAAAAGCCCAAAGAGGGCTCCTCTTGGCGCCCAAGGCCGCTTTCAAGGGTCAGTGTTCAGTTTGCGTATGGGTCATGAGCCTCCCATCTTCCAAAGCCAGTCCGCCAGTCCGCTTGCAGGTTTTGGACAAACCCCAAACTGGCGTAAAAATGGTAGTGAACACCGGGATCTACATTCGGAACCTCGTTTAAAGGACCGGGTGGGCAACCCAAAACCCTTCTCAGTGTTGGATGCTGATCAACATGAGGCCAACCACACTAACGGGAATGAGAAAGCGTACCTCTCACACGGAAAGAAAAACAAGGTCGACCAAAAGTTTCCGGTTTGTTTCCGGCCAGAACCACCAAACCACCGAGTCTTGGGAACCTCAAATCATAAGCCAGTGTTGATGCTGCAACGAAGCTGCGGGAGTTCGTGGCATATTCCCCGTGGCTTCGCTGGATTCGCTTCAGTCTGAGCTCTGGGATCCGTCTTCCGAGGAAACCCTTGGAACATCTGGAAAATAATGGAGGAGTTCTGTGAACTTGCGTAACCCAGGGTTTTGCGCGGTAATTAAGAGAAGGGTGCAGCAACTAAGCCCGAATCATTCCCGGAAAAAACTTTTTCACCACCCTGGGACATTTCTGAACAATGGCGACCAACGGAAATAGCGACGACAAACTGTCCAATCTGGCAACACCAATTTGGGCGTTAATTAATGAAGAACGGGCGTCGCGAATGGCAGGGCAGCCAAGCAATTCATCGCGCCTTGCAAGAATGCCCTGAAGAAGGTTACGCGCAACAAAATTTAAATGTAACAGTAAGTATCCAAATTTTGACCGAAACGATGCGAATGCAAAGCATGTAAGGGTTTTTGTGGCGGCAACAACACCCCCCCTCAGCATTCAAGGATATTTCGACCGCCAACAATCCTTAATTGCTGATTCCTTTTGAGCATCCTAGTTGCCGACCTCCGGCCTGCCCCCAACAATTGAGAATGTTTCGGTCCGTTTCCAACAAATTCCTCTGTGGCTGACCCCACCCTACGGAGCAATTAAGGATTTTTTCGGGCCTTGCTGACCCCGCCCCTTAACATCTAAGGATTTTGCGGGCGACAGGCATAGTTGCTGATCGGCGCTTCAGGATTTATCAGTTCACAAACATCTTTATTTGGTAGCAGCAGAGCATATGTTTTTGCCAGTTCTCATCTGCGGCCGTCGCTTGAATGAACCCACGCATCACATTTGAAAGTGCGCTGCTGGAATTGCATGTTTCTGCAGGCAAGTACGCATGCACCTCTGCTTCAGCAAATGAGGATTATTTGGGGTCGAATAAATTCTGAAATGTTCAGGGGGGGGGTTCAGCAAGTATTGATTTGGTGGGGCCGACAAATCCTGAAATGCTGGGGGGGGGGTCAGCAGTTAAGTTTTTTTGGGTTGACAAACCATTTAAGAATTTGCGGGGGGCCGCGACGGCGGAAATCCTTGACCCCCTCAGCATTTAAGGATTTGCGGCGGGCCGCGAGGGAGAGGGGTCAGCAAAGAAGGATTAAGGGGGGGCCGCGAGGGCCGAAAAATCCTTACTTGCTGAGGGGGGGTCAGCATTTAAGGATTTGCGGGGGGCCGCGAGGGCCAACAAATCCTTAAATGCTGAGGGGGGGTCAGCATTTAAGGATTTGCGGGGGAGCGAAAATTCCTTAAATGCTGAGGGGGGGTCAGCATTTAAGGATTTGCGGGGGGCCGCGAGGGCCGAAAAATCCTTAAATGCTGAGGGGGGGTCAGCATTTAAGGATTTGCGGGGGAGCGCGAGGGCCGAAACATCCTTAAATGCTGAGGGGGGGTCAGCATTTAAGGATTTGCGGGGGAGCGAAAATTCCTTAAATGCTGAGGGGGGGTCAGCATTTAAGGATTTGCGGGGGGCCGCGAGGGCCGAAAAATCCTTAAATGCTGAGGGGGGGTCAGCATTTAAGGATTTAAGGGGGGTCAGCATTTAAGGATTTGCGGGGGTCGCGAGGGCCGAAAAGTCCTTAAATGCTGAGGGGGGGTCAGCATTTAAGCTTTTTGCAGGTAGTTTTCAGCGCATTTTGGATTCCCAATAGGTGTTTTACCCGTATTGGGAATCCAAAATGCGCTGAAAACTACCTGCAAAAAGCTTAAATGCTGACCCCCCCCTCAGCATTTAAGGAAATGGTGCAGCAATTAAGATTTTTTAGCGGAATTTTGCTTTACGGCCCTCACGCTGGATTTGTCGGTCCCCTGCAGATCCTCAATCACTGACCCCCCGCTTTGCCCTCCGAAATACTTGCTGACCGCCCCTCAACAACGAATGATTTTCGATCCCAAAATCCTCAATTGCTGAAACCCCCCCCCTCAGCAACTGAGGATTTTCTGGCCCCCCTTCAGCAACTATTTTTTGGCATCACCCCCGCCCCCCCCCCGCCCAGCAAAAAATGCTTTTCCGGCCCCGACACCTGCTCAATTGCTGACGTCCCCCCTCAGCAGCTGAAAAACAATGATTTCTGACCCTAATTGCTGACACCCCCTCAGCATTTAAGGCTTTGTTCAGCCCACACAAATCCTGAATTGCTGACACTCCCCCCCGCCCCAAACAAATTCCTTAACTACTGACCCGTAGTGAACAGCTTGTCGGGAAACAGGGCTTTGTTGGCTAAAAAAGGACAAGGACAAGCAGCTTTATTCAGTGAATAGGATTCTGCAAAGGCAACAACAAGTATCCTGTGTACAATCGTCAGCCCGCCCAACATAGCAATTCACAATTTCTGGCCGACCAGCTCCTTAGTTGCTAAAACTTTGCATTGGATGGACAAACCTGACATTGATGACGGCTGGCAACTTTTGGCAGACACTCAAGCCATTACCCTTTGTGGATGAGAGGAAGTTTCGGATTTCAAGAGTTTCATCTACCCATTCAGCAATTCTGGAATTGTTGGTCCCAACAATGTTTCTCTCACCCCCTCGCACAGTTAAGGATTTTGTGGGCCTCACACATCCTGACTTTCTGACCCTCGTCGCATTTGAGGATCGTTCTATATCATGAATTGCTGTCCCCTGATTTGTCTACTTCGACCCTCCAAACCGTTGCTTGATTCCAACTTGCTGGAAACTCAGAGTTTGCGACTGGCAGCATGGACTATACACTTAGTGGCTGAGAAGAAGCTATCAAGGATGGTGGTGGCCAAAGAAACTGAAGGACTTCTGCCCCCCCCCCCCCACTCAGTTAAGAATATGTTGATCATTCAATATTCACAATGGCCCATCCTCAGCGATTGCTGCAACTGCAAAACAGCAAGCAATTAATAAGGCTTTTTGGGGACTCAACCGTCCTTAATCTGAGAGCGACCAGCAACGAAGGACTTGGGAGGGCCGCAAGACTGAATCAGCAATGAACGATTTTTGGGGACCGACGACTCCTGAGCTGCTAGGGCGCCCTTACTGACAGGGGGGTTAGTAATGAAAGATTTATTGGGGCAACTAAATCCTCAATTGCGGGGGGGGGGGAGGGGCTGCAATTCAGGATTTGTTGGGCTAAAAAACCCACAATTGTTGATGCTGTTTGTTTCATGTGTTTCAGACCAAAAACTGAAATTTCCCGCTTGGGAACTTTTGCAAGGGCACCGTACCTTAATCGCTGACCCCCCTTGAAACCCAGATGAATTACGCAAGTTCACAAGGAGTTCCCTGGAAAAAAGTCGTGCCTGCCCATTTGGGAAGGGTCAACCACTTGGCTCAGCAATCTTCAAAAGATTTCCCAAATGTGAGAGAACTAAGTCCCCCAACAAGATCCATTCAAAGACTAAAATGCCCAAAGACAAGCAAGGAAAAAATGAAAAGCCCCGTTTTGGATGATGGCTCAGCAAAACCAAACCAACCTGGGGCCCCAAACGGAAACCAAGCGATGCCGGGCGACGGCACGTCACGTTCCAGCCTCGAAGTCGGCCGTGAAGGGCGTCGTGGAGTTCTCTCCCCTCGCTCCGGAACGAGAGTCGAGGGTGAGCCAAGCGGGGCTGGGATGGCGAGGTCTGGACAGAAATCGGTCAACGGGAAGCTTGGCCGGCGGGGGCTGGGGCAACATTAAGACTGATTCCTCAGAGGTTTGGGCGCGCATGCTTTCAGATTAACGCTCCCTTAAGCAGGGAAGTATCTATCTCAGTGGATTACAGCCATCCCAGGAGACACGGCTATATCAACAAAATGGTGGGCAAGTATGGTCGATTCAACAATATTCTCAGGGGAGCATGGTGATTTCAAAAAGATCCGAAGCTGTGAATGGAGAGCCTTCTGAGTCTGACTGACAATTTGTGAAATAGATCTCGGGCTCTGGTTTTGAGACCTGCAGGGCCGAGCGGCAGAAACGCGTGTCTCGTGTCAAGGAAAAAACGCAGGTCCAGGATCTTGCGCTCTCCCCCAGGTTAACGCCTTTTCCCAGGTTAACTCTCCTGGCCAGGAGGCATCCAAAGAAAAAAAACGAGGGGGAGACAGGAAAACAAAATAACAACGAGCAAAGCCGAGAAAAACGAGATAGCTACCACCCGCTGGGGAAGCTGTCATGCATGTTTTCTGCACAGGCGCAGCACACGGCAGCATGTCGCTCTCACAGTGCATGGTAGCTATTTCAGGATTCTCGGCCCGTCGAGCTGATTATTTTCTTTCTTTTTTTTCCGGGACTCATGGTTTCTGAGAGAGCTGCTTTGTTTGTCCATTGCTTTGTTGGTTGCGCAGGGGTGAAGTCATGACCACTGGAGCGAGACTTGATTCGGAATGGCACGGGGCGCGTGTCGCGTGTCGCGAGGAAGAGGTCCGAGACGTTGGTAAGACCTAGGCCTAAGGGCCGATTTTCCCTGAGTCTGAGGTTGTCTACACTTCCAAATGTCGGTGAGTGATGCCCGTGACGGAGAGATATGGAGGGGAAAAACCGCACGCGCAGCATTGAACTTGCCATGTCTTGTCACAACTTCTCGCCTTGGAAACCCTGAAATTGGCGACCAACCCCTGGGGAAAACCACCAGCATTTGGGACCAGGCCCCCGAATTCCGAACTCGGGGGCCTGGTTCCGAAAAATGGTCACGTATCCCAGCCCCCCGTTCCTTTGGGAATGTGCTCTTCGATCATGTTTGCTCTTTTCACCCAGCAATCTCCTAGAGTCTCAAGGTGTGAAGAGCATTGGCTTGCTCCATCCGGGGATCCGGAAAAAACGGTCAAACATGCGCCCGAAGAAGGTCCAGGTAACGCATGCATGTATACTTTGCTCAAGCCTTCCAGCGTTTTTTTTGCCGACTCGCACCTTCCAGAACTGAAGGTGCTTGCCTTAGCTGCGACGAAGACACACCACCGGCACCGTGAAGAACGGCGGCATGTCGACCACGATAAAGCTTGCCTGAAGTCTTCCAGCCCGACATGCACCGCGAAAGGTGCCGAACAAGAAGGCAACTGTAAAGGCCACCAGAACCGAGGCCGGGAGGTTTGAGTCGTTGAGGTGGGTGCTCCACTGTTGCCAATAACATACCGGTGGAGTGAAACTGGATGAGACAATTTTGTGGCAAAGGAACCACAAGCAATGTCCTGAGCCTTCCCGCTCCTTACGGAAAGATTGTTTACGAGCAATGGGGGCCCGGCTCGCCCCAGTCCCTCTCTATGACGATACAATACCCATTAAAACGGGCAAAATGGAACAAAGACCGGCGGAAAGCCGGCGCTTTGGGACTGTTCTCTACCTTCAGTGACCCGACTGGGTAGCTTTACGAATTGAACTTGGAGTGCCCTCCTTGCAGCAATCGGGGAAAGTGGACCAGCTTTTCTGGGTCCTCCAGTAGAGAGGTTAGAACAAGGGTACCCTATTTTTTTTTGCTGTAGTCTATTTTAGTAGGGGAACCCTCCCCCAAAATAGGGGTGAGAGGTCGGGCACTACTGGGGGACCGGATGCTTTTTGGGATTGATTCCACGTAAGCCACACAAGGACAAACAAAAAAAAAAAAACGGGAAGCCACGCGCGCGCCCGTCCTCGGTGCTGGAGACCACCTGGAACACCCCGAGCTCTTCGGGGAGCGAGAACTCGAATCCTCACGGATTCGTTCAGTCGCGATGGATTTTGGATGGCGAAAAAGAGTTCAAACGGGGTGGGTGCGGACGCCTACAAGCAACAGGGGTTGATTCCCCATTCTTTTCAACCATCATTCTTTTCAAAAGCCAGCCGTTTCCCCTGGGGTTCTGATGGTTTTCTGAAAAGAAGGATCCCTGGAAAGAATGGAAATGGAAGTGTCCCCTGAAATGTTGTTTCTGACAGCTCTTCTGAGCCTGGTTCGCAATGCCTGGTTCGCTCTTTGGGCACAAATCAGCAGCACGTTTCCTGACTAAACTGGGCTTCGAAGTTCGGATGAAGAAATGTCACTTGGTCGTTGCCTGAGCAATGCAAAAATCTTTAGTGCCAGTTGTCTTACCACGGACCCTCACTTGAAAGACAAATCAAAGTTAACTTGCAAACGTCGGTCCATGCCAGTGCCGAAGCTTGCTTTAGGTCCTACGCCGAAGCTTGCCACACAAAAAAGGACAGCCCTGCATGGGTATGGGTGTGGGTGTCGCCAATATCATAAATCCAATTTAAGTTGTGGGAAAATAAGGAAATTCATCAGACCTTTGCTTTTGAACGAAACCCAAGCTTCCTGCGTAAACTTTGAAAATTGAGGGCTGTCTCATTTAACGAGAGAGGGGCCCAACAAGTTGATTCTATCGTCAAACCCTTTGGTTGACGGGTGCGCAACTTGGCCTTGGGTTTAACAGGCACCCTCGTGACAAACAAAGTATTGGCGCAAAAAAAAAGCAGCGTTGAAGTCACAAACGTAGGACCAAATCCATCCCGGACCGGTTTGCTGTACAGAAACCAAGTGCATCGGTTCAGAGGAGTATGATCTGTGGCCCTCCCACCACTGGATGACTTCCGTTCCCAACTGCGAGGAAGGCTTATGAGTCAGAGGTCAACAACCGGCTGAACCACCGGCATGGTTGCCGAAATTAACCCTTTGTTTTTCCACGCATATTATATATTTGCTATGATATGTCCAAAAACAGCAACAAGGGATCACCATGAAACTCCTGCATCAAAGTGAGCGCTGGTTCTTTTCGCGGAATAATTGAGCTCGCGATCACAAAGACCGAGCCATGAACACTCGAGTCACAATCAACACCTGGTGCTAAAGCGCCCCACCCAAAAACGCGCACCTATTTATAGCTGGTGCTGCTCCCCACCACCCCCTCATGTGCCCGAATCGGTTTTGGTCGTGGCTCGCTTGAATTATTCGAAGCCGGAGACATTCGCCGAGCGTCGCACCGTGGAGGCCTTGGCCGCGTTGCTGCTGCTGGGGACCACACCGAAGGAGGCCAGCCGCAGATGCACCGGATACCCTGCGCGATTGTTCCTGCCCTGAAGTGACTGAGTACCTCGGGTTTTCAAGGTAAGCTACAAAAAGGGCACCCCTCTGCTTGTTGATTGATTTTGAAGGGAAGAGCCAGGTCAGATACAATGGTTGGGGTTGGAAAAACCGGATGGCCAGTGAGTTCAATGCCGCAAATCCTCAAGATGCTTCTGGTGTTTTTGCTTCTGAGGCCTGGCGCAGTTGGTTCAGTCGGTTCAGTTGGCCTGGCTTTGTGTAAGCCGTACGGCTCCCCCCCAAGGATTCAACTCCGTGTTTGCCTCAAACAACTTGCCAAACTCGGCTGCCTCAACAACTTGCTTCAAGCAACACACCGTTTTTGCACTGTTTCTCGTAGGGCAAATAAGGGCTTTGACAAGGGCTTTCACAAGGGCTTCTTCATTTCTGGGCGGGGTTACCTGCAATTTTCGTTCCCTCGTGTTTCGGAAAACACCAGGCGGTTTGGCACCCAAAAAAGTAACAACACACACAAGCCGCAACAAGGGGCCAGCGGCTTTTCGTCCGGTCCGGGAATGCCATGGTCCAGTGGAAGGTCATGTGAAACATTGGCTAGGCAGCGAAAACGCGCAAGCAGTTGGTGGACTCCTGAGCAACGTGATTGTTTCGGCCTTGACAAGGCCCGTATATTTGTGACTCTCATGAAAGCGTTCACAAGAACTGTAACAAGGGCTGAAGAAAAGCGCTACTAAGGGCCTTCAAAAAGAAAAACAAACAAAAAACAACTACTTCCGGTGACACCTATCTTGTATTTATTTTATTTTTTGGTTTGTATTATGTGTTTATTATACATATAATACATATACATATATATATATATGTATTTGGGGGGGGGACGTTTGGGGGGAGCCGCTTTGGCAAAAGGAAAGTCCGGAAAGACGTCCCCCCCCACCCCCCCCCAGAAAGGTTCAAATGGAGCTTCACTCGTCGGGCGCGCGCCTGTGACAGCCGGATTCTGCTCGAGGTACGTCTCACCTGGAAGAAAAAAAATCGGAGCCCCGGCGGCTCCGTTGGGTTCCGAGCTGTTGAAGGCCTGGGACCCGAAGAAAAAGCAGTTTGGATCATCGCACAAGGCCGCGGGTTTGTCCTGTGAGTTCCTTTGGTTTTCCAGTCAACCCAAAGGACACGGAAAAACAAGCCACTTGAGGGTAAACACTGGTCATCGTTGAACTCAAGCCTGTGCTCTCATTATCTCGCTCGTGAAATCTCAAGGCATGAGACGTCTTCGGGGTTTCGAAGGGCCAGACAAGTAAGGCAAAGTCCAAAAGGTTTCAGGGCACCCTCGTCGCACATCTTGAGCGAAGTGCTTGGCCAAGGGCAATGGAGACACGGTCAAAGGTATCAACGGAGTCCGAAACCAGAACGAATGGACAGGGCGGCTCTGGCTGGGGCTGTTTTTTTGATCTTCATATACCGCACCGAGCCCATGATCCTGCACTGGATCGTTGGATACTGACACTACCAATGGAATGCGTATCGGTTGGAGGGGCTGTAGTCAAGGCTAGAAAAGTACAGTCTTGGATGTTCGCCAGCCGCAACACGGCTCCAGAAGCAGAAAAGATGAAACCAAGACAGGGAGGCCCCAAGTTTAGGACACACATCCGCAGGTTTGCAAACAGGAACCCAGAAAGGAAAACAGAAACCCGGACTCCGGAGCTCTGCTTCAGAAAGCGCTGAGACGGGAATCCAGCTACTTCACTTTCAAGCAGTTCACTAGCAGTCCCTTTCAGCAGAGCTCCGAACTTCATGGCACAAGCATCGACAAATGGACAGATCGCAGACTTGAGTCCTGAGTGAGGGCTAGTTGTTTGGGTTTTCACGTGAGCGCCCAACACTCATATACCTTTGGTGTTACCAAGATGGGTATCGAAACACCCCACATGACCTGGCAAAAGAACCATGGAACCAAAGCACCCGAACATAGCCGCTGGATGGCACCAGGCCTCAAATGCTCAATACCATTCCAGGTCCTCCAGTAGAGAGGTTCGAATAAGGGCACCACCAACTTTTCTGTAGTCTATTTTAGTAAGGGAACCCTCCCCCAAAAAAGGGGTAGAAGGGCACCTAGCTGGGGACCTAGAAATTCCTACGGAAATAAAAGGTTCACCTTTTGAGCTTGCGACCAATGCACAAGGGGCATTCTGGCCAACGGAAAAAGACCTTGCCTTCCCAAACCAGGGACCAAAGCCCCATGCAAACTCGCTGGGATCCTGCTTAGGCTTCCCGTTCGCCACTCCGGAAACTGAAGGCACATGACCCCTGCTAAGGCTTCCCGTTAGCCACTCCGGAAACTCAAGGCACCCCCATGACCCCAAGGTTATCATAGAAACTGATCCAAATGCCAAGTTCGCCTCAACAAGCACACTTCATGACTCGCTATCGGGGATTCTCCAATCACTGAACGCAACCTGCCCAATTCGTTTCAACATCACCCCACAGGCCAAAATTATGCATGTCTGATTCCTGCGCCCAGTTCAAGACACTTGAAGCTTAGACACCAGCCCCTTGACGGCTCCCCAAATGGCCATGGATCAAATCCAGCTTCCGAGGCCTCCGCTTTGCGATAACTAGTCCGTGGCTGATTGTGAACTCCCCACCTCCCAAAGCCTCTGCTTTGCGATAATTTGCGATTCCGTGTCTGGCTGATCGAAAATCCCCCTCCTTTCGGTTTCCGTCCCAAACTAGGTCCTCCAGTAGAGAGGCTCGAATAAGGGTACCCTTTTTTCTGTAGTCCTTTTTGGTAGGGGAACCCTCCCAACCAAAAAAGGGTAAAAGAAAGGGCACCTAGCTGGGGGTCCTAGTTTCGGTTTCCGTCCCAAAAAGAATGGTGGCAGAAATTCTGAGAGATTCAGATTCACTTCTTAATGCCAGAAGAACCGAACCGGCCCTCTGTTGGCAATCGGAACGGGGTCACCCTGAAAAGACAAAAGGAGCGACCGCTGGATCGAGCGCCTAGCTCCGTCTGCTCGGTGGAGGCGATGGTCCAGTACTCCATGTCCCGGGCCTCCGGGGGGTTGATGACCTCGAGCTTTTTGAGCCGACTTGGAGCCCTGGCAAAAAAAAGAAGCAACCAAAATGTATTGCTTCCCGCATCCTCATGGTCAACACCCCCAGCTGTTTGAGGAAAATGATGGAAAACCCAAGACAACTGAAGATGACACGGTGTGCTGGTGGCCGCGTACTGTGACAAAGGATTTTTTTCGGCCTGAGCCGACTTGGAGCCCCTGCCAGAAAGCAACCAAAACGTGGTGCTTCCCGCATCCTGGTGAGGTCAACACCCTCAACTGTTTGAGGAAAATGATGGAAAACTCATGGTCAACACCCTCAACTGGTTGAGGAAAATGATGGAAAACTCATGGTCAACAGCCTCAACTGTTTGAGGAAACTGATGGACAACTCATGGTCAACACCCTCAACTGTTTGAGGAAAGTGATGGAAAACTCATGGTCAACACCCTCAACTGGTTGAGGAAAATGATGGAAAACTCATGGTCAACAGCCTCAACTGTTTGAGGAAACTGATGGACAACTCATGGTCAACAGCCTCAACTGTTGGAGGAAAAAGATGGAAAACTCATGGTCAACAGCCTCAACTGTTTGAGGAAAATGATGGAAAACTCATGGTCAACAGCCTCAACTGTTTGAGGAAAATGATGGAACACTCATGGACAACAGCCTCAACTGTTTGAGGAAAATGATGGAAAACTCATGGTCAACAGCCTCAACTGTTTGAAGAAAATGATGGACAACTTATGGTCAACAGCCTCAACTGTTTGAGGGACATGATGGAAAGCTCATGGTCAACAGCCTCAACTGTTGGAGGAAAAAGATGGAAAACTCATGGTCAACAGCCTCAACTGTTTGAGGGAAATGATGGATAACTCATGGTCAACAGCCTCAACTGTTTGAGGACAATTGTGGAAAACTCATGGTCAACGGCCTCAACTGATTGAAGAAAATGATGGAAAACTCGGAGTCAACAGCCTCAACTGTTTGAGGGAAATGATGGAAAACTCATGGTCAACAGCCTCAACTGTGTGAGGAAAATGATGGAAAACACAAGACAACTGAAGATGAAACGGTTTGCTGGTGGCCGCGTATTGCAACAAGCGAGACAGGTACACTCAGAAAAGGATGCCTTGTTGGTCCTTTTCTCTGGGTCTTGCGCCTTTAAAAAGCACACACCCAGCCCTTGCGCCCTTGCCGCCCCAGAAACCCCCCCGCCCAAAAATCTCAAAAAACGACACACACACACACACACAGAAGCCCCAGAACCCCACCCCGAAACCCCGGAACCCCGGAACCCCAGAACCCCAGAACCCCAGAACCCCAGAACCCCAGAACCCCAGAACCCCAGAACCCCAGAACCCCAGAACCCCACCCAGCCCTTCAAAAAAACATAAACAAACACATTCAGAAGCCCTGCCTTGACCCCCGAACCCCCGAAATCCTAAGCCCCCCCCCGCGAAAGATCCCCCGCCCAGGACCCGCCAGGCCACGCCCAGCTGGAAGCGGAAGATTACCCCCGCGGCGAGGTACGAGAAGTCGTCCAGCTGCAGCTGGATCACGTTGAGGCCCCCGAAGCCTCGACGCGGACACTACTGGTTGGGCCGTTTTTTGAAAGTCACCAAGCACCCCTTGTTTGGGCTTTGATAGGGTATGTTGTTTTCTGAAAGTATCCAAGTACCCCTTTTTTGGCTGGGTCTGTTGCCTCCGTTTGCTGAAAAGTCGCCTGGAAGGAATCAAATATGTCCAGTAGTGATAGATTCCCCTTAAAACCAACAGGGGAACATTTTGTTGAAGTCCCCCAAGTACCCCATGTTTGGGGTTTGATAGGATATGTTGTTTTCTGAAAGTACCCAAGTACCCGATTTTGCGGTTTGATAGGGTATGTCTTTTTTTCTGAAAGTCCCCCCCCCTGCCCTTTCGGTGGTTTGAACCTGAAACGAAAAGGACAACCGCCATGTAGTTATGCATGGGGGGGGGGTTAAAAATAAATAAAAAGCAATTGGTGGAACCTTGGGATAGAAAAGTTCTGGCTGATTGGAGTGTGTCATGAGTGTCCCATTTCAGAGGGGCAAACCAAACTGCCCTGAGACGTTTTTTTGCCGATGCCTGATTCGGACAAAAACTCGGCTCCAAGCGACTGGAAGTACATACTTGCTGAAAACAGGGCTCCCAAAATTGAGGAAGAAGACTCATACCCTGGGTGTAAAATACGCGACGCTTTCTTCAGGCCTGGAAAAAAAGCCAGAACGAATCTCGCGATTATTTTGGGGGAACAAACTAGCCCCATGATTTCTCAATTGTCAAAGTCACCCCCCAAGTGGTAGGTTAAAGGAAAGCAACCAACCAATTTCTGACTTTGACAACCCCCAGACACAGTCAAAATAGTGAGCCCAGACAAAGGTGGACCAAAGGTGAACTCCCACTTTTTCTAGGACTGGTCTTTAGCTAGTTGGTCATGTCAGCGTCGGACCTTCCTAACGAGCTGCGGTCCTCTGCATCAGAATTCAAAGTTGAAATGGGTGTGTCTTAAAATGGGGCAACCCAAAATAATGGTGGCTATCCTGTGGGTTTCCTAAAACCCACCCCTAGAATGGTACCCTCAAAAGAAGACACCCAATGAATGAATCCATCCCGCGTCGTGAGCTACCTCCCGACGTTCGAGGGGAAACCCACTTCATTTGGGCGCCAGGCCGGCAACGGAGAATGATGCAGACACCGAGCACCCGTGAGGTCACATATGCGACTGGACCTCCTACAAGGGCAGCGCCCTGAACCATAACATGGTCAGAACTGCTCCAATTGAACTTATGGTAAGACCACTTGTGGTATACTCTAGCATACTTACTTGGGTGTGGCTCAAAATTAAACAGGAGGGGCAAACCGCAGGTTTTGGTCCATGTTTCCACTTACCAGGGTTCCATTTTGGTACCGGTTTTTTGAGCCACAGCCACTTGACTCGAACATGGTAAAACCAGCTGCCCACGAGCTCGTGGAATCGGTTTTGGGCAAACGACGCTTTGAAAGCGGCCTCGCATGCAGGCCGTGGTCTCCGGCAAGCTGACCTGCTGCCCGGTGTCGGGCTCGAAACCTGAACCGTTCCCGAAGCGCAAAATGGGTTTCGAAGAGAACCAGGCTATATATCACAGATTCTGGAAAGAGCTAGCCACCTTTGGGTGAAAGTAGATGGCGCATTTCCCCAATTTTGGTTTAGCAAGCCCCTCTGCTTCCCCTCATTAAGGGTAACTGGTGCCATCAACTCTTGCCTTGGTGTGCTGATTTTGTGTGTGCCGTTCAAAGTGAGCGACCCCAAAATGTTGGTTTCCCTTTGGCTTCCACTCGAAACCACCCCTACCCGGACCGAAAACCAATAGCAAACCCCGCTTTTGATCGGAACCCCGCTCCCCCCCGAAGGCTCTAGGTCCGGGTCCTAAAACGACCTTTTTCCCGCGAACACACCTCCCACGGATGCGGGCCTTCACAGGGCGTCGGCAGCACGTAGCCCTGGGACCAATCCCGGGTGCCCAAACAGAAAGCGCCGCCTATCCTCAGACCCGACCCCAAACCCCAAAATGTGGAGGCAGTACCCGATTTTGTGGCTGAAACCATGGTCTACCTATATTAATATATATATATATATTCCCCGACATCACCCCACCAAAAAGCAAACTCACTCCAAATTGGCAACCAAAGACAATGATCAAACCCGGCAAAGGGGGGACATATCCCTGCTTAACACCTATAGAGCAAGGATGTTTCAACAGTGTGGTGTAACTCTTGGGTTTAAATCAAATGGTCGAAACCGGAGAAGGCCGGGAAATATAGACCGCCCTATTTAAAACCGGGAAAGCAACACATGTGTCAACGGTGTCACCTTCCAAGCTCCGGCCCTCGGGGAAAAAATCCCCGGGAGCCGAGCCCGGACTGGCCTGGGGCGCGGTGATCAGCAACGAGGCCTTTGGGGGCAGCGTCAGGGAGGGCGAGACCTCGATGCTCACCGACCCTGCCGCGAAGCGCTTCGCGCCGCTTCGCGCCGCGGAGCGCTTCGCGAGCGCCACATGGGGGCGTGGCGGGCGTTTTTTTTCTTTTTTCTCCCCCGGAGCGGTTCTGGATGTTTTTCTCCAAGTGAGCAAGGCCTTGGGTTTGGTGCGGTGAACTTCCAGAAAATAGGTTTTGTCTCGCAGGAAGAAACTGTTGTAATCAAGGTCCTAGCGTAACTACAACAGCATCCCCAACTGGCGGGCCCGCAAAGCGCAAAATCGAAAAAATGCTAGCCATGCCAACTAACAGCTGCATGGTTTTCCACGTTCTCCACATGCATTCATTCAGCTTGCGCAACATTGTCTCCCCCGACATCTCTCAAGCCCAAGCTACCAGCTTAGGCAAGTTACGAGAAAAGAGCGCGCACACAGTCGCGCGCGGCTGTGCATGATTTGTTACATAATATGGTTTGTCAAGGCCAAATCTGGTAGCCTACATCAGGTGCGGCACCACCCAAATCTGACCCCCCCCCACCCCAAAACAAACAGAAAGAATGGCCATCCTTGGCACTCCAATTCTGCCAATAGTATTCAGCAATGTTAAGCCAGTAACTGCACAATGCAGCACGAAAGCCTCAATTTCTGCAGAGTACCAATTTAGCACTCAGAAATGCCAAGCCAATACTAAGATGCACAATCCAGATTAAGTATGGAAGCCTCAAGGGACGCGATTTTTTGTCTTTCAGCAATGCCAAGCCATTCCCAAACGGCTTTTGGCCCAGATTCATTGGGCAGTGCCCTTTTGCCTATAGCTTGAATCCGGGCTAGACCCTAACCAACCAGTTCTGAATGGAGCTGAGGCCAGCGGGGCTGAAACCGGACATTTTTCCCTCAGATCGAAACCTGAGGCAGCAAGCTGAAGGAGCCATGCGCATTGCTGGTGAATTTTTGAAGGGCGCATTGCTTGGGGCGGAGCCAAACCGGGAGGGCGTTTTTGTTAAAGGGCACCAGAGACATGTGCGCACCAGAGACATGTGCGCCTTGCTCGCCGGCGCCCAGCACTAAAGGCACCAGGCTCGCCCGCTGGAAGGACCACAGGAAGAAGGCCTCTGGTGGCCAGAGCAACGACACCCAGCACGGAAAGGGAAGCCCCACATACTGTGGATGGACGAAACCGTTCGCACCACTTTGAAACCACGGTTGAGACCATTGTTGGTTGGTATGTACGTTGGGGCATCGACTCATTCCAGGGGACCTTGGTGCAGGATTTTGTCCATCAGTATGTACCCCACGCGCGTGGTGGTGGGCTAAAGGGACACCTCCCAAGTTTCTCACTTTCAGAACCCTAGAAATAGTCAAACAATGCCCCCAGTGCCATGGTCAAAACTCCTATCTCTGTCCTCTGGACACGGTTCCCTTCATAGGGATCAATATAACGGTTCCTAAGGATCATTATTACCAGGTGGATAGTAAAGGTCTCTTGCGACCATGGCACATATGGGTTTGTCTCAAAATCACTGAACCCCAAAATGGGTTGTTTCCTTTTTTGGTTTCCCTGTCAACCAACCCCAAAGTGAAACCACCAAAACCAAACACCCACGTATCGACAGACGAAAATCATCAAGCCATGGGTGAACCCCCCATGAAAGAAGAACTCCTTCTTGGATAAATCAAAATGCAATATCTCGGCTCTGGGGTGCACTGCGGAGCGCACCCTTTTCTTGAGCCAAAACCACACGGAGTGCAATCAGCGCATTGGGCAATTATGACTATACATATCATGACTCCTCCTTGCTGGAAGAGCGTCTCTGTACACGCTCGCACAGCAATATAGGTAGCGGAGTCTGGCCAGGGACCTTAGCCTTCTAGTAGCTTAAGCTGTCCCTTGCTACGCTGGTTAAGGAAAACATAACCACACCTTCGCATGGTCTCAGACATCTGTACACCTGGAATGCTCTTTGTTAGAGCATCCGCCCTGTTGGACTTGCCAGGGGTATGCTCCACCCTCAGATGGTCCATGCTGACCCTTTCCTGCAACCACAGGAACCTCGTCTGGATGTGACGGGCCTTTCCCAGACCTGCCCGATTGACAGTTCCTTTTGCTGCAGTCGCATCTGATTGAATCAGCACCTGGGTCTCGACCGCAAAGTCCTCCAAGAGTGACTGTAGGCCTAGACCAACTGAACCTCCTTTGACAAGAGCATAATACTCCGACTCCCCAGTCGACAAAGCGATGGTCGACTGCACATTGCTGCTGTGCTTGAGCACATGCAACCCATACAGAGCAACCATGCCTGTTGTGGATCTCCTCGTTATTGCGTCTCCGGCATGATCGGAATCCACCTGGATTCGGAGCTTGCTCGGCTTGGCTTGCCGTGCAAAGACCTGACACACGTCCGGCTTCTTGATGAGGTAGCGACACAGTCGCTTCAAATCCTGCAAAGATGCCTCTGTAGGAGAAACCATCTTCCTCGCAAGATTCTTCACAGCGTGGCTGATGTCCAACCTGTCCTGTGACAGGTACGCTGCCCTCATCACGCATGAGCGATACAGGGAAGCCTGCTCTTTCGGTAGAGCTGGGCTCCGGGCTTCCTGCATCTGCAAATCCACGGACTTCTTCACGTCCGGTGTCTCCGCTCCCTTGGCATTCTCCATGCCAAGCTGCTGCACAAGCAAATCAACATGGCGTCGATCTGGCTCGATCAGGATCGCACTCGCTCCTTGATGTTGTTCACAACGAATGAGCCGGTTGAGAAAGTGGACCTCCTTGTGGTCTCCTTCCTCATCACCTATCGTCCCGAGCCATTTCAACTCGTAGGCACTGCGAAGCAAAGTATCTACTTCCTTCAGCGCCTCGGCGTCTCCTAACGCCATGAAATCATCTCCGTGCACCAGCACTCTTATTCCCAGTGTCGGGTGATAGAACACTGAGCCATTTGACTTTCCCCGGAGATATCCGGCTTTGATCAACAGCTGCGTGTAGTGCTGCTGCCATATGTTAGGGGCATCCTGTGTCCCGTACATCGACTTAGTCAAACGACCCACCATTCCCGGACTGGCGTCCTCGTCCGGCAACTGGATGTATATGCGGCGTTTGGGTACGCCATAGAAGTGGGCTCTTGATATATCCCAAAGTCCGATCTTGAGTGGTCGTCCTCCATGGGATACACGCTCAGTGGCCCATAGGCTACATAGCAGCCTCATAGCCTCTAAAGGCGGTGTTGACGAAAACAGCATGTTCTGAGGAATCCTTTCCTCTGGACTCTTCCGGGCCTTGATCTCCCGGACCACCAATCTCGACCTGAAGTTGGGATTGGCGGGGTCTCCCTTGTTGGTGTCTATCCAACGGGTGGTGATTGGACCCTTCCCGTTGGTCTCTCTGAGGCATTCCTCGAGCGGCACCTTCTCGTAAACCTCTTGCTTCCTAAGATAGTCCAACTCGAGCTGACGTGCCTCCCTGACTCGGTCTGGTGGCAAAAACCCACCATTCACGTCGTCCCAGTACTGCTCCACGTCTTCCGGCGTCACGAAGCTCTCCTCTGGGATTGGACCTGCAACTGCTGCGTCCAATGCACTCAACTGGCCACTCTCTACAAGGTGGCTCTTCAAAGTCTTCAGGACCGCTCGCACTAGCGCTGGCGGATAACGGGCCGCCGGTCTAGCGAGTCCTCCGATCAGGTGGATGTGCCGGTGCCATGGTTTCCCCGGCACATTGTTGGTGCATTCGCCCTCCAACAGTTGGGCCAAACCTGGATGGTTGGTCATCCAGCCAGTTTCTTTCCGCACATATCCTGTGCCCTGCAAACCCCTCCGGTCCGTAGCGACCATAGCCCATCTGCACATTGGGCCTCGGACAGTGTACACGTCCGGTCTCTCAGTGAGCTCACGGACCTCCGGGTCTTTCCAAGAGGTAGCACTCCACGGTGCCTCATGCAAGAAGAACCTACCTGCCTGCAACTGCTTCCTGTAGAACCTACAGGCGGTATGCAAATGAGCAACTGCTCTATCCATCTTCTCGCGCCTCTTGTCTGGGCTCACCCTGTACTTGTTGATGTTCTGGAGCTGGGAGAATTGGTCACAAGGTGGGCTCCCTGTGAGCAATGTCGGCTCGACCTCGTCCACATACTCCTCGAGCTCTCGGACGTCCTCAGTCTTGCTGAGATCCCAGTAGGAACCGTCCGGTTTCTGCTCCTCAAGGTCTACCGCAAAGCCCGGCCTCAAGCCATACTGCCCGGCTTGGGCCGTGAACCGCTTCGGGCTGTAGATCTCCATGATATCAACAGCGCCCATCTCCACGCACAGCTTGGTGATCTGCTCCAGCTCGACCGCGTTGATCTCCACCTCCTGAGCCAAAACGCTCTCTCTACTTTCCGTCCAACCATGGACTTCAACATCCTCTTCAATCGACCCAGTTCAAGTCCACCCACGTCTGGGGGCTTGTCCGGGGTGTTTGAAGTCTCGGCGTCAGCCGCCGGTTGAGTCTCCGTTCGGAGTTCTTCAGGAGATACTGCGGGCTCTCGCTTCTCACCTTGCTTCTGCTGCGTCTTCTGCTTGGCTCCGGGCGCTATATACAGCGCTCCCGGTCTCTTGATCTGCGTGGTCGGCTTCGCCTTGCTCTTTGGGCTACTCGATGCTGGCGGGTCTGCTGCTGCTCTCTTGAGTTCAGCCCTCTTCGCGGGATCCTCCACATACTCCATCACTTGTCCAGGGTCTTGCCTAGATCCTACTCCGGCCTCAGCGGCCGGCTCTCCCATGGCCTCTTGGGCTGGGAGATCTGCTTCCACTCCTACTTCCGCGGTCTCCTCTCTTTTCCTTTTGTGAGCTTCGACACGGCGTCGTCCTTGCTCATCATCCATCATGAGACCGACGATTCTCGCTCGGCACATCTCAGTGTGCGGCAACTGAGTGGATTCCCCTAGTAGCACGCAAGTGCATCCAGGACATCCATCAGTAGGTTGGTACTTCTCCACATCTGCCTTACGGATGTAAATCCGTCGCTGCTGTGGCGGTGCCATAACAGGCACAACCTGAGGCGGAACCTCAACCCGGTCTTCACTGACCAGCAGGTCCTCCACTCCTTGAGCAGGAGTTCCCGGGGCCCTCTGCCCCGGCGTTCCCGGCGCTCGCACTGAGACCTCCCACGGGTAGCCTTTAAGGCTTTCCCATCCTTGTGGATTCCATTGATCTTCTTCTGGAAGTCGACGAACACCAGTGCCTCTCTTCACTCCTTCTGAGGTCACAACCAGCAAAGTGCCAGTCCTTCCGTGGTGACCTATGTACCTGCCTTCCTTGAGTGGCCTAGCTCCTTCTCCTACCTCACGGTAATACAACCGCTCTCCTATGGCGATTGCCGGCTTTCTCCATTCTCGGCCACACCTCCTTTGTTCCGGTGTCTTCCCGTCGGAACCTCTCTTGTACCTGCACATCAGGTCTGCTGCATGCCTTGGAAACCAAGACAGCACAGGGTCGTCATCCTTCAAGACTCGACCCAACTTCTCCTCCAGTGAGGATCGCAGGACTCTCACCTGCCTTTTGAGTTCTCGGCACAAGTTCTCGATTGCGCCATTCGCCCGGTGGTCAGCCACCGGCGACTCCTGTGGAACATTCTCCACTCCTGCTTCCTTGGCCGCCTGCTCCTTCAGGGCAACGATCGAATGCTCACCATCACTCTTGAAGACTGCACGACGGTAACCAAGATGCTTTATAAAGTTCGCCATGAATTTGACCGCATATGGCGTCGGTCCTTTTGCGTCCACGAAGGTGGCCGCAACGGCCAGTGTCCGACTGTCTCGGATCACCAGGATAGGCTTAGTCTTCCCATCCTCCTTTCCATCTCGCGTCATCCATGTGTAGTCGCACGAGATTGTCGCGAGCTCATCGCTCGCCTTGTCCTCTTCGGGTCGTGAGCGATGCTGCTGACCCAATCCTCTGCCGGCAAGACAATGCCGACACCAGTTGCGATACTGCACGTGACCTGTTGCCTCATGCTCCGCAACCTCGGCCCTCGATGGGCCTCCTGGTGCTCTCACCAGTGCGGGCGGCGCGATCTCGCCGCTCTCATCCATCTCATCACCCTCGGGCACACCTGCGGGTCGGCCCGCTGGTGCCTCTGGGTTCCCTTGTCCGGCACCCACGGCATCATCTGCCGCTGCAAGTGGTTTGGCCGGACTTACGCCTCGCTGGACTGCCGTCCAAAACCCGAACAATCTTCCGACTTCAAATAGAAGTTGTAAACTCCTTTCTCTTGGTATATGGGCAACCAAGTATTCTTTTGGGCTTTACTGGGCTTGTTGAGCAACTGCTGAATTTTCCTTCCTGTCGCTGAGTCTGCTGGAATCAACTGTCCACCATTTTGATCAAGAACAGCCATCCTTCCATGGTTGAGGCATTTGTAAGCTGAAACCAACGGTTTGTGTACCGGTGCTAATGGCCCTGTGACTTTACACCTGGAACCTGTTTCACTCTTACCTTGAAACGTCCCGGTTCCGGTCCCAGGGACCAGTTCCCCCGATGCTGTCTTGAACATCATCTGGGCTCCTTCCTTAGTGGGGATGCGGTCTTTCCAATCCACTGGAATAGCAGTTTGAGCAGCCCCCGTATCAAGGTTGAACCGAACCCAGCTTGGGTCTTTCGGGGGCTCTCCCTGGGTGAATGCACCCAGCTCAAACATTCCCACTTCGGCCTCCGGTTGTTCTTCTTGGTCTCCAGCTTCGTAGTCGGCGTCCTCGAATCCTGCCACATGCTTCTGCTTGGAGCCAGACTTCCCTGAGCCTTTGGAACCTTTTCCATCCTTCTTCTTGCTCCAACACTCGGCCGCTCTATGGCCGGGCTTACCACAGTTGAAGCATGCTCCTGCGGGTCCTGAGCTGCCTGAACCACTGCCTTTACCTTTTCCTTTGCTGTCCTTACCTTTTCCTTTGCCTTTGCCTCCACCTTTGTCCTTTCCCTTACCTTTGCCTCCTTTCGAACCTTTCGAGCCTTTGACCAGCGAGTTGAGCACCTTCGTGATGGCGTCCACGTCCATCGGAGCGGGGCCTTGCCCCGATCTCGAAGCCCCACTGGACCCCGGTCGATGGACCGTCCCTTTTGCTCCCGTGACTGTTTCAATCAGAACCTCAATCTCCTGCTTCATTTCCTCGTAGGTTCCCAGCCGGTTCTTGTTCAGAATGAGGTGGCGCTCAATGTCGGTTGGAACCAGAAGTTCTAGGGACGTACACTTTATGTCCTGAGAGAGGATTTCCCTCTCGCCCCTTTCGTTCCTTCTGGCCTCATATCGGCGCATCAAATCATCTAGTTGTTCCATGGCCGGTCGAACTGCTTCCCAAGACTTAACTCTTTCGGGGTTGAGGATGGCCCTTAGGATGTTCCTCTTCCTACCTGCGGTGAGGGGGTCCCATCTCCTGTTAAGCCTTCGCCATGCCTCATACCCGTTCTTGGCATTGATGACCAGATCTTCGGACTCATGAGTAGTAAGGGATGACAACAACCTATACAGTTGGTCTCCCTTATCATCCAGTCCGGCCATTCCCAGTTCGCCTCCATGTTCCTCTTCTACCTTTTCAACAGTGATCTCCTCATCCTGATCAACTACCCATTCAAGGATTGACTGGAAACTGGATCCAAAGATTGCCGTTGTGAGGTTCACCACAGACCGGGCCCATCTACGGAAGTGGCCGTCATCATTGGAGAAGACTTCCGGTTTTCCAATCCCTTTGGTGTCTATCAACAACTTCCTATCGCCTTTCTGCAGGCTTGTAGCTAACCTACCAAGGTTCTCTGCCAAAGCAGCTATACCTGCCTGGCCTTGCCTAAGAAGTTGATTCTCCTGTGACAACCGCTCAACTGCCTGCTGCAACTCTCGCACTGTTTCCTCCATGCCTTATATCCGGTGCCAAGCACCGGGAGGTCAGTCCGCCTTCCCGGACTCTTCTGTACTATAGTACGACCCCGAGCTCGATCCGCTTTTCGGCTCCGGCGCCGGTTGATCGTGAAGGTGAACACTGCCCTCGGTCTCGCTCAGGGGTGTAGCCGGCGACGGAGTCGGTGGCGGAGGTGGCGGCCGCTTCGGCCGAGCCAGCGAAACCTTCGGCTCGCTCTTGGGCTTCTCGATGTGGGCCTTCTCCTTGAGCACCCACTTCGGTCTTGGCGATGGAGGTGGTACCTTCGCCTCTATAGCCGCTTTTGCAGGAGGTGGCTTCACCTGAGGCTTCGCGATAGCTTCCGGTACTGACTTTGAGGTCGTTCCTACCGGTACGCGCCCCCTTGTCGCCCCTTTTGCAATTGCTGCGGCCCTGGCCAACAATGATGGCCTCTGAAGGCGAGTCCTCTCGTCGCACGAGGAACACGGGTTCCCTAACCCGTCCAGTTGCAGCACACTCTGCTGGATGGCTTTGGCCACCGAGCCCGTTGCTCCGGCTCGGTATGCAGCTTCTGCCGATGCCGCCTTCCTGAGGCGGTAGTTCGAGGCCAGGTTCTGCTCGCTCGTCCCTTCACCGCGGGATGTCCTTGCCACCGCAAGCTCTTGTATGTTCCTGTGCACCGTAACCCGTCGGCCGAGAGCTTTGGCTGCCTCGGCGACCGGTGCCAGCAGCTCGGGCTCAGCGCCCGGTGAAGGCTCCTTTCCTTGGGCCTTTGTGAATCCCTTCGGCGGTGTCTTCGGAGCAGGGCTGGACTTAGGCGGGGACTTCGGTGGTGTCTTGGGCTGCACCCGGCGCCTCTTCCAGGGCGCCTGCCCGAAGTTCTCGATCTCCTCCTGGAGCTCCGCGGATGGCTCTTCCTGCTTCTTCTGCGCGAGCTTCAGGAGGCCTTTGAGGATCCTAAAGTGCCGACTGTTTTGGCTTCTCCTCTTGTCTTTGCCAGTCGCACTCTGCCACCACCGAGATCCTGACGACCTAGGCGTGTGAGCGACCTTGGGCTCGGGCTGGATCCTGCCCTCGCTGCCCCAATCGCCCCACACGCTCTCGTCCTCGCTCTGGCCCTTCTGCTCCAGGTCGAAGTCCGTGGCCTCGGGCTCAAACTGCTTCTTCTGCGGCGGGTGGAGGTCCTCCTTCTTGTCCTCGTTGGTGTATTGTTCCAGCTCCTCCTCCTTCTCCTCTGCCCGGCTTCCTCGAGCCGGTTCTGGGCCCCTGTGGCCACTTGGCAGAGCCTCTGGCTCTGAGGAGGGAGGAGATGCAGCCTGGGATCCTCCCCAGTCTGCTTCTGACTCAGCGGCAGGCTCAGCGGACAGGGTGTCTTCTTCTCCTTCACTCGGAGGGGCAACTAGCTCCGGCCTCTCCTTCGGCAGCTCTTCCGCTGCCCCGGTCTCCTCGACCGGCTCTGCGGCTTTGCCTTTGCCGCGAGCGGGCCGCCTCCACGGCGGCTCCTCCTTGTTGCTCTTGCCCCTGCCCTTCTTGCCCTTGCTCTTGCCCTTCTTGCCCTTGTTCTTGCCCTTGGGCCCCTCGTACGGCTTTCCAAACCAAATGGACCGTCGAGGCTCACCCGCTACCATCAAAATGCAATATCTCGGCTCTGGGGTGCACTGCGGAGCGCACCCTTTTCTTGAGCCAAAACCACACGGAGTGCAATCAGCGCATTGGGCAATTATGACTATACATATCATGAATAAACCTCATGGGACAAAACACCTGGGTGCAGGAGTCCTCACATCAGCGTGGCCAAGAGCCGAATCCATTTCAACAAAGTGCCGGACAAGCTCTCCAACCTGTCCCAACTCAAGTAAGAAAACCAAGTTGAGGCTTCATAAGCCATCACCTTCATAGCCTCCGCATTCACAAGACCATCAAACAACCTGTGCAAGTTGATCAAACAGTCCCTTACATGGGGTGACCATTGGAAACACCACTAAAAAATGTTTTTGAGGTTCACTCAAATAAACCAATAGACCAATGGAAACCTTTCCCATATGGTGGAAACCACCCATTGGTGTATTTTGCTAACCACCCATTGGTTGATTTTGGGGGCCACGAATTTTGCCCAACCCCCAAAGTCAGATGATGCGTTCTGCGTCACGTTCGAAGGTGCCTTTCGTCGCCGCTTCTCTGTGAGCCGGAGCCGCGAACTCAACGAACCCATGGGAGAAAAGTGACATGAAAATGTATGGTTTATTTTGGGGCCAACCCCTACTAGCTCCTCCAGTAGAGAGGATAGAATGGGGGTACCCTTTCTTCTGTAGTCCATTTTAGTAGGGGAACCCTCCCCAAAAAAGGGACCAATCATGTTAATGAACCCCTATTTTCAGTCGGACGAATTCGAATCCTTCCAATTTCCCCGTGTTCCGAAAAAGGAAAGCCCGTTCCCAAGGCTCGTTTTGGCGCCCTGTTTCTTCAGTGAGTCGGAGCGAGGACTTCTCGAAAACCCTCGGCCTGGACCTCCGCGGCGTCGAGGATCCCCAGCGGCTCGAAGCTCTCGAATCGCCAGAGATCCTGCGCCAGCGGCCACTCGCCTCGGAGCCGCCGAAGCCGCGCGAATTCGGCGATGGCTCGCTCGAGCGAGCCGTGGATCCCGTTGGTGGCTGGGCCGTTTCGAGAGTTTCTCGCCGGGGAGAAGTGACTCACCTTGGTGGGTTAAATCGACACGTTGTTAAACATGGAAACAAACAGCGGGTTAAATGGAAACAAAAACCACTGAGCACTAAAAAGCTAAAAACGCTCAGGGGATGGCTGGGAACCACCAAGATTTGTTCTAAATAGAGTCAGCCAATTCCCATGCAATTCCTGTGCGAGTCCGTCCAAAGCCAGGGAAAAAGGAAAACTGGGGGCTACCGGGACTGTTCCCTTTTGGTTGCCATGGGCGTGATAGAAGGTTGGGACTAGCAATAAAGATTCAATTGGAACACGTTGAAAGGGGCCTGAAAGGGCATTGCCGCCCTTTGATTAGGGTTGTAGCCCCCCTCTTTGGAAAAAGCAAATCGCGCAACCCACACCATGCGAGGGCCAAGGACTACCCCACACTTTGCAGGCACGGTCTGTCTTGGTTGCACAACAAGCAGGACAAAACAAAAACAACAATGCTTCCGAAGTACTTGGGTAATGCAGTTGCCCGAGTTGCTGGAAACTTCGGATGAAAGCCAAGGCGCGCAACAAGCACGAACTTCGCAGAGGAATCCATGTAATAGAAAAAGCCCATACGCAAAGCCTAGGAAACATTTACCCCAAGGGCCCGAACAGTTTCCGCCTTGCAAACGCACCCTTGGCTCCTTCCGTCAATTTGCCGGGGAGTAACCTGGCCTTCCTAAAAAGTGAGCAAAGCACCTCGCCAAGGAAAAATGGGGCTGCATGTCAACTTCTTGACTCGTTACTTGTCCCACGTGTGAAGGAACGTAGCAATGAGAAGCCCAAAGGTAAAAAGGTCAAAAGCTTGGTGCGCTTTGGGCGTCGCGACCAAACCGGCATAAGGGTTTACCCAAACTTGGTTGACGTTGGAAGGGGAGCAAACATTTAAACTTTAGCAGTCAAGTGGTTGGAGTTCAACCACTAAACCACCATAAGATCAAACATGGGCAAAATCTGGCCTCACTACTTTACCATGATCAAAGTCACCCCCTAAGTGGTGGGTTACAGGGAAACAACCCACCATTGTCTGACTTTGATACCCCCCAGAAGCCGGGGAAAGAGTGGCCCCAGGAAATGTGTCCCAACCACAACCAGGCGAAGCCCTAGCCACGCTCGGCCCAGCGGCCCGGGTGTGGCATCACCGGGTTCGCCACGCCCAGGCGGACGCTGTACCGGATGGCCGCGTCCAGTGGCTCTGACAGCACCAGCCTGGCGCAGAGGGACATGGCCGTGGCCCAAAAACCGGAACTCCAAACTGGCTGGAACCCTGGCAAGCGGAAACCTGGACCCAAAACCTGCGGTTTGCCCCTCCTGTTTATTTTCGAGCCACACCCATGGCTCAAACCCAAGTCGTACCCCCACAAAAACAACATCTGCACCGAAAACCCCAAAATGGCACCATTGGTTTTGAACCATGGCCATATGAATTCTCATGGGAGACCCGTTGGTGGCCATCCTTAAGCTGGGGATTTGTATGGCCACCGTGCCATGAGATTGCTCCCAAAATGGTGATTTGTTGGTGTCTATGTCGATCAACTGTGGGTTAAAAAGATGGCGCAATTTCAAAGAGTTTGGTCTGGTACTCTAATAGGAGGATTGTGGCTATTTCAACTTGGCGTACCTCTCAGAAAGAGCCACTGCGCGCGCGTTTGTCTTTGTGTTTGCGTCTCTGTGTGCGTGCGAGAGTGCGCAAGTGCGTGTGCGAGGCCAACCCCAGCCTTCCTAGGGGGTAATTAGTCCTGGACCCAGGCCCCTTGCACCAAACCCAGCCAATTTCCAAATGCACACTTACCTTTCACTAATTATAGGTTCATTAATTGTAATTCTAAGTTTAAATTGCGCGTTGTACTTTCGAACCGCAAAACGAGAAAAACAGCAACAGTTTCATTTAAGTCGCTCGGAAACTGCGATTTTGGCGGTTTTCGTGTCCGGGAATTCGGACAAGCACGGACCGAAGAGGAAATCCGGTCGACCCTAAGTCCCCAAATCTCATTTTCGCATGAGCCAATGTTTATTACCGGGGCGAGGCGTATTTGTTTGGGAGAGATTGTGTTCAAGCATGCCGTTTTATTCCCCAACAGAACGTCAAAAGGCAAAACCTTGTATCTCTTCGGCCACAGAGTCCTGTGCAGAATTGATCCCCCAAGCTGGAATTCGTGGACCCGCAGCCCCCCTGACTTTGCCCATACAAAGCTGACCTCGCTACGAATTCAAAGGGGAAATCGGGGTGGCTGAAGAGTAACCTCTTTGGTCGCCGTTCAAGTTTGCGTTGCCATTTCCAGGAGTCTCTAGCACGCTTCTGCCTTCTTTTTTAATGAAGGAACCCAGAAAGGAAACCCTTTTTCAAACCCCTTTCTAGGAACCCCCTTTTTAGGAACCCCTTTTTAGGATGGAGCCCCTTTTCTATTCAGAGACCGGTGAACCTCAGCCCAACTCGTCTTTCGCTGTCGCCGCTGTCGCCGCTTTCGCCTGGCAACGTTCTGCAGCCCCAGGCACGAGCGCAAGGAGGGCAGGTCCTCACGAATCACGAAGTGCCCTGGGCAAGGGTCCTCACAAATCAGGGGGCCATCTGGAGGTTTTAGAAACCCTGTTTCCAGAGCAGCAGCAAGAGAAACCTATGGGTCAAATCAAAATTGAACCACCGGGCGGAGGAGGTTTTAGAAACCCTGTTTCCATGTTACCAGGTTCTTTGTCAGAAAGGGTCTTTGGTTGAGATGGTACCCCGTTTTTTGAGGGAATGAGGGGTTTTGAGGGACGCCTAAAGGTAATCCACCATTTGGGTGCAACCGTAAAGAGACACCCAATTTAGCTAGGTCACCCGCGGCTGGTATTCCCACTTAGCTCAGCCCACCCGTTTTAGCCAGTTAAAATGGGTGGTCTGAGCTAAAATGGCTGGTTCAACCCCCGAAAAAAATGAGTGGTCTGAGATTGAAATTCGGAGCCAAGTGGTCTGAGGTTATAGTGCTAAAGTGGCTGGTTGAACCCCTGGCTAGAATGCATGGTCTGAGCCCTTTAGCCAAGTGTGCGAATCCGCACAGCCGACTTGCACACATTCCTCAAAAGAGGGATTCGGGAAGACTGCCTGCGGGCCCCGTCCCTCTTTTTTACAGCAGTCTCGTTCTGAAAAATAAAGGGGAAGAAACATGGTAAGAAAGGAAAATCTGAGGAAAATATAGCAGACTCGTTCCTTGGTAAGATCAACATCCCCTAGTGTGATTGCTACGGGCGCTTATCTCGCACAAGAAAGAGCAAAGTTCAAGAGCTCAGCCGCCCAACTGAGACAATCCTAGCCTTCCAAAAAGAGGGACCCGGGTCAAGCGCAACAAAAGGCAACAAGGCAGGCGAAGGGCAACAAGCCTCAAAAAAAACACCCGCGCAGACCCCCAGAACAAAATACAGGCGCGATGGGGATCATGGACCCTTGCTCAACAGAGTAGTCATGGCGAAAATGGGTGGTTTGAGTTGGACGTGATGTGAGCCAGGGTGGTGGCTGAGATGGGTGGTCTGAGGCAGAATAAAATGGGTGGTTCTGAATAAAATGGGGTGGTCTGAGGTAAAATTAGCCAACGCTGGTCCTAGGATAAAATGCTTTTAGGTGGTGAGAGGCCACCCTTCTCAGCCAGCGATACCAACCCCCAGTGCTAGGTCCTCCAGTAGAGAGGTTCGAATACGGGCACCACCAACTTTTTCTGTAGTCCATTTTAGTAGAGGAACCCTCCCCCAAAAAAGGATAAAAGGGCACTACTGGGGGACCCAGTCATGGACCTATACGTTTTGGACAAGATTGTCATAACAAATCACGGGCCCCATCGGGATGTTCCTCAAAAACGAGGGTGTCTTCTCTCAGCCACCCTCCAAACATTGAGCTTTGCGTATAGTTGGTATAGGACCTATACGTTTTGGACAAGATGGCGGTTGGAGTAAAGCCCCATCGAAACCAGTGGAACCCACATATGTCAAACCAAACTAACCTAAGACGGACACCTACTATGGACGAAATTCTCCTAGGCACCACCTAAGAAACCCAACGGAATGATTTGATTCCGCTGGAAATACCAACAAACGCTGTGGTTTCAACCATGGCTTCTTAGGTGGTGCGAAATGGTTTTCGTCCGTCCACAGTACGGATATGTCTTTTTAATTGAGGGGAGATCCATTTTAGACATGATCCCCTGTTTTGATACACGCCATAGGGACACCAATATATGTATGTAAATATATATATATATATATAAACACATGTGTGTATATATATAATGGACGTTTAAGCAAGCGGCTTCGGTTTCCTCTTGTTTTGCATATGAGAACCAAGGGGTCCCACCTTCGCACTTAGGCTTGTCGCAGCGAACAGCCCAACATCGGCTTCGGCGTCCTCTCGTACGTATGAGCCACAACAATATGTTGTTCGTCTCCCCATGTGGGATTTTGGCAAGCGTCGCCAGGTCTCTCAGATGCCCTCCTTTTGTTGGTCGAGTCTAAAAAAAACCCTTGCCAAAAAAAAGTTGAAAAAAGGGGGCGGATTCCACTGGTTGCAACTGGGAGCACAAAACGCTGGTTAACACCCTTTCTTTGAAAAACAGGTTGGTTGATCATTGATCTGGGCTTGCCAGCAAGCGTTGCCCGCCGCTTTTCGGTAGGTCTGACCCACGGTTTCGCCCCTCATCAGCGGCCTGGTAGATATCGGCGCCCTCCAGCTGCGCTAACAAGGCCGCCGCTGCATGCACCGAGTGGAGGCAGTTCTTGGCGAAGGTGAAGCGGTAGGGCGCCTAAGGGAAAGCCCAAAATGGGAGTGCCCCCAAAACGTAGCAATATTCTCATTTGGAGACTTTCCAGAGGAAAGTGGTCTTGCGGGAACGCCCAGTCCTCCATGTTGGGTACGATCTGCAATAAGTCCAAAGCCTCAACGGGACTTACGTCGGGCGCCTCGGCCAAGGGCAAATACAAAATTCGAAAACCGCACGGCCCCCAGAACGTAGTACTATGGCTTTGGCTCGAAACATGTGCCAAAAATCGCACCTTGATATATACCTTGACAAGTGGAACCAAAGACTAAAATTTGCGTAATGTCTAGCTCTTGAATCTTGAGCCACACCCACACTCTAAAATGAGAGTTGCCCCATGGGAGTCCCCCCAAAAGGTGAAAACTGTGTTGTAGGTGAAACCGGATCCCTCCAAAGGAGCCTTTGAGGAAAGTCGGAAAGTCTAGGTCCTCCAGTAGAGAGGTTCGAACAAGGGTACTCTTTTCTCGGTAGTCTATTTTGGTAGGGGAGCCCTCCCAACCAAAAAAGGGTAAAAGAAAGGGCACCTAGCTGGGGGACCTAGAAGTGGTCTTCCGGGAGCGCAGGGTACCATCTATACGTCCAAAGCCTCCTGCGGGTTCCCCTCCCTCAGGTGGGACGGACCTACGTGGCGAGCTCCTTGGATTTGTCGCAAGCAAATTGGCGACGCCACTGAGCTGGGGGGGTCAGCGATAAAACGTGGAGCTTCACAAATCCTCAGACCTCCAGTGGTCGTGGGGCCAAAAAGACACTTTCATGTTGGCAGTTGTCTTGTGGTTAGCACATCTCATTACAAGCGGACACCCAAATTGTTGGTTGTCTTGCGTCCTTGATTTGGGCAGATGAGAAACCTGGAGGGAAACCCATTGGGCCTCCCAAGACCCAAGTTGAAACGAGGAAGCAACCCATCCATGTGCTTTTTCGCCCCCTGGAACAAACGAGCGCATTGTTCCAGTGATACTGCGGATGGACGAAATCCTGCATCACCTGAGAAACCCTGGAATGATTTGATTCCCCTGCAAATACCCACAAACAGCGGACTCTGGTTTCAAAGCGGTGCGACATGGATTTCGTCCATCAGGGGCAACAAACAAAACGGCAGCCTGGTCCCGGTTCCCAGGGATCGATCCACTTCGCTCCGCGGCGCGGTGATGCGCAGCTCCCCGTTGATCGGCACAGAAGTGGAGGCCTGGAAGGAGAAGATCACCCGATTGTCCTCAGAGTTCGCTCGCGGTGATCTGGGGCACTTGCTTACCCGGTGTTAAAGCAAACTCAAAACCCGGCTTGGTCAAAATGAAAATCACAATATGGTTCTGGTATTAAAATGGTCGTAATCCCAGAACCATGCTTCAAGAATTAAAAAGGCGGATATCCGCAGCTATTTCTGGCTGGACTGCCCCTTACTAAGCTTCATCTACCCGGGTTGTGTTTGTGGCTCAAGTGAGGTGGGACATGTGAGGGGCGGAACAGTCGTGCACACAAAGATAACAAATGCGCTGTCCGTGTTCAGATCCCCCGCTTGAAGTGCCTAACTTGTAGTGGGATGAATGGACATCCCCAACTAAGAAGCTGAAAAAATCTAAGGGGATAGCTGGGAACCACCAAATCATTTGTCTTTGACTCATGCTTTTCAGGTCAAGGCATCCCACCTCCCAATGGCCATTGGCTCACGGACCCCTGGAAAGTGGACCGGCGTGAGCAGTTCTGGATTGCAACTGGCCCGCGCATCTCAACATGTACATGCCTGGCCTACCTCGCAGTTCCCTTTGTCTGATGGTGACAACCAGGACCCCTCAAGAAGAAAACTCCGGCTGCGGAAGCGAAGAAAGATAGCAAACCAAAGCACGCGTGCCTTGCTTGATTATGTTACACACCTTATGCTACTCAACACGCACACCTTGCTTCTGCAGTTTTTCGCATCTGCAGTCTGACATGCATGTTGTAAGAATCATGCCCACCAACTCTCTCGTTAAATTGGCCGGGCAAAAACGGCTGCTCAGCTCAACGGATCCCTGACCAAGGTTGGCACGTGAGGGGTCAACGAACAAATATCCAGACGTCTGAGGGCAAAATTGGGAGTGTCTAAATGGATGGCTGTTCTTTGGCCTCCCTCTCTACCCAAAGGGCAGGATACAAAAAGGATTCTCCCAGGACATGTCATTGATCAACCTCGAGAGGAGGTTCCCCACCGGATCCGATTCTCAATTGGACAGCCCAAGAACACGAATCAACCACTTCAGCTGCTCTCAAAAGCAGCCTGCTTCACCCGTCCCTTGCCTTTGTCCAAGCCACGGGATGCAAAGAAACGGGGAAAAAAAAAGAGGTCTGCCACTTGCCCAAGAAAAAACAAAGCCCACAAAAAATCCGCAGCGTGGAGCAGAGAATTTCCGACCGCGTCACCGTCCCGGAGCTCGGGGCAAGCCAAGGCGCCGCGGCGCCGCTGCGCAGGTCCTCCCCGGTGCTCTGGGTGCCCGGGTGGTACGTGGCCGACAGAAAGCGCCCCGCCGGGCGGAAGCCTCGTGGCCCGCGGGTGGCCGCGGGTGGCCGCGACGGACGGTGGACATCCCTCCTGGGTGGATTCTGGGGATTAGGCAAGTCTATAGGCCATGGACCGAAACATAGCCAACCTGCAAAACTGATGGAGCATGTTCTATGCCAACGGGGGAATGTCTTTCCACCGCAGCTTTGGTTTGCGGCTGCTTCAGGATGCCTGAGGGTGGCTTTAGTCTTGCCAAGGGTTGGTTTAGCGTTGGTTTATGGCTGGTTTTAAGGTTGGTTTTGGCTTGATTTAGGGTGTTTTAGGATTGGTGTGTGTTTATGTTTGGTTCCAAGTCCGTTCAGGGTTGCTTGGGGTGTTGTTTTGGGGTTGGCTTAGGGTTGGTTTGGGGCGGCTGAGTTGCTTTAGGGTGGTCTAGGGTCGGGTGAGGGTTGGTTTAGCGTTGGTTTAGGGTTGGTTTTTTAAGGTTGGTTTAGGCTTGATTTAGGGTGTTTTAGGATTAATTTACGGCTGGTTTAGGTCTTTGGTTACGTTTAATTCAAAGTCCTTTCAGGGTTGCATCAGGTGTTGTTTGGGATTGGCTCAGGGTTGATTTGGGGCGACTGAGTTTTGTCTAGGGTTGCTTTAGGGTGGTTTAGGGTCGGGTGAGGGTCGAGTGAGGGTCGGGTAAGGGTCGGTTTAGGGTTGGTTTAGGGTCGATTTAGGGTTGGTTTAGGGTCGGGTGGTTTAGGGTTGGTTTAGGGTCGGGTGGGTTGGGGTGTGGTTCGGGTAGTCTTGGTAGGGACAGTTTATGTTTAGGGGGTTTAGGGCGGTGTTGGGCTTGCTTGAGGGTTGGTTTAAGGTTGGTTTAGGGTAGGTTTAGGGTTGGCTTGGAGTCGGTTTAGGGTTGGTTTAGAGTCAGTTTAGGGTAGTTTTAGGGATGGTTTAGGGTGGGTTTTGGGCGGGTTTAGGGTGGGTTTGGGCTTGCTTGTTTGCTTGCTTGCTTGGGTTTAGGTGTGGTTTACAGCGGGCTGGCTTAAAGGATCGGTTGCATTCTTGCTTGTTTGCTCGCTCGCTCGCTGGTTCCCCTGCTTGCCGGAACGCAATGAAAACAAAATTCCGGTTGAGGTGGACAAGTATGACCCGCCAACAATAAGAAAAAAAATGGCCCAACTCATGACCCCGAGGCAGATTGCATCATAGTGTAGATCCGGGGATACCATCTGCAAATTTGAAAAATTATCCAAAACCTGAAATATGGGATCCGCAAGCAAAGGAGCTACGAGAGCTCGGTTCACTCCCGAATCAGAGTGCTGCTACGCTTGGATGCCCCGCAATTGCCAGTCGGATGGGCACTCCACTGGCACCAAAATGGATGTCGGATGCATGATCGGAAGGGAATCATGTGGGGATTCCATGCGGCCCCTTTGCCCCACATCTGGGGGACACTGAGACCCATATGTTTAGATGATGCTAGTCAACTTTCGTCTGCCCTAAATGACGACCGCGTTTCGGAGGCCCCGGTTTTACTGGGAAACCCATGGGACATACTGTGGGTGGACGAAATCCAATTCGCACCCAAGAATCCCAAAGGAATGCTTCGATTCCCCTGTACATACCAACAATGGTTTCGACCACAAGTTTCATTTCGTGGTGCAAAAAGGATTTCATGCATCCAGTATCAAAAGATGGCTGTGGGTCAAAAATAGGTACCCAAAATGGCTTGCCCTGGTATATAAGTGGATACATGGACTAAAACCTGCGGTCCCCTTGGTGGTTTCATTTGACCCACACCCAAATGTGTTCGGACCCGCCTCGCCGGAAAAAAATCCCCCTTGGGGCCCCAGCCAGAAATCTCCACCTCCTCTGTGGGTCCGATCTCCGCTCGGACGGTGCGCAAGCGCCAGGAGTTGTCCACTGGGAAGGTGTCGGGCATGTGCACCTGGCAAGGGGAACCCACTAAAAAGTGGGGGGTTCGGGGGTGCGGGGGCTTTGTGGTGGGGTGGGGGCAGGAGGATTGGGGGGGGGTTGGGGGGGTTGGGGGGGATTGGGGGTTGGTGTGGCGACTTGTCGTGCATCGATAGGAAGGGAGAGCCTCAAACTAAACCAGATCTGCGGACAACTCGGACTTTGTTGCACACGTTTCCTCCTTCCTTTTTGACCGGACGGTTTGTTTTAAAGCAACATTAAAGTTCCCTAAATTTCAGCTTTGAACTAAAACACGTGATGCCCCCGTTTCAAGTTTGGGAAGGCCCAACCAGCAAATCTGACAGTTCGGAACGTGTACTTTGCTTCAAAACTACGTATTACGTTGCTTCAAGTTGCTTCCACAAACGAATCCAGATTCCCACAACTTCGAGTTTGGACATGTGCCAAGGTTTCACAAGGGTACAATTCAAGGAAAAGACCCTCTAATGGTCATGATACTGCCATGCTCCTTCCACAAAACCGGGCTCCAAAAAACCATGAGCACAAGGGTAAGGCTCCTCAAGGGAAACCAAAGGGACCAAATCCCCTTGGAGGATCCTGGTGCGAAAAGCCTCACCATACTAAACCCGATAGGATCATGAGCAAATGAGACGCATCATGACGAAGGGCTCATGCTCGACCAAAACCCCTGGGAAGAGGGTCTAAAGCCGCTCCCGTGCATGACCTGAACACTCAGTACCAACATGGAGGCGCCTTAGTTGGCAACCAACCGCTGATGTTCTGACGGGCTTCAAAGCACACGAATCCTACATTCTGCTTGAGGGAAAACAAAGAAGACACCATCAAAGCCATGTAGGGCTCCAATTCCCATGGAAAAATACACTTTTGGGATGTATGAACCACGCAAATTTGCTTGTTCCCCAAAATGGGCAAAACCAAGGTTGGCTTTATGTGCGGGATTTTCTGGCGCTCCTTCCATGTCCTCGTGTTGATAAAAGGCCGTGCTACGGCGGCCATTTTTTGCACCTCGGCAAGATCCTGACCCACTGTGTTTTACGGTAAAAACTGCGCATGCACCCTCTTGAAAGGTAGGGGTTCGTGCCTCCGACCCTGCAAAAGCAATGGTGTTTACAGTGTTATGCCTTAGGGTTCAAGAAGTGCCTAAATTTCAAAAGTAGCTTGTGAAAAGTTGAGACCTTTCATGCGATGCGCGCCAACTCCTGAACAAGATCACAATATTTGTTCAATCTGCTTCTAATGCTATGCCATGGAGGTGTCTACCAAATGCTCGAGTAAGTGGAGGAGTCTTCGAGACAGCACAAATGCAGCAGCACAGACGTGCAGCGGAGCAGGACCCTGTGGATAAGAAAGATAAATGAACCAAGCGTTTGAGGGAAACCCCATACTTTGACTGTGGTTCATTTGAGCAAGGGAGAAAAAAGGGATGGCCATTTTTTGTTGGGGGAGGCGGGGTTTTGGAGTTTTCTAGGGCTGGGATGGGGGGGGATCGTAGCGACATCGTTCACGAGCTGCATGGCCGCTGCCGCAACTGCTTTTGCTCCTTGTGCCCTCCCGCACTCCTTCTCGCTGCTTCATGTTGCTTGGCTTGCTGACCCTTTTTTTGCCTTGAACTTCCACATTGAGGTGCTGACTCTGACTGACACGGACCCTGTGACTGCCTTTGTTCGTTCTGTCTCCTTCTTGTCCTGCCGGGGCCCGCTTGATTTCGATCTACTCCCTCGCAAACAGACCATCCATCAACAACAGAGCAGATTCGAACTGAAGCTCGCATGAAGTTGGTTGGTTTTAAGAACACACGTGGAAGATGCCCAAACAGAAGGGACGGTAAAGGCTGCCCAGATTTGCGTGGGGACCCTCCCTCATAACACACTGAGCCATACTCGAACCTACAAGTGGTCCCCAAATCCCTGCAAGAATAACAAAGAGGGCAGCACCTGTGTCTGGTTGGGACTCTCCCCTACTAGCCCTCCTACCGGGCTTTGGTTGCATGGCACGGCCTCCAAGTAGATGGCATAGATCAGCCGCTTCTGCAGGACAGCCCCTGAAAAATTCCAGCGGCCACTGGACATGCTGACCGCAGCTTGTCTCAAACACTCGACCGGTTGCAAATGGGAGGGATCCCTGGTTCAAACTGGGAATCCTATGAAAGCAACACTACAACAAGAAACACAACACTGCCTGGCAGCACGATTACGATTGACCTTGACCAACCCGGACTGCACAGCATTGGGGCTTAAACTGTGCACCAAGCAACATAGCCTCTCACCAACAAGCATGGCTTGGTGCACGGATGTGCACAGACCCCTTTTGAAAGACTAACCCTCCTTGGGATGGGTTTCAATGGAATTCCCACCTCCATGCGTCCCCATGTCATCAGCGGGAAGGCATCTGATTCAAGCGGTGAGGCATGTTGTGACTTGATGAGACCTGGACATGCAAACTTATATCCTTCCCATGCAAGACTGTCCGGGATGGTCATTGCAGAGAAGTCAAATGGAAACCAACCAGCTGTGAGGGGGAGTCCCGCTCTTTTGAATGTCCACGCCGCTGTGGTTTTGGGCCGCCGCAACACCTTTCCAATGAAGCAATCCTAGGTTGATCCGTGAAATCTGCATGGTTTGTATAGTTCAAAGAAGCAACTCGCGAATTCTCGGTATATCACCTTGTTGCGCCTTTTTGGGCACGCCAAAACTTGGACGGCTTGAGGGGTTTCCAAGCAGTCACCAACCACTTCACAGGTACCCTCGGGGGCCAGGGAAGCTCCCACAGGAACTTTCCTCACTTGGTGAACCCAGCATTAAGACGCTTAGCAGGTGGACGAGTCCGACTGTGGGTGGACGAAATCCTGCACCACCTAAGAAAGCCTGGGATGACGACTCCCCTGTGAATACCAACCAACAATGGTTTCAACTATGCTTTCACAGTGGTGCAGCATGACGTCCATCCACAGTATGCCAAAAAACATCGGACATCGACCCCAAACCACCCTCTTCCTGGATTGAAGCCATGCGAAGCACACGAATGCTCAGCCGAGCCAAGCCGCCGAGCGCGAGTTGCACCGAAGCCACCGAAATGTCCTGCGGGTGTTCCATGCGAGTTGGCGGCTTGGATTGCTGGTGGTGAAACGGAGGGGGAAACCCATGTGCCTACAAGAACCATGTGCCTTCTACAAGAACCAGGGATCAAATCCCACACCAATCCAAACCACCAATTAGAGGGAAGCTGATGAATGGATTGGCCAAAAAGCTGCGGCTCAAAACAGGTACCCAAAATGGGTAGTCCTGGAAAAAGGAAACAAGGACTAAAGCCTGTGGTCCCCTAGTGGTTTCATTTTGTTTGAGCCATACCCAACACAAGTCCATGCACTCTGTGCTTGCCACTGCAATGGTCCAAGCCAAGAAAGCGGCTACAGGAACTCACAGAGCGAGCTGTACCCACCTATCAGTCGGTGGTAACAGGTGGGTTTCAGCCCACTGCAATCAGTTACCCCGAAGCCACGCACACCTGTAAAAACCTGGGCCTGTCCGAGAGCCCTGGTTTGGTTTTTCACCGTTACCAAGTTGCTGCCGACCAAACTTTCAGCCTCGGGGCTGCATCTTTCGATCAAACACCTCCCACTTGTCTCTCAAAGTCTTCACGGGAAGCATGCAACATGCGGCTGGAACGGGTTTTGCAGGTGGTTCTCCTGTGGATCTTGAGCAAGAGTGGTCCAAACATCAAAAAATGCTCGACAATCGGGTGCTCAGACAGGTGATGGCCCCTCGAAGAATGTCTTTGACAAGCATGCGTAGACAGGCAACTGTGCTATTCAGGTTTGAACAATGATGGTTAACATTGGCTAAGCAAATGACTGGCGCATTGATGTTTGAGCAATCGTGGTTTTGAAGTGTTTGAATAGAATGCACAAGCAACTGGTTGGCCTGTTGACATTTGAGCAATGGCGATTGCATGTGATTCAAAGCAAATGGTTGGCCCTTTGATACTCAAATAATAGTGGTTCAAGCAGGCTGAAACAAGCGTTTGGCCCCTTGATGATTCAGCCTGTCGATGTTTAGACATTGGTGGTTCAAACAGGCTAAGCAAATTGTTGGCCCGTTGATGCATAAGAAACGGGATTCTATATGTTGGAAAAAGCTGCTGAAACAAGGTGGTACGCTTGTTGCTGCTTAAACAATAGCAGCTCAAGCTGGCTGAACAAATGCTTGGCCCATCTTTTAAGCATACTTAGACCGTTGGTTGGCTTGCTCACGCTTGAGCAATGGTGGGTCAAGGCAAGTTGCAATAACTCACACAGCGGGCGCAAGAAACTCTCAAGTAAAACTAGGTCCTCCAGTAGAGAGGTTAGAATAAGGCTACCCTTTTTGCTGTAGTCCGTTTTAGTAGGGGAACCCTCTCCCCAAAAAGGGTAAAAGGGCACTACTGGTGGACCTACAAGTAAACGGACCTCATGGATGAGCTGAGGTCTTGCTTTCGTGTGAGGCTCCCTGCCTCCGAACTGTTGAGACCCGTCTCGTTGATGCCCCGGCCTGGGCAAAGGGTCTCTGCGGCTCCCTTCCGGGAGACTGGTGCTTCTGAACTTACCATGCTACACAAATGTATTGTCGCACGTTGCACGGGATACACTTTGGAGAAATAGATGGCCCTGGCAAATGCAATAAAACCAGTCTGTGACCAGTGGAACCCATTCACTAACCTAAAAAGGACACCCAGGCTTCAGAGTTCCAGCCCCGGCAAAGGACCCCGGAAAACCATCTGCAAAGCGGGCGACGCAGGCACCAAGGGCCCAAGAAGGGCTCTCAAGTGGGATCGGGGCATCCCGGACATGTGGCTGAATTCGGGACAAGTGGTGCCCTTACCGCGCTTTGGACATCTAGGTAAAAGGAAAAAGAAAAAAAACAAACACAACTCGAAAACACCCAACATGTGCCAAACGCGAACATTCGGAAATTGCGACAAGCACAAAAAAGGCAAGCACAGTCGTCACGAATTCTGACAAATGCCATAAGCGTGAAACAAATGAAAAGTTGGAAAGTGCGAAAACACACAAGACACTACGAAACTCAAAAAAGTGCGAAACAACTCCAGAACTCCAAAAGTGCGCACACGGGGAACAAAAAAGCGAAACTCGGGGGGGGGGGGGGGGGGAAACAATACGCGACACACCCAACGATTTCACGAAAAAAAAAGAGAAGAACAACACCTTAACGACAAGTCTCCGCATCTCCAACTAGCCAAAACCGCAGAAAGTTCAAACAATCACGCAGGTTGTTCTAACATCCAACTATCTCGCGAAAACTCGAAAACTCGAAACCGTATTATGTTGCCTTGAAATGACATGAGCTAAGAATGCGCGGAACATCGCCGAATACGAAGGCTTATATAGACATCCATAAAATTACATCCTCAACTTGACCCTCCAGTGGTGATTTCAACGAAAGCCACTTCCGGGAAAGAAAAAAAAAAGACAACCCTTTCAATAGACAAACAGGAGCATTTTTGGGAGGCCATCTCTCATGAGAGCAGAGCCGATGGGGGGGGAAGCAGCAGGGGCGGAGGGGGCGCCAGTTCCATGTTCAAGGTGGCTAGTATTTTTCCATAGCACATCTCTGTCAGTTTTCTACTTTGGGTGTGGGGGTGATCCATCTTAGGATCGAAGCAACCCTGCAGAACTTTGCCCTTTGCCAGAAATGAACAGAACTAACGAGCAACAAAGAATAATGCACACGCTCACTTGCCCAAAGGACCGAGAAATGACAGGTTGACAACCCCTGGGCAAAATGCCAACATGTCGGGTTTGGACAACCAACCAAAACATTGATGACTGCAAACGACCTCCAGTGGCTTTGTAAACGACCTCCAGAGTCTGGCTTCCACAAATCAGACTGGCACAAGGGAATGTGGGTCCTAAGCAAACCAAAGGAAGCCAAACGCATTTTCGACCCCAACTCCTTTGGTCATCTTTTGACGCCTCAAACGCAGCGATCTTCGGACGGTCGGACGGCAAACATTGCAGCCGCGAAACACTCAGCAAGTGCGCCGGGCGGAAGCCAGTTGTAGCCTGAAGCCAGGGGTTTACCCAACAAACAAATCCGAATGTTTCGACCAGCTGACCGATTCGGGGTTCTTCAGCCCATGTCGATTTGGCCGACTTTGCAGTGTCTCAAGGGCTTGGGCTACCCCGCTTCCGATGAGGTTTGGAGCCATTTTTGGAAGGCTCTTGGAACTTCCGAGATCTTTGACCTCCTTGTTCTGAGGCTACCTCTGTCGGAGTGGGTGCAAAGGGAAGGACAAAGGAAGCCGAAACGCCACTTTTGGGCGGTCTGATTAGTCTGATTCCTGCTATAGCACACGTACACACACTTTCTCGGAAGTTTCGAAACACTCCCCCCGCCACCTTAAAGCCAACGGCTACACCCAATTCAACCAGAGGCCTGATGGCGCCTATGGTCAAATAGGATCATTTTGAGCAGCGGCCAAAGCCTGTTGACTTTGGCTCCACCAATAACATGGCGATTAAAGGTTGGCATAGGCCCTGTGAAACCATGAAGCCAGGTAGTAGAACCATCTGCCAACATGGCCCTTGTTGGGGGGGGGGGGGAATTTGCTCTTTCAAGGCCACCAACAAAGATCGGATGAATCAAGGGGCAGCTCTAGTGATCTCATCTTACCCGGAAAGTTGCGGCATGGAAACCCAGGCATGCCACGGGTCCGGCCACCCGGTCACCCCCAATTTCCCTCTGCCAGTTTCAAACTCTGGGCCTGCAGTTTCTGAATCAAGTCCCTTTCAAAAAACTCAGGCAAGCAAAAACTCGCAGAAGCGAACTGTACCATGGGTTCTAGGCGTCGCGGCACTTCGTTCTTTCCGGGGTTTTGATTCCTGGAATGCAACAAAACCCCAAAAAGGGATCAGCCTCTGGGAGGGTTGCGGGAAAAAAAGCCACCCCTGGACTGCTAGACCTTCAACTCAAGAAAACAGGCTCTGCCCAAGCTGCCATCGATCTCCAGGTGTAAAGGAGAGATGCGATCCACCCTGCACTCCTCTCAAGGATTGGTCGAAACGGATCCATTCCATTAGAGGGAAATGCCGCAAGATCTGTTCAAGTGGGACATGGACCAATCCCTGGAGTACGGGAGTTTGCTCATCGCGAAAATGGCTTCGCCATGTGAACCAGGGGCTGAGCCCCCTGCAAACTGAAGACTTGTTGCCGTTTGAAAGGGGAAACCACGGTCACCTGTACGGGAAGCCTATAACTTCGATGGCAGTGGAGTTGCTTCCTAGCGACACTCGAGCTGTCAAAAGTATGGAACCCCTTCTAAAAACCGGCTGTGTCCTTTTGGGGATTGGCGTTGAAGCAAACATGATCCCAACCTGTGTGGGGGTTCCTACATTTTGAGACAAACCCAAGTGTCACCAAAGCACCTCAACGGAATGGCCAACTGCAAGGTGTCCCACGCACTTTTGGCTCGAGCCGGGTGAAGCATGAAGACCCGGCATTCCTGGAGCCTACCCAAAAACATGCACCGAATCAACAACTAGGTCCTCCAGTAGAGAGGTTCGAACAAGGGTACCTTTTTTCTGCAGCCTATTTTAGTAGGGGAACCCTCCCCCAAAAGGGTAAAAGGGCACTACTGGGGGACCTAGCTGCCCAAAAACATGCACCGAATCAATCAGAAAGTGTCTGCGCCTGTGCATGGTTGGGACTATCCTTTTCCTGCTCACCTTCATCCAGCAGCTGCTTTGTGTTTGAAAAACCAAAATTGCGGCAAAACTGCCGATACCTGCACATTTAATAATTTGTCCACGAAAGGGCCCAGTGCCGAATTTCGTCCATCCACAGTGTTAATAAACATGGGCGCTCCCCTCCAACAATGATGATTCCCCACTACACCCACGGACCACCCCCCCCCATTCATGAGCTGGGGTGAATCAAGCAGGGGCCACCATGCACACGTTTGTGTGACAAGTGACATCGGGGACTCATAGCCACCGATCCGGAAAGAGAGAGTTTGGGAGCTCCAAATGAGTTCGTGGGCTGCTCCCCACTGATGGACGAACTCCTGCACCACCTAAGAAGCCCTGGAAGGACGATTCCCCCCACAAATACCAACAAGCAATGGTGTCCCAGGGTTTCAAAAACCAACTAATTACAAGAAATGAAATGAACGACAAAATACCAACTGTGGAAGGACGACAAAATACCAACAAGAAAGGCCGCCCGGGTTTGGATCCTTCCAGCCTTGAAGCCTTTTTTTTGGATAGGGCGTTGGGGCTTTGGGCGTGGGGCCTCGGGTCTTTAAACACACAGACCCATCTGGTTGTTGGACCTACTTTCCAAAGACATGCCTTGTAAACCAGGTTTTGGAAAAGCAGGTTATTTGCCAGAACCTCCTTTTTTCCGGGCTCTTGATGTACAAGGATTTGCAAATGTATTTGCCTGCTTTGAACTGGCCCTTTCTTGTAGGAAACTTACTCCTAAGCCTGACAACAACGCCCACGCTCACTTGCTCACGCCCATGCCCTGTCTTTCTTGGGGTCTAGGGTAAGCCAAAGGGCTTACATCTGAAATCGTGCTTCTTGGGTATCGTAATTTATTGGGTAAACCCAACAAGAAACACGAACCGCCCACAAAACCGCACGGACCCCGACGCCTCCTTTTACTTTGAACTTTCCCTCTCAAACCAACCCAAAAGCGGGTTCCACCAAAAGACAAAACAACCCATGTTTTGGCATTTACTCCTTAGAGGCACAGCGAAAACCTCACGAACACACGCGAAACCCCAGCCTCACAACGGGGTTCGTCAGCCCCCAAATGCTTTTGGGTGGAAAAAGACTCGTACTCACAGTCTTAACCCTCAGCAAGGGCCCACGAAAAAAAGCCACGGCACCCCCCACAACCACTACCGCACTCCCCCCAAGCCGCAAAAAAATGGAATGGAGCAATTCCAACACCTACCTCACGCCCCCCTCCCCCCGCCTCGCGGGGGGAGGGGACCCCCCCAATATTTTGTTTTAATATTTTGTTTTCTGACCTCCGCCCCCCCGTTTCCATTTTCTCCCTGACCTACCTCACGCCCTCCCTCATATTCTCCAATGATCGAGGGGGTGGCGGTCCCCCACGGCCACTACCGCCCATCCTGCGCAGGGCCGTGGGGAATGGAATCCACAGAAAGGGCTCCCCAAAGACCAACTTCTTCATAAGGATTCCCAAGAGTATCACAGAAGTGGCTGGCTCGATAAACCTCGAGTGAACCACCCCCGCCCCTCCTGCGGGAAGTGGAAGCCCTGCGGAGCCACCAGCTCCAGGCCGCCGCTGCCGCCCCGTCCCGCGCCGCCCGCCAGTGAAGTACCCAGGCGAAAGGTGACCATCACCGGGCGCCTAGCCAACCGCTGGGAGTCAGAGTCAAAACCCGGTATTAAAAGAGACCGGGTGTTGGTGGGGATGTGAGTTTAACATGAAAAATGCTTTAAAAAACAAATGTTTTAGGGTGTTTACTGGCAAAACAGGGGTGTCATAGTCATAGTCATACCAGGGGTTCAAATCCCAAGCCACCAACTACGGGTTAGCTGAAAAAAATAGACTTGGTGGCTCCCATGTGAAACATAATCAAAACCCGGCTTAAGATGGTCTACCCAGAACCATGTGAAGAATCTAAAAAAGCCGCAGCTATTTATGGTTGGGATTGTCCCTTACTAACCTTCATCTACCCGGGTTTTGATGATGGCTCACATGGGCGTGGCTTGATTTTGGCTCCGGGGTCACCGTGTTTTTGGTCTTTGGGAACACCGTGCGTGCCCTTCTTGAAGAAATCCGGCGGGTCCCTTTCCGGGGGAACATCGCTTTTTAGAGGTTTACGGAGGGTTCCTTTTTGGGAACGCCTGGATTTGGTTTGTAGAGGAGAAAAACCCAGATTTCTGGCTTGGTTGGTTTTAGCTGGAGACCCTAGACTTCTGGGTTGCAATTGAGGGAACACAAGCTCACTCTTGCGGAATTGAGTTGGACCCAAAATGGCGGACACCATGCTTGATGAACCCCTTGATGCCGGTCGCATCTGTTCGGAGGGGGTCTTTATTGCTCCGCATTTATTTAATCCTGGTCGGCGTGGGCGACCCTTCTGCCGCACGCGAGCTCGTGCCGTTTTGCAGGAAAACCGGAAAAACAACAACCACAAAGGGTACGAAAACGATGAAAGCAAAACCGTCCCCTCCAAAGCATCCAGCATGGGTGGAAAAAATGGAATGGAACTCTTTCTTTTGGTTGGACAACTCATTGTACCCCGAATTCACGGAAGGACATCTCGAAAAGGAGATACTTTTGGCGTGCGACATCTGGAGGATCAAATTCTGGCAGCTTCCCTTTGAAACCGTGTAGCTTGAAATTTTCACCCTGACTCACAAGCGCTTGTTGTTGTTTTTTGATTGGAGGCGTCCCATTTCGAGGGCAACCAAAGTGAGCCAGGCAGACACCCCTACGTTGGAAGGGCCCTACCAGTGGAAGGTCAATGTGGTCAGTTTCTACTTCGGGTGCCATTTCGGGTGTCCGACATTTGACATGCGGCCTTGTTGGGCAACTTGAAGATATGAGAAACTCCGCGTACTCAAATCACATACGTGTGTCTCAAGCAAGGACACCCTGAGCCATGAGTGGGTTGGTTGGTTCCCTCTTTGAACTCCCTCCTGTAAACCAGCCCATATTGAGTCTACTCGAAATCGACGAACACTGTGGAGGAGACCCCGCTCATGTGGTTGCTCAGTTGCTCATATGAGTCATCATCAAACCTGGTATTAAAATGGTCGTAGCTGGGATTGTCCCTTGGTAACCTTCATCCTTGGTTCTTGGTTGCTGTTGACCCCCCTGCAAAAAGTTTGTTTTTTTGGGGGTTTAGTGGAAAACCTCTTGATTTCCCGAAAAGTTAAAGTCTAAAGATCCAACCCAATAGCAATCAAGCATCTACCCGGGTTTCGGTTGTGGCCCACGGATCCATTTCGAGGTGCGGGGCCGCAGAAAACAGCGGAAGCCAGGCGGAGATGCTGGCGGCGGTGATGGCCTGCAGCTCATAGCCTGGCACCAAACCGTGGTGACTAGAGATCATATGATTAACACGTTTAAACCAACCAAAAGGGGAATGACCAAAATACAAAAGGGGGGTGACCAAAAAACAAAAGGGGGGTGACCACATGGGACATATGGCATATGGGTATGATTTTTACTAAGGCACCCTTTGGTGGACATCATGTTGTTGGGGATTCATGTCCACCAATGACTTTTGAGGTGGCTCCCTGTCAAAAAAACATGGCCACATCTACAAATCCTACGAGAGATTCCAGCTGAACGAAGACTTGGATTCCAAACATCATGGTGAGCCCGTTTTACCCAGGTAAGCTCGACATAAGATAGGCAGATATATTATTAAAAAAAAGGCAATCAAATCAAACTTGTTTGCCCTTCACAAAAAGAAGCATGAAACTAGCAAAAAGTGGGGAAAGGGGGTGGCCTCTAATATGGTACCTAATAACATGAAGAGCAAGGCGCCCCCCCCTTTTCATGATAAAAAAAGAGCTAGCGGTACATAGGGTGATGAATGTGTTGAGACCAATTGTGATGGATCGGTTAATGGTCTTGAGTCATTGCTTCAATAGCAGGCAATCAAGGGTAACACACTTTCAAGACCACAAGTGGCTGTGTTTCTTCAAGGGTACCCAATATTTTTGTCGGGGTTGGTTTACCTGAAGCCCAATAGCAACTTCTTTTGCACCCTTCCACAACCCATCCTGACCGCAGCCGCTCACCAAGTTTGGGTCTCCAAGTGTGGACCCCCAAGGCGTTTCCTTAGCCTCGAAACTCTAAAAGACAATGTGAACCCTTTGTAAAATCGGCTCTAACATGGGTACCTACCCCATTGACCCACAACCATTTCTTTGCTCCCGCCCGGTTCTCCAGCTGGCCTGGAATCAGAGCACCCTGATAACGGTACTGGTATTCCAGGTACCCAGCGCCAGCTTCATAAATCTCCTCGCCGCCAGTTTGTGACATGGACCGCTGGGTCCCACGTAGGCTACAGGGCTTTGTATGCGTGTGATTCTTGTGTTGAGAGTACCATTCTATGACCCTTTTCATGGCCCTTTTAAAGAGGAACCAAAGGGAAACCATGAATGTTGCGGGCTCCTTGATTTTCAGAAAAACCCATATAACCCCTCACTACCAAGCCAAAGCAAACCGAGTAGACGGTATCTGGAGGTGCCTTTTGCCCCAGCTGAGGTTCTTTGCCCGCACAGCAACGCATCAACCGTGACATTGACCACCAAGCGCCGGCGAGGACTTGCTTGCGTGCTTGCTTTTCAGGCGCTGGGCAACTCCTCCCAAAGCGGCGAAAAAGCATTGCATCCTGTTGTTGGGGTCTTTTTTTGGGCAAGACAGGGCAGTGGGCAGAGGGAGAGGGGCTGCTTCAAAGGGAGTAAGTAGTTAGTCTAGTTATAACCCACTGAATGGAGACTTGCACCCATGCCAAGTGGGTTATCTCCAGGCTTACTAATTGCTTACCTGACGTACCCTACCCCTTTTTGTGTGTTTTTGTTTGATTGTTTGTTTGTGCTCTGCTTTCTTAACTAGGTCCTCCAGTAGAGGGGTTCGAATAAGGGTACCCTTTTCTCAGTAGTCTATTTTAGCAGGGGAACCCTCCCAACCAACAAAGTTGGTGAGAGGTCGGGCACCTAGCCGGGGCACCTAGTAAAGTACCCCGAACAGTTCCCTTAAATAACCCCAACATACCCTGAATATACATGCATTCGTATCCTAAGAGGACACATAACATACCCTGCTTTCTTAAGTAGGGAGATGGTGCTCTTTTTTTTTCCTTCCCGGAGCGCTCCAGCATCCACACGTTGGCGCTGCGCAGGTCCGGGTGCAGTTCCGGGTCCACGGCCGCGTTCCAAATCTCACCAGTCACCTTTATGTCCGTGCCGGCGAGGATGGAGGGATTCACCTCAAAAAAGGAGAAGAAAGCCAACGAAGCTCGTTCCTATTGCTTGTTCTTTTTTTTTGTGTGTTGTGTGTGTGTGCGTGTTGTTGATATTGTTCTTTCTTTTCTTGTTTCTTGTCCTTTGTTTTGGGGGGGGGGAGGTCCACCCAACCACTCCCTCCGGGAAGCTTAATAGGATATGATAGCTGCTATATAGGGTATATACCCCGTCTTTCTCTGGACGGGGTTTACGGAAAATCTGAAGCCTATGGTTCTCGTGGGAAATTTGGATGGGGTCTGGATTCACCTGAGTCAATAAGCAAAAGCTTCAGACACATGGATGCCCTAGCTAGGTGGCCCTAGCTAGTTAAACTGAATGGCTACCAAAGCTTGAGCTCAAGGGAGCCTTTTTGGGCAAATTTGGACTGGGCTGCCCTCAGATCCCCCGCTAAAAGTTTAACTTTTAGTGGGTTAAATGCAAATTACCACTAAATACAAAAAGGCTAAAAAGCTAAGGGGATGGCTGGGAGCCACCAGAGTTCCCCGAACACCACTCCCAGCAGGGAAGCTCAGTGTAAATGGGCCAACCAAGTGATGTTCAAAATCACCAAAAAGGGAACTCACTCGCAACCGCCCCCTGCCGCCCTCCCCTCACCCGTCCTCTGCATTTGGGAGCATGGATGCTACGAGTTCAGGCGATCAAGAAGCACCAAAGAGAATCTGCAAACTGAGCAAGGAGCCTTTCAAAACCCCGAGCATGGTGTCCTGTAAAACCACAAAACATGGCACCAACCAAAAAAAGACCTAAAAACAAAAAGACTGGGAAACACGCGGCCACGATTATAAACGCAGTACCCGGCTTTGCCATGGAACCCGACATTTTCGGGTCCTGAATTGGACAAGCTTTATTTATGGAGTTTCTGGTGGGTTCCGTGCTAGTGGGCAGGAGCGAATTTCTCTCATGTTTAGAAAGGTTTCCACTTCTCCTAAACCGCCCCCAGGGGTCCATTGGGCAGCCATTTTTCTGCGGGGGGGTGGTTTGGGGGGAGCAGCCGCCATGTTAAATTGTACCTGCAAAGGGAGCGGGCTACCCTTCCATACATTACTTGGGGAGTGGGAGTGCTGGTGGCGACAGTTCCAATGAAAAAGGGAACGCCGATTTTGGAGGGGTTCTTTCAAAGATCCAACAAAACCAGTTGCCAGCGATGCTATTCCAAAAACGGGGCATCGTTTCCGGCGTTGACCAGTTTGACATGGTTTCACGCCAAATTAGCTTCCCCTCCCTGCTTTGTGGTTGGTCTGGTGGTTTGGAGGTTTGCAGGTCTCCACAAGAACCAGGGATTTCCAAACCACCAATCCAAGCCACTGAAAGGTGCTTGAACAACTAGGTCCTCCAGTAGAGAGGTTAGCATAAGGGTACCAACTTTTTTCTGTAGTCTATTTTAGTAGGGACTAGAGCTTGATGGTGGCTCGCTCACTAAGCTTTGTTTGATTGTGGCTCCCTCGAGTGGTTCACAAGCAAACGTGCTGAGCCAGATTCGTGAAGTCCCTCACTCAGAGTGCTCTGTTGAAGATGCCATCACTACGTAGTGCCCTGGCAAACAGATGGCACCTGTGAATGATTAGACCCCAAACTGAACCCCGTATCATCTTGCTCAACCAAACTCGCCCCAAAGGATTCGGATCTTTTTTGAGCCCCCCACCAGTGACAGCTCCAGCTGATTCTTGGGCTCGGAGACCGGCGCATAGATCGGGTCGTACACAATGCTCGCAAGGTTCACTGGAGACTCCGCGGCCTCTGCGGTCGGAGCTCCTCCTGCGGAAAATGGAGGTGTTCTCGTCGCGCTTCAACCGGGCAAAAACGTGAAGCACTGCTTGCCTTTTCCAAGGATATCTCTGCTCATCCAAAAGGCGCGACGGCGATTCGGTCGTACGAACAAATCACCGGGCGGTTCTAAGGTTGCCTGCCTCGGACGCAATCAATCTACAACCTGAAATAAGATCTGGATCCCCAGGAAAAGGACCTTCATGTTGAGCTAGTTCTACTTGCAGGTGAGCTCGTCGTAAAATAGGCAGAACCATGCCGTGGATTGTCTTAGATTCCCATACGCCCCTGAAGTTGCTTTATCAGAGAAGCCGGGTGTTGCTGGCCCTGAGCCGTCAACCGGGTCAGTTTCATCTTGAGCTCCGACTTGTAAACCGTGGTTGCAGGAACTCCGGGTAAATAACAAAAATATCACGAAGAATTCTTGGGGTTACTTTATCTTTCTTTTCAAGCATCGCTCTACTCAAAAAACATAATAAACACTCTCCGCCTGGGTTTCTAATGGGGAGGTTTGAACTAGAACGATCCGCCAAGTATAAGGGCGCCCAACAAATGGAACCTTGTCAACCTTGGTGAGATCACAACAGCACAGCCCCGGTTTTTCCGCCCAGATCCTGTGAGGGCTTGGGGCTGATTCAGCGGACACCATGAGGGTTCTCTCCAAATTGGTTGGCGGCTCGGCTTCATTTGCGACGTGCTTATATTCGACTCCCAACAATCTGGAAAACGGCTTGGATGTGGCTTTTGTGGTTCCACCCCTGTAGAAGGCTAAAAGAGTACTAAAAGATAACTAAAAAAGGACCAACAGGGGGAAGAACAGGTGAAATCCACAAAAGGCGCATCCAAAACGGTTTCTAGAAACAAGGCAACAAACCATTTTGAGCAGCACCATAGGGAATCAATCAGTGGGTCCCGCTTACCATGGCAGGAAACCACGATCTTTAGGTTTCAAATAACTCCCTTGATTACTCAGTGTTTGCAGGTCAGAACACATATTGCTTGGTTCCCACTTGCCACAAACTTTGCTTGCAAGAATCAGAGCTCCAAACGCCTAAACGTGTAACCTTGTGGACTCTGGGCACTTCGTGGGAAAAAATAAAATTAAAAAAGAAAAAAAAAAGACAAAAAAGGAAACTGAAGCTTTGACACGCAGCCCGAAACGGGGCACCCATGTTTTGTGGGTATCCTCAAACCCACCCTCAACACAATTGTTAGGAGGAACACCCCAAAAGGAATGTTGCAACAGGTTCGCTTGGGTGTGTGTGTGTGTGTTCCTGCGAAGCGGACCTGTTTCACCTTGGTTTAAGCGGAAACCACAAAGAGAACCACCATTTGGGTGGTCCCATCCCTATTTCGACACATCAGTTGAGTGAAAGTAGGAATCCCTATTCCCCCAGTCGGGCGTCGGCATCCCCTTTACCCTGGAGAAAGTACAAACATATGGCCATGGGTCAAAATCCAAATCGTACCCCCAGTGAACATCCCAATCCCAACTAAAATAGACTAAAATGGGTGGTGCACCTACCCCAAAATGATACCCTTGGTTTTGACCCACAGCCAATGTGTCCAGTGTTAGGTTTCCAAAATGGCATAGAAGAAACATTCTGCCCCGTTTTGGGAAGTTCCCCAAGAGGAATGCGCGCCAAATAAACGACGTCTTTGCCCCGCTCCAATGACCCAGCGGTAGCCGTAGGGCGCCGTCATGCGCAGCCGGGTGCCGTGGGAGGTGATGTCTGCCTGGAGGCAACCGGCATAAACATCCGCTTCCTGAAGGGGGAGGAGGGCTGTGTTCTTCAAATATATTGAGTTGGTTGATTCATTCAATCACTATCGTTCACTTATTGAATGCGCATTCATTCAGTTGGTGATCTATCAGCTTATCACTAGTTGGTTATCTATCTAGTATCTGTTTGTTTATTCATCCCCAGCTGCAACTCACTTCCACAAGCCTTTGTTGGCCATTTCAATGGTCTTCCGGAATGTACAAAGTCCAGGAACCCAAAGTGGGCCAGCCTAAATCTAAGGTGGTTCCACTACCCCAAACCACGACCAGGGGTTTAAATGGGGCAGTATACTACCATACAGCTACATATAAAGGGTATATGCCCTCTTTTCCCCTGGCAGTAGTGGTTTGGGGGTAGTGGAAAGCCCCGTAGATGGCAGCAACAATTTTCCACAGCGATAGACGGGAGTTTCTCAAAATGCTGGACCCCTTTTGATTGGTATTTAAAAGGAGGAAACAAAAACCATTTTGGGACCGCATTTTTTTGCAAAACTCCCAGAGTTACCACTTTCTGGGGGCCTTGCGAATCATTACCCGTGGTAAGATGGAGCAATTGGGTGTTCCATTTTCAGGATTCCACATTGGGGGTAGACCAAGGGGAAACCACATGGGAAGCAAGCATGTTTTTTAGGATCCCATATTTCAAGACACGTTCAGTTGTACAACCACTATACAGAAACTACGTTCAGAGGTTCATGTACCCTAAATTTCCACAACCAACGATAATCGATTAGATTGTCACTTTGGCAGGGATTCCAACTGTATGTACACTGCTCTAGGTGTCAAATAGGGGCTCTGGAAAAAATCGACAAGTACCCGTCGCCTTTTGGTTGCCGTTTGGAAAGTGATAGTTATGAGCCATGGGCTTCTGCACACTTAACCTCAAACAAACTCAAAGCCCACCACTCACAAAACCAAAGGCTCCCTGTTGATTTCTTATGCAGTAGCTAATCAATTGTTGGACCAGGGTGACCAGCAGCTCATGTTTGCGCAGAATCTTTTACCCGAAAAAAGACCCCCAAGGCAGTGGTGATTTCCAACGTCAACGCAATCCTCCAATTTTGCCCCCACAATGTTGGAGCTTTTTACCCATAATCTTAGAGCCATCTCCTATCTTTAAGGGCACATGCCCCCTTTAGACATCAACCCACCAAACGGAAGTTTGCTTCAATCTGGAACCAACAAGATGCTGTTTCAAGCCACCCTTCAAGACAAACATCGGGTTGCAACCCATGTGTAATGTTGACCCAGGATAATAAAACAACCGTCCCATTATTAGGGGGTGTTCCCTCCAAGAGCGGTCTGGATCCCTACTAAAAGGGGACACCCCCCTATTAATCAACCAGGGGTTTATTAATTCTGGGTTGCTCCACATTGAGGGCCCGGCTGTGAGCCGAAAGCTGAGGACAACGGTGGTCCGTGCGCTCGGCAAGCGCTGAGAGGGCTGCACCAGGCCGTCCAAGACCTGGGTGCGAAAAACATCCTCCTAGGAGTTGATTCCGCTTCCATTCCATTCAACCATCGTTCTTTTCAAAAACCAGCTGTGTCCCTGGGTTTTTGATGGTTTCCTGAAAAGAAGGATCCTTGGAAAGAATGGGGAAGGTACCCCTAGAATCTTTGATGGGTACCTCTTCTCAGTTGCCCCTTAGGGACCCTGGAATGGAAGGTGAACTTTGATGGTACCGCGGTGCCTCTCAGTTGCCCCTTAGCTAGGTCCTCCAGTAGAGAGGTTCGAATAAGGGTACCAACTTTTTTCTGTAGTCTATTTTAGTAGGGGAACCCTCCCCCAAAAAAGGGGAGAGAAGGGGCACCTAGCTGGGGGACCCAGTTGATGGTACCTCTTCTCAGTTGCCCCTTAGGGACCGTGGAATAGGCGATCACCTTTTGGGCCAAACCAGGGAAGCCAAAAGGCCAGGTCGGCCTTGGGCCAGTGAGTCGCTTTTGAGGCTCTGAACGGGAAATTGCTCAGGACACGGGATGTTTCGGGGTCCTCCCGATTTTGAGAACCCATCTCGCACTGTCCGTGGAAAGTGCCCAAACAAGTGGCCGACTCTGAGAAGCCAGCTCAGCTCGAGCCGGATCTGACATTCCGCTTATTCATGTAATGTCAACCCCGGGATAATAAACCCCTGGGTGATTAATAGGGGGGTGTCCCCTTTTAGTGGGGATTCATCACTTTGGGAGGGAACACCCCCCTAATAGTGGGACGGGTTTATTAATCCTGGGTCAACATTACCAACAACTCAAACTTTCACATGGCCGAAGGCTAGAACCTAAGCTACAAAATCAAGCTTGGCCTTGAAGACCCAACACGCCCACTTGCTCTGATGTGATGGATGAACCAAATGAATACTTAAACCACACAACTGTTTGTCCACAGTACGAACCCCCTGACAAATCTGCTGTTGCCAATACTCTTTCAAGTAAGATCTAGCCAAGAGTACCTTGCATGTCACCTCACAACGAATTAGACGGAAACGGTCAAGCTCGTGGACCCGGTCAAAGGAAGGGGAGCTTCGGGTCCCATCCCCAGACAACGGGTTTTAACGTCCATCCGCAACTCTGGGGATGATCCCCACCAAAACCAGCTGCCCAACTGGTGAGGTGAATCCCAAAGGATTTCATACCAAAGGTCGGTGCTTTCCTGAGAACCAGCGTTCAGCTTCCCTCCGATTAGTGTTGTCCAGCTTCCCATATGACTCTCTCTACCGGGAGGTGTTTCACTGTGATGCTTCCTGTGCGTGCCATGGTCAAAGCTCTTTATACGGCCTGTCAGGCTTCGTTTGGAATTCCTTATATGTTGAAAATCCTGATTAGGCTGATCACCATCGCTCAATCGCCTGAAAAAAAAGCATTTTGAGCAAAGTGAGCGTCCAAGCCACGGTCCGCTGGTAGACCCTGAAGCCCTGCAGATAGGGCCCCATCGGGATGTTCCTCGAAAGGGCTCGAGGGTTTCTTCTCTTATCCCTCCAGAAAATTGAGCTTTGCAACCACTGACTATGTAATGTTGACCCAGGATTGATAAACCCGTCCCATTATTAGGGGGGTGTTCCCTCCAAAAGTGATGAATCCCCACTAAAAGGGGACACCCGCCTATTAATCAACCAGAGGTTTATTATTCCGGGGTTAACATTAGTGGGTATAGTGGGGAAAGGACCTATTTCCTTTGGACAAGATGGAGGTGAATGGAATAAAACCCCATCTATATCAGCGGAACCCATCTATTTTCTATCCAAACTTACCGATCAAAAGGACACTTATGGTTGACCGACGAAATCCTGCACCACCTCTCCCAACTCCATGCCCGCTCCAGAATCGTGCAGGAGTTCGGCCAGTCCAACATGTTTGAAACCGAGGGCTCGAACACTTCCAATGTTAAATCGGGAGCACAACAGGGATCCTTACATTATACACCTGAACATTGCCTTGTAAATGGTGGTTTCCCTTTATTTTGGTGAAAAAAACATGTTTCAAATTGGCAAAATGTATCTTTTAAGGATCCCTGCACAAGGGATTTTGCAAACCATAGTGAAAGCGGTGCAGGATTTCGTCCGTCAACAGTATGGTAGTAGGTGTACCATGATTACGCCATTGGTCCTTCGGAGCCGCGCTTTCCGGGTCGAAACAGGCAAAAAACCACAGGAGAGCCAGCTGACAAGCAGCTGAAAGGCACTTTGCCTCAGAGCGTCAAGCTGCACCCCACCAACATCGTCTGATGGAAACACCAAAACAGAGTCTGTCTTCAATCGAAGCAATGATGGGCTCCCTCCACAAACAAATGAAACAACAAACTGGTCTTCGCCACCTCCCTCAGAGCTGTCCTCGACGTCTCCAGCACGGCCCCTGCGAGGGAAAGCAGATCGATCCTGACTCGAGGATCGAGTCGCGGACAAGCGACTAACCCGTTTGGGCCGTCCCCGCTTTGGATGGTTTCAAAGGCAAACCAAAAGAAAACCACCCATTCTGGCGGCCCAAAAAATTGACACATACTCATACGTACCGAAAAATCGAGCTGGGCTCATGCGAGAGTCACATCCTCTAGACTACCTGAATCCAAAGCTGGCTACAATTTGAAACCAACCGTAGCTTTTGACCCCCTTTTTGGACTATAGAAGGGGTCCTGCGTTGACATCCAGTCGGGCGTTCAGTGAAATCAATCAGATCGAGCAAATAACTGGCTGAATCCTGTGAACCTCGCACCAAGGAACCTCGGACTAGGTCCGATACGCGTGGAAGGCACTGGCATGAATCCACTGGCATGGGTCCCAGGTTTTGTGGGTTGAAGCATGTGAAAAAACCAGCCACCACCTTTGGGCCGCTCGGTTTCTCCAAAAAACACCCCCTCCTCCACTGGAGGTCGTCCAGGGTACCCTGAAAGCTGGGGGAGGGGTTCCGCAGCGGGAAGAGGTTGGCCGCATAGAAGACCTCCGGCAGAAAGCCAACCGACATGGGCAGCTGGAGGGCGAACAAGTTGTGGCCCAGGCTGGACAGGGGGTTCGCGCCTGTGCCCGAAAGCCAACCAAAGCGCCCAGGAACCATGCCCGAACCATGGCGAGTCAGTCCAGAACTTTTCGTTTGCGAAATGTCCCGCCAAATGAACACAATGGTTTGTACAGGGTCCCTCCCAAATGAATCGAGTCTCGACGTTGGTGAGGTATGGTTAAGGAGATATACCGATATACCCTGTGATACCAAAGTGGGAATCTTATCCCCATGAGACAAGTGGAGCTGTTTAGGTTCGCGGTGGATTTCCTAGATACAAGTCAAACAGCCGCAAAACCAGTGGACACTTGGTTGTCCTATTGGAGAATGGCGAACTCTGGTTTTAAGAGGATTTTGGAAGACTACTTTTCGTATGGGGAGGCAGCTTGACCACTTCCATGATTGTTGGAAAGAGGGTTAAACTGTTTGGCACCAGATTAATCAAGGTGAAAATTTCAGGGCGTTTTCCAAAGTGAAACATCCACTTTTCGAAAACAATTCTATTTGGTGCACCAGGTTGGCTTCACCGGGTTCTAAAAAATAGGTTCTGTTGGGATGCTACACACGATTGAAAGCTCAGGAATCCGTTCAGTGACGTTTGACGCTGGGAAGCCAGGAAAGAAACCGGACAAAGGACACCAAACGAACAACTAGAACGACAAGGGACAAAGTATCAGCAGCGCCGAAAAAGGAACACCGAAAAAGGGAAACCAACATGAGAGTTGGAAAGCAAACTCCTGGGTGTGCAAAACCACCGCGACTCGGAGGCCAAGCGGCAGGTGACGCCTGGGTCCGGGAAGCCAGCAATGACATCCAGCCCGCAGGGGAGATCCTAAGCCACAGATTCATTGCCCATCAAGGCCGAATTTGAAGGTCGAGGAAGCCATGGTTTGAGGCTTGGGGTGGTTGCGTGCTTTGCTGCAAGCTCCATGTTCCCATGAGAAATTGCGTTTTTGACGCCCTGCCGCGCAAAGAACAAAACCACAGGTGTCCATGTCAATCTATAGGGAGTGTTCCCTTTTTGGGGGAAGTACTTGGGCATAACTTGTTTGGCCATTTAGTAGCCTCTTTGCGGGGATGTCTAAACACCACAACCTGGGTGGAGCTTCGCCCAAAAAATGGCCCGAGTGGCCTGTCTTTTTTAAGGGACCCACAAACAAGTGGTTTCCCCCTTTGGTTTCCCTTTTGCCCCCCCCCCTCTCCCGAGTCGGCACCCGACGTCGGACTTTCGCCCAGCTGCGAAGGCGAAGCCCTCGGGCGCCGTGACCAGCGCCCGCGCCTCCGCCGCGGTGCCGGAGCCTGTCACGTCGTCCGCCGGGGGTTTGAGGCTTGGAGTCGTTTGGAAGGGGCCGCCCTAAAGGAGGAGGCATCCAAAAGCCGTAGGGTAGAGGTGGTTCTTAAAAAAACCGTAGGGTAGAGGTGGTTCTTGCCTTTGCTCTGGGCTTGTTGGTTTTTGGGAGTACCCTTTGGGGTGGTTTTCACCGGGGAACCAAAAAGAAAACCACTCATTGTGGGGGGGGTTTCCCCATTGAAAGCAAACCCATGCGGCGTTGTCTCAAAATGGAGGACCCAACAAATTGGCAAAGTGTTCAGCGCGAATTGGATGAGTTCGCTTGGACGCTTGTCGCTACAAAAGTTTGAGATTTGCCCATTGAACAGGAACCTCATTTCCCCCTAACTTTGACCAAGACTATTGTTCAACGGGACCAAAGTACCTATAAGTGGAGGTAAAAGTCAGCATCATGTCTGCTCCATCAACCAGAGTTTGCAAGGCATCAACGGCTTGCTTCGACCTTTGTCAGACCCCAGGGCAAAAGGGCAACCGAAACCGAAACCGAAACCGCCTCGCCAGTGGGATGGGCGTCCCATCGGATCGATCAGCCGAGGCGCGGGGCTTGAAGAAGATCTGAATCTCGTTCCACTGCGCCACCTCCAACCTGAGGCTCTGAAGGGCCCGCTGCGAGCAGAGAGGTGGCAAAGAAGTGGCGCCAAAAATGCAGGAATGTACATATATATATATATATATATATCAAAAAGTAGATATACACATATATGTGTGTATGTCCTTTTTGTATAGTTGCTACGTAGTATTTTCCCTTCTCACCCTGGAGGTGTGACAATGTGCCTGTTTGGGCACTTCCCGGGTTGAGCTTTCAAGGGAAACCAAGACAACTATTGAGACAGACAGTGGACGAGCCGAGGGTTGGCAAAATTTGTAGCACCCGGGCGCTTGGGCCTCTGGAAATGGGTTCTTAGGGGTGGGATCAACCTTTGGACGAGTCTGGGAAGCTCCTCCCACACTGTGTAAGAAATCAGGGATCAACCCCCAACCCCACTCTGCGCCAAGAGAGCCCACACACACACACACACACATGTATGTGCATATAAGTATGCATGCCCAAGTTTGGCCCAAAAAATACACAAAAAGTCTTGAAAAAGGTGGGCACCAGGGGGGGTACCATATATATATATATTGATAATGTATATATATATATACATTAATAATGTTAATATATATATATATAGCATTATTAATACCTTTATGTGCAAACTACAAACAACTTGCAAACCGAAATGAAGCGATATCTAAGCAAGGAATCTTCGTAGCTTGCTTCGGTCGGACACCCAGGCTCTTCCAACGGAAAGTAGGGGCGCCAACACCCTTTTTGAGGTGCCAACACCCTTTTTGAGGTGTTCCCAACGAAAAAACAACTATAGCAGTCATCCATTCCCTTTTGGGCTTCAAACTCGGCCCAGTGGAGAATTGGGGTGGGGTCCGGCAAAAGTAAAAGGATGTCCTCTAAACTGGGACAGCCACAAACACAATCAACCAGGGGGGTCATTCATCCAGGATATCCAGGGTTGACATTCACTGGGAATAGTTTGATCAGGTGTTGACTAGTTGGCAGAACCGCTCCGTATCTGGACGGAGTTGTTCACTGTGTGATCCAAAGAACACCTACTGTGCATGGTCAACATCCACTTTGCACCAGCTGGGATGGATTACTGGGACAACCAATCCCCGATGCCTTGTGTCTCGAATCAAAGCGAGACGCGTCAGCGGGGATAGGAAGACCTGCTGCAGCGAGGGGTACACGGGCCACCCCTCCCACAGCGCCGTCACCGCCCCCGCGGAGCTTTCGAAGACCACCTCAGTCCCCGGTCGAGCTGTCGAGACGCGACTCGGATCGAAAGCGGCGGAAGGCGACCGTGAACCCACGACCCCTGGTTTCGTTTTGTTGGCTGTGTGGATGGAACACATCCCCCACAATGGGTTGATTTGCTGCATAGACCAAGTCTCGTTTACCATGTGAGACTCAAATGATTGGCTTGTCCCTTTTGACTTTTCCTTGGGGTGCGTGGCGTACCTTTTGCGATTGGTGGTTGCAGGTCATACTTTGCCCAAAGACATACTCCTGGCAAGTTAAGGTGGAACCCGAGAAGTTGTGTCGAGGGTCCCCTTTCTGTGGTTGTTTCAGGCGGAACCCAAAAGAACATCGGAGCTCCCCCATGAGCATTTGCAGGCAAGCCCTCACTTGATGAAAGTCCAGCAACTCAGGGAGTCGGGGGAGTCTGGCGGGCCTATGTCTGAAAGAACAATCATCAACAAAAAAACCGGTCCTTGCCGCACAAACTTCTGGTAGAAATCCACATGCCCGGCCTGCCACATTTCCGCCGGCAGGGCGTGCAGGGGGTTGGTGACTTCCACCGTTACGGCGACCTGAGCGTCTCAGGCCCGCTAAGCGGGCGGGCGAGGCGCGCAGGAAGGGCGGGTGGGTTTCCAGCCGCCAAGAAACGAAGGCAGCCGTTCCCGACGGCCCAGTGCCCATTTTGCCAGCCCAAACAGGGCTACGACCGGGGTTCCACGATGCGATTTTGAGTTGAAGCGCACTGAGGCAACTCAAACTACTTCTTGCCAAGGACACCGACTGATGGGCGTAGAGGTTCTGATTCTCCTGCGCTTCATGGCGCCATTCGCGTAAAAAAATGCCAGTGACCTGCGCCGCCTCAGGCCCTTTGAAAGCGTCCATCATCTGAAAGCTTAGAACGAGAAAAGCCAAAAGGAAACCGCCCATTTTGCGGGTTCCGCTCGGAGATCCACAAAAACGCCCAATCCCCCTTCCCCCTTCCCAAGCTGCCCGCAGGCGCCAAAGTGATCGATTCCCCCTTCCCAAGCTTCAGGCGGCTGCCCGTGATTTTGCGGGTCCTTGAAGAGGAGCTCGCAGTAGGCGTCATCCAAAGATGGCCCCGTGAGCTGCGCGTCCTGAGCCGACCGAGGCGGCAAAAGCCCCGCGGAACGCTGCAGGCAGAGAACGCAGATCATACTGTGGATGGACGAAATCCCTTCGCACCATATGGAAACTATGAGAAACCATGGTTGGTTGGTATTGACAGGGGAATCATCATTCCAGGGTTTCTTAGGTGGTGCAGGATTTCGTCCATCCACAGTATGACAGGAAAAGATGAATTCCCCGCACATGTTCCCCTCCAACCAATCGTATTAACACATCAAATGCAACCAACAGTAGGAAGGTGTGAAGGGCTCAGGCAGGGTTCAAGTGACACCAAAGACTAGACATAGTTTCGAAATCGAAAACGATCCAGTGGAACGTGCGTCCAGGCATCGACACCAATCAGATCCGTACAAACCAAGCTTTCCACTTGCATTAGCCTCCTCGTTAAGATTTCATGACCGTGTACGGGAATTCTACACCCGCTACGTACAGCGCCCATGGGGGTTTTCAGTGCCAGCCAAAAATCAACAGTTTCCTGTTAAAAATCCAAAAAACAAAACAGCACACAAACAAACAAACAAACGAAAAACAAGCAAGCAAGCAAGCAAGCAAGCAAGCAAACAAACAAGCAAGCAAACAAACAAGCAGCCAAGCAAGCAAGCAAACAAACAAAGCAAGCAAGGAAACAGGCAAGCAAGCCAAAAGCAACAAACAGACACCAATCTTCACTGGTAATTCACCGAGAAGAACCAAACAAAAAGAAGCACAGGACAAGAACAGCTGACACCAAAAGCCAGAGCTTCCACAAGAAGCAAGTGTAGCGAATGTAGGGGGGTTCCTCGGGTTTACAAATCCTACATGGTTCTTAAGTAGGAACCTTCTTAGGGGTTCTTGCGGGTTTCTGAGAATCGCTTTCGACAGAGTGACCAAATCGAGCATCTTCGCTGGACATCATTACATGGCTCGTCTTTTGTGGAGTCGGTACCCGTTTTTGTTAAACCGAAGCCATGTCCAGAGGTCTAAATAAAGACAAACCTGAGGATTGTGTCCCTCTAACTTCGAACGGCGGATTCGCCCCTTCCTAAGTTGGCTCATGAATCTTGAAGAAAAAACGTTTGCCCCAAGAGACATGGGAAAACTTGGTTGTTGGACGCCTACATTTCTTTCTGGGGACTTCAGTCCCCAAAAACTGGCAATCCACTAGATCTCGTCACTTCTGATGAGCGGCCACGGGAGAAGCCGCGTTGGTTGATTGAAAAGGAACCCCCCTCAATACAAGGGAAACGCCCTCCAGGCTTGACCCTCAAGATGACTTGTTCTCCCCCAGCCTGGGAAACTTTGTCAGGCTCCTGGGTTTTGTGGAAACTTGGCGAGTTCTCCCGTCCCAAATTGACCACAAACAAATCTGGACACTTTGAGCAAACCTCTGGGGGTACCTTCCCCACTCTTTCCAGGGATCCTTCGTTTCAGGAAACCATCAAACACCCAGGGAAACAGCTGGTTTTTGAAAAGAACGATGGTTGAAAAGAATGGTTGGAATCAACCCCTAGAAAACCTCGTGTGTGCCGCAGTCACAACTCCTGCAGGTCCCGGTCCCGGTTATTCGGGAATCCTTGTCACGGTTGTCTAAATCTGTACTGCGGATGGTTGCGAAATCCATTTCGACCTGCCTCAAACACCCTCCAGTGACTCGATTCCCAGGTAACTACCCTCAAAACGCTATGGTTTCAACCATGGTTTCATTTCGCGGTGCCTTCCCGGATTTCGCGAAATCCACAGCAAACAGATCCATGGCCATCCCGAAGCGAACAGCTGCTCCGGCCATGGCTCAAAGGGCACCCTTGCTTCGACCAGTGTTTTGCCCAGCCCTAAATGAAACACAGCTGCCAAGGGAATTGACAAAACACGAGAAAAGAAAAAACTTCCCAGCCCTGCAAACCCAATGGCTGTCTTGTTGTCCGGTTGATTCCCTTCAAGCCAATCCTGCAAAGGACCAATTGCGTCTTCCTTTCTTTGAGACCCGTCCAGTGTTGGCAGGATCCCCCGAAGAAAAAAAAAAGAAAAAGAGAGGAGCCCAGACCTGTACTTTTGGGATACCCTTTTCGGGTTTTTTTGGGGTTTCCTGGAAACCAAAAGGCTCCAGCCTAAAAGCAAGAGCTCCATTTCCTCAAGTTCGAAGGAGGAAAAAGAAAACGTCGAACCAAGGAATGAGGGCCGTGGGGAATGGAATCCACCTCTATGATACAGCAGAAAGGGCTTCCCAAAGACGCAATGGTTCATACGGGGGATCCCCCAGAAGTGGTTGGCTCGATAAATCCCGAGTGATCAACCACAACCGCCCCGGCGGGAAGTGGAAGCTCCAAAAGTATCACAGCTGGATAAACCCACAACCCTGCTCCCTAAAAAACATCCAAAAGGCTCCACCCGAAATCCGGACAGACCCGGTCCCTCCCCGATGTTCTCGTACCGAGCCGCCGGCCGCGGCGCAGCCACGGAGCAGCTGCTGAGCCGGTGCAAGCTGGGCGGCACCACCCGCAGCGCCGGCGGAGCCGAGCTGCCCAGGATGTCCGCCTCGCCACAAGCTGCAGATCCCGGGAAACCGATCCAGGTCCTCCGGTACCCGGTTCCTTTTTCTGTCGAATTTTGTCGGGGCCCCGAAAAAGGGGTAAAAGGGCACCACTGCAAAACCTAGCAATTACAATTCTTTGGCAACTTGGCCAATTTCCAAGAGGACAGCAAGTCGAGGACACCGACAATCCCCGGTTCTTGGCAACTCGGCCAGCTTCCTGAAACTTGTACTGGCTTCCGTGACTTCTAGCCTTCTGGTCTCCTCAAGGAATTCATAGAACCCCCTCAAAAACGAAGCCTCCCATCATTCTCTTGTATATGGTCTTCATTGGTGGTGGTGCAAGATCAAGCCTTTTTTGTGCTATACCTGAGTACTTTCATCGAACCGAGCTGGACTTCTTTGCGAAATTGGATTTCCAACTGCCCACCAAAAACCCGCTGAACGTCTTTCCAACTGCCCAAAAACACGCTGAATTCTGAGAAATCCTGTAGCTGGTCAAAAGCGCTGGGCCAGACAAAGCTTTCGGACCTCCTGGAGCGGGATCTGTGCACGGTCACAGTCTGAGCTTCGCGCCCAAAGAAAATGGTCTGGGGGTCCTCTAGAGGTTCGAATAAGGGTACCCGATTTTTTTGCGGTAGTCTATTTTAGTAGGGGAACCCTCCCAACCAAAAAAGGGGTGAGAGGTCGGGCACTACTGGGGGACGCGACTGTTTGTTGGTATTTACCAAGGGAATCGACCTTTTCCATAGTTTCTGAAGGACGCGGCGAAGCGGCTTGGGAACCGCACATACCCAACGGATGGTGCTGCTACGTCTCCCCCAGCCCAAAAAAAACGGCTGTTCATAACCAAATAACCATGTCTTGATCCCAAAATCGCACCTGGACCTTCAAGCGAGAAATCCCATCACTTGCAGGAGCTTTATCCAGACCTGGTTCTATCATGGGACCCCTGGTTTCTTGGAATAATTCAGTAAAACTTGGAAACAATCACCACTTGATGAGAATGTATCTTGTTTGTTGTATTTGAATGTGGTGGTGATATAATGTAGAAACATGTTTCCGAGGAAGTCAGGCAGCGTTTTTTTGGAAACCCAGGCGGCGTTTGGGAAGATGGTCAGCTGCAGCGACTGGCGGGCCCCGAAGGAGCTGTCCGCCTGCAAACTGTCTCAGGGCCATACGAGTCATAGCCTCGGTGTTATTCGTGGCCGAGTCCTCGAGGATGAAATATTAATCATTGCATATCCCTTATAACAAGTATATTGGTCATCATTGCTCTTGCTTGTTTTTGATTGGAACAATTGCTTTTTGCCACACACACACACACAAAAAACTGTTCTTTTGCTTGGGTGCTCTGTACCCATAGTGACAGTGTCTACTCTTCCTGAGTGGATTGGCACAAAGCCAAACTCTGTGCTTAAGTCCGGCAAAATCAGGCAAGGCAGTATATACCTCGCACATAGGAGCGGAAGATGGACAAGAGGAACTCCAAGAGGAAACCCCCAACATTTTAAGGGATGCTATATGGGCCTAAATGATTAGACTGGGGTGGTGGGGGTGCTTTGGAACCGAACTCGGCCATCATCATCACCGCCACCACCACCGTCACCGTCCTCGTCCTCGTCCTCGTCCTCCTCCCCCTCGTCCTCCTCATCATCATCACCACCACCATCACCACCACCATCACCATATCAGCATATCAGCACATCAGCATGTCTGCATATATATATATACATATATCAGCGTATAAACATCATCATCATCATCATCATCATCATCATCATCATCATCATCATCATCATCATCATCATCATCATCATCATCATCGTCATCGTCATCGTCATCGTCATCATCATCATCATCATCATCATCAGCATCAGCATCAGCATCAGCATCATCGTCATCGTCATCATCATAATCATTATGATCATTATGATCATCATCATCATCATCATCATCATCATCATCATCATCATCATCATCATCATCATCATCATCATCCTCATCGTCATCGTCATCGTCATCGTCATCATCATCCTCATGCTCATCCTCATCATTATGTTTATATATATATGTATTAGATTGAAGTGATTGCTTAGCCGCTTATGTTAATGCCCTCCCCACTCTCACCTGAGAAGTATATCTGCACCCAACAGCGCCCGAGCCAGCTCCCATGTCAGCCCCTCAAGGTGCCCAACCCATGCTGGACACGAGGAGTCGAACAGAAGCCTCGAAAACGTGTCTCAAATCAAGGGTAACCCCTTCCTACAGCAACTTAGATTTCCCCAGAAAGTTGAAAACATGCAACACAAGAACAGGTGTAACAACCAAAAAAGGGGTTGTTTCCCAGCCCCAGGTTTAGAAAACCGGCACCATAGCTCTGGCTCTCAACATGATCACCACTTCCACACACAAAAGAAAAAGGGCACACACAGTAAACCTTTCCCGGGCCTGCTGGGCATCCCACCCTGCGAAAACCAAAGCCTCAGCCTCAGACTACATCCTCCAATAGAGAGGTTAGAATAAGGGTACCCGATTTTTTTCTGTAGTCTATTTGGCTGTGGGTCCAAAATATGTACCCAAAATGGAACCCTGGTAAATGGAACCAAAGACTAAAACCTGCGGTCCCCTGGTGGCTTAATTTTGACCCCACCCATTTTAGTAGGGAAACCCTCCCAACCAGAAAAAGGTGAGAGGCCGGGCACCTAGCTGGGGGACCCAAGGCAGATTTGCACCCCAGGCCTTTTCCCCCCCCTCAAACCACCCCTCCCCCCCCTCCCTGCCAAAACCGCCTGCAGGTCGGAGATGACCTCCAGCGGCGGCGCCAGGAAGAAGGGGCCGGCGCCCAAGATCTGGCGGGGGCTTCCGCGCGCTTTCCCCATTCGAAGGCTTTCGCCGGCTAAACGGGGGTTCGGCCTATGTTTCTTGTGGGTCATTGTGGGTGCCACCGGTTTAGGGGTTTCGGGGTTTAGGGGTTTAGGGGTTTAAGGGTTTAGGGGTTTAGGGGGTCATTGTGCTGCTGTTTTTGTTTTTTTTTTTTAACTATTGAAACAAAATAACATGTTGTGCTTACTCGCCTCATTGTTTGCCTGAAGTAGGCCATGGTGATGGTGGTTGGTGGTTTGTGAATGGTTGTGTTTCTTGCTTGCGAAATCTGTTTGGCGATCCGTTTGAGTAGAACTCATCCATCCTCTTGTGGTTTGATGTTCAAACAAGAAAGCAAATGATGATTTGCTACAACCCATCTTCTCCACATGGACTCTGAAAAAAGCCAATTGAAAGCGATGTTGTCTTTTTTCAGGGCATAGGTGAGCGGCGGGGTTCTAGCCAAAGTCATCCACACACTTGAGTTGTGCTTCTTGGGGGAAACTGAGAAACTGAAACATCGAAGTATTTAATCTGTGTCCACTTCAGCTTGCCTTTTGACCGCCTCTTCGCAAATCTTCGCGACGTCTTTCGATTCTTGAAGGTAGGTGCCATTGATAACCCGCCAGGGTGTCAAAGGACCCTTGCGGAGATTGCTGACTCGAGCCTTTGGGTTCCTCCACCATTTGGTATACAGTTCAAGTCGAGCAGAGGTTTGGGTGTTGTCTTTTTTGCGGGACCCCTTTTTGGCGGTTTTAAAGGTGACCAAAAAGGACAACTGCCATATTGGGGGGCCTAAAAAAGGACACACCCACCGCTTGACCTGAGAGAGGACGTAGCACCTCTAATCAGCAAAAGCATTCCCTGTGACGGAAGTACAACTCAGCATCGGATCGGATATGCCGATCGCCTATGTGGAAGTTTCATGCAAATTCGGGCCCTCCAAAGGCGGTTGGTGTCTGCTTGGTTTCCCTTTGAGGGCCATCCGAGCAGGGGCACCCTGCATTTTGTCTCATCAGTCAGGCTGTTGAGTGGTCCGAAGAAGTTCAGCTTGTACGGCCTTGACTAAAGGGGATAAGAAGTTGCAAAAACGAGTCAAACAAGTGTAAAGTTTAACCATGCCAGTGCAAGTACCGGTCATGGAGGGTCACTCACACTTGGGATTCTCTGGACGGGTTCGCAGGGGAGTAACCAATCATTCCTGAAGCTTTCTACAGCCTGTATCCCACTGGCTCGTCGGTACGTGTCTGGAGCGCGTTTCGAGACATCTTGAAAACAAGGCCGACTCTTCGAAACCGGCTGAAGAAACTTTCTGGTAGGTGCTACGCATGTTTGGATGGGAGCCGCACTTTGACTTAATCCACATGTCCGAACGAATCATCTGGGCTGGTCAAACCTGACCTGAAAAAGATGATTCTTATGTTGATGGTTTGGCAAACAACAATCCCAGGTGAAATGTAAGATGCCCAACCAAAGAGCAGCCGAAAGAGGCCTTGTCGAAGCCAACGCCCGTGGCCGTGCGGGAGGCCGCAAACCATCGGCCAACTGAGCCCCGGCCTCGTATGCGACTCAGAGCCCCGGTGATAGATCGCAGGGCAAAAACCAGCCCAATCACGGGCCTTAATGACCCCAGTGCAACCTAAACCATGCTGCCCACCAAGCTGATGGGGAACTGATTGCCAAACACGATAATTACCCGCCTGCAAAACTGGTTGGGGTCCCAAAACCACCCGGTAGTGCCCCTTGCTCACAGGTTTCGAGCGCGAGGATTGCTGAGAATCATCTAGGTGGAGATCGATACACCTGTCCGTTTTTTCGCAAGCGGCTCACGTGCGGTCCTTCGGCCTGGAAAGTGCGAAGGCGGACATAAGCTTCGGCACGGGCAGGAGCACCACCCAAACATCACTATGCAACTCAAGGCGGGTCGGGGGCTTTGGGGCCCATGGGGCGGAAGCAGAGCCCCACCCTCACCCCGTCCAGGTCCGCCCGAAATCCCAGCCAACCTGGTTCTATTCAACCAAACCGAGCCCACTCCCCAAGCAAACACATCGGGGCTGCTTCTTTCCCCACTCCTCGTCAACTCCCGCGCCCCCATACAGAATCAGTTGGGGGGCACATCAAAAGCGGGGAATAATTGAAAAGGGGGCCCCAGTGCGTCAGGTCCCCTTTTGAGTAGTCCTTGTGTTCCCATACCCAGGCCACCCCTCCAGGAGTTGACTTGGAAAAACCAGCCCCACCCAGGCCACCCCTCCCACACGTCCCAAAGCGGAAGGCGCGCGCTTTCACGGCGCGTCCATCCGGACGCCGCGCCTCGCGGCCGGCGCAGCGTGACCCGGAACTGCGCGGAGGAGGAGACGGCGGAGGCGATGCCGCTGTCCAGGCGCAGCAGCAGCGCGTTGGCCCCGCGGTCCTGCAGGTCTTGGACTGGGTCCTCCAGTAGAGAGAACCTTAAAATCAGGGCACCAACTCTTTCTTTTTTTCCCGGTTTGTCTATTTTAGTAGGGGAACCCTCCCCAAAAAAGTTGGTAAAAGAAAAAGACCCTGAAACGAAGCCGCGTTTCTACAGAAAGGCCAGTATTCAGGGAATAGCAGGGGTTCTTACAGGCGCCGTTGCGCAAACCAGCAATGTTGGTCTAATGGAAAAGGGTTTGTCCTGGAGGGGTCATCTAAGGGGAGTCTATGCGGGGTGTCTGGAAAAGGCAATACGATCATAAGAGCCAACCCTCCTCCCCTAGATTCCTGCAATCAAGGCCTTGAGAATGATGGATCATAACGAGACAAAGGGGACAAGTGAAGGGCAGAAAACGTCTAGAGAATGCCCCGTTCAACAGCTCGAAGAGGATCGAAACCGGAGAATGGGAAGACCGATTCTAGAGTCTATCTTTCTAAAGGGGCCTGAAAAGGGCTTCTGTGCCCATGGATTACGCAGAGAATCCTGGGGATTTGGTAGGGTTCCCTGAAGACTGGGCGTGTGGCTTCTCGAACGCGAAACGGGCCCGGCCATGGAATCCGAGCTTAAAACCCGGGTCGAGTTGGATTGCCTTGGGGCGGGCGAATCAGAATCATCTGGACCTTCTACAAATTCACCTAGGCCCTCCAGTAGAGAGGTTAGAATCAGGGTACCAACTTTTTTCTGTCTATTTTAGTAGGGGAACCCTCCCAACCAAAAAGGGGTGAGAAGGGGCACCTAGCTGGGGCACCTAGTCACCTCAAAGTCCCCGTCGAACCCCGAAAACTGTCCTCAAGGAGTGCCCAGAGACCCTCTGGTTCCAGTTGCATCCCCGACAATTCACAGGCATGGGACAAAGGCAATTCCCATCATTTCTGTTCCGCTTGATTTGCAAGGAAACCCCAGCAAAACCCAAGTCCAACCAGTTGCAAGAAGAAGGGGATCATTTTTTTTCTGCTTTTCCCCGCCGTTTGGCACGAAAAAGGCTGGAATCCACCCGACCACGGGAAAACGGGACTCCACCGATCCTCCGGCAGCGCTTCCACGAGGCAGGTACCACGGAGTGGCTGGGCAAACCTGAGGGAGGCAAAGCCTCGTTTGGGAAGATACCCCCGAAATCGGCCCAAGCCAAACCCAAGAGTTGGGTCTCAACAATCCCATCTTGCGCCATGGCCCATTCCATCGGTGGAAACGTAAGACCCACGAAGGTGCGCGACGCGACAGGCGAGGTTGAATAAACCAACTTGAAAGCGAAGCACGCACTCAGTCACGTGCGCATCCTTGGAGAAAACAACAAACAAAGTTCAAACAACACTCTCAGCAAAACTTCAGCGGCGCGGCAACAAAGTCGCAGAAGCAAGGCCGTGCGAGGACGGCTGGGGTGGATTAAGGCGCCCACTCCAACCTTTTTGGAACTTGAGATCACTTCTGCTCGGCTTGGACAGCTTGGCACAATGGACAAAAGCGACCACACACACTTTCATTCTGGTTGGCCGAAGCGACAGGTTCCAAAAGACATGGGCAGAAAGGGAAAAGACATGGGCAGAAAGGGCCTTTTGTAGTTGATATGTTGGCGGAAGGCACTGGTCTGGAACAACCAGCTGGGGTTTGAACTCAAGCTCGAGCACTCCGAGACTTCACTGACGGGGCGTGGCCACAAGAAGAATCTAGGACGGCTTCTGCTCACCTCCCGAGCGGATTGGCCAGAAACAAATCAAACTTGAGCTTGTAAGTCCAGAAACCCTGCCGGTGTCTTTTTGGGGGAAATGAATCCATACAAGCCATGCTGGCACTAGCATGATCCAACCCGAAGACTGAGTCCACAAACCCGGCTTAAATCGAGAAACCCGGCTCAGTCACAGTCCAAACTAGGTACGCAAGTAGCCTTCAACATGTAAACAGACCCGAAAGTGGGTGCCTCTTGGCTGGGACGGCTCATCTTATCCTGTCTACCTGGGTTTGATTGTGGCTCGAACCAGAGCACATGTGCAGCACCCATTTTTAGATCCCCTGGGTCACCGAACTCCCAACACCTTGCTGGAACAAACACTTGGCCACGGCGCCCCACCGTGTTGAACCCCTGGCAGTGCTCAGTGGAGGAGATGCCCTCCTGGAAGAAGGGCGATGTGAAGATACGGATCCTCGATGTGCCCAGAATGGCAGCAAGTGTGCGGTCTTTGCGGGTACCCTTCAAGGTTCGCTTTAAGCAAAGCCAAGGGGAAACTACCCCTTGCTACGCATCCCTATGATGACACGGACCCAATGCACGCTTGCGCCCAGGAGGCAACATGGGCGGTTGTTGAGCTCGACTCAAAATTGCGGAGCCCCTGCGTGGTTTTCCTTTCGGTTGCACGCAACAGGTACCAAATCAAGCAAACATGCCGGAAAGTGCATTTCATGACATGCATGTTTTTTGTTTGTCTAAAAGCTTGCCCTGAGCTGAGACAACTTGCTGAAATCAGGGCAACATGAAGGCCGGCCATCTATCAAAAGCTTGGGCAATTCACTTTGACCCCCGCAAAATGTGTATAACTCTTCGCTGCTTAGTTCCACATGGCCCATCTGCTAACAAACGCGAGAGGGCGCAGCGGCCCGAACGAAAAGATGGGACGAGGCAATCTACCCGTCTTGCAGCTTCTGAAGCGCTTTCGCGCCGGTCTGGAGGCCAACAGAGAACTGAATGCAACGACCGTGCAACAGAGAAGAGTCTCGGGCCTTCAAGCGCTCGAATCAAATTCGAACCGGTGATGGGCGCAGCCTGCAAGTGCCCCTGATGTCTTGGGCCCCGACAGACCACTGATGGCGGCCTTCGCCGCTTGGGGAGTCCAACGGTAGCACCAAAGCATCAAGTACGCTTCAGGACATCCAGGTTTCTTTCTGGATGGGCGCCTCGAATTCTCCTCCGCACACCAACAAAGCATTCAACCGGAGACCCGAACCTTCGGGGGCGAAACGGCTCGAGCTGCCACCCCGCGCCCCGGTTTCCCCCGGCGGTTTCCGGCGAGGCGCTCGGAGCCCGCCCCGAGGTCCGCCGTGACGGAGAAGCTGAACTGCGCGCGGTCTCCCGGCACTGGCACCTAGCGACACGAAGTGGGAAGCTCCGGCTTGGCTCGGAGTTCAAGTGAAAGCGACTCAACACGTTCGAGGCGCTAAAAGGCTTGGGCACGACCAAATTACCCACCCCGGAAAACAGGGCTGATGTCTTCCATCCCCCGTTCGTAACCCCTCTGGCCAGGGCACCCTTGCGTCAGTGCGCCAGTTTGGTCCACGGCCGGAAGCTATGGCTTAGGAAAGCTCTGTTTGGGGCTGGCCGTCTCAGAGCGCCGTTTGTGGAAAGCTCCGTTTGGACCATCTCAGACACCAAACCAAGAGGGAATTGCAAAGTGACACCCATTGAGCTGAGTGGAACACCGCAGAACAGCACTCTACAATACCACTAAACCCACTCAGCTTCGAGGGGTTGGCCAGCTCTCAAATATCCCCCCAAAGTCAGGGTTGCGCATGTGGCTCAAACCATGGCCCACTTGCAGCCGAAGCACCCAAAGGAGGTTCTTGAAAGCAGAGTGGCCTAAACCAGTCAAAGTCCGATCCCATCGTCAACCCGTCCTGGTTAAGCCTTGGTTTACTTTCCTGGGATCTCCAAACCAATCCCTGGAAACCCTAAAAGCCGAAAGCCAAAGGAGCCCTATGGCCGGGAACCTCCGCTTCAAGACACCGTGGGTGGCTTGGAGTAGAAACGATCTGAACCTTTGGTTTGCCTCTAAAAACAGCCACCCAACAACGCATCAACTCAAGGAATCCCGCCTTTTTCAGGGTCTTTTGCGTGTCTTTTTGTCACATGTCCCTTTTTGGTGTCCCTGTTCCATGGTCTGAAACGGCTCCGGCGCGCGCAAAAAAAAAGCCGCTTTCCTCCAAGGCGCCGTGCCCAGGTGCCGCAGCCCGGCGATCCGGGCGTCTGGAAGCCGCGTGACCAGCTCAGGCACCTGGAAACCCCTCGGTTAGGCCAAGAGGAGTTTTCCGCTCTTGGGGGGTCCCTGTTTTGAAGCTAGAGTGCAAGGGGATGACTACACCAAAACGGAAGTGCGCTCTCTATAACCAGGGATTCGAATCCCCAAACCACCAATCCAAACCACCAATTAAGCGTAACCTGAAAATGTGATAACCGCGGTTGAATTTGTTGTTTTCAAGTATGCAGACTCCAAGTAAGAAGACATTTAAAACCTAGGAAGGCCCAATAGAAAAAACACCACAACCACAACCCCCGGCGTCCACGAGAGGAAGAGCCATTGAAGCCGAATGGTGGCTGGTGGTGACTATCAAGGGGCCAAGGAACGTCAAGAGCCATGACCCTCCCAGGGCTGCCCTATGGCTCTGAGCCTGCATTGAAGACCATACCGATCCCCTTGAAACAACTCGCCGAATGAAGCAGGGATGAGCCAACTCTTGGCAAAGCCAGCAAAGTCAATTAGTTTTCAGCAGTTCAGGAAACAGTTGGTCAAGAAATTGGAGACCGCAGACTTCCGTTCCCCCTAATACAGGGCTCCCAAATAATGAAAACTAGACCACGGTTGGCCCGAAAGCAGAACATCGCAAGCGAGGTCGGCCCAACGCTGCAGGATGCGTTCTTTTTCCCTACACTTCGTGAAGCAAGCGCGAGACAGCACCAGGCAAGGTGCTCTGCGCAAACTGGTCGGTGCAAGTTGGTCTGCGCAAGTTGCTCTACGCAAGTTGCACTGTGCAAGTTGCTCTGCGCAAGTTGCTCCGCGCAAGTTGCTCCGGCAAGTTGGTCCCTGCAAGTTGCTCTGTGCAAATTGCGCTCCCTGCAAGTTGCTCTGTGCAAGCTGCTCTGTGCAAGTTGCTCTGTGCAAGTTGCTCTGCGTAAGTTGCTCTGCGCAAGTTGCTCTAGGCAAGGCGCTCTGCGCAAACTGGTCGGTGCAAGTTGGTCTGCGCAAGTTGCTCTGTGCAACTTGCTCTGCGCAAGTTGCTCTGCGCAAGTTGCTTTAAAATGCAAGTTGCATCTTGCGACGCCCGCCCGCGGACCAGGGAGGAATCGAACCCGCGACCCGCCGGTTCCGGGAGCAGGCGCGCGAACCACGAGACAACTCCCGAGGACCAGTTCGAACAACAAAAGTCGCAAAAAACCTTGAGTTTTTGCACCTCGACCACGCCGATTCCCGCAGAGGGTTGCGCGAGCACCGCAGAAATCGCAAAAAACCATGGGTTTTTGCACCTCGACCACGCCGATCCCCGCAGAGGGTCGCGCGAGCAGGTTAGAAATCGCAAAAAACCATGGGTTTTTGCACCTCGACCACGCCGATCCCCGCAGAGGGTCGCGCGAGCACCGTTAGAAATCGCAAAAAACCATGGGTTTTTGCACCTCGACCACGCCGATCCCCGCAGAGGGTCGCGCGAGCAGGTTAGAAATCGCAAAAAACCATGGGTTTTTGCACCTCGACCACGCCGATCCCCGCAGAGGGTCGCGCGAGCAGGTTAGAAATCGCAAAAAACCATGGGTTTTTGCACCTCGACCACGCCGATCCCCGCAGAGGGTCGCGCGAGCAGGTTAGAAATCGCAAAAAACCATGGGTTTTTGCACCTCGACCACGCCGATCCCCGCAGAGGGTCGCGCGAGCAGGCAGAAATCGCAAAAAACCATGGGTTTTTGCACCTCGACCACGCCGATCCCCGCAGAGGGTCGATTTTCGTGTAGTGTCGTCGGCACTACCCCGCCGCCCTAAGAAGAGATTTTAACTCCTCGCAAGTCAATTGCACTTGACTCCTTGCACTTGCAACTTGCACTTGACTCCTTGCTTGTTTCAAGGAGTCATTGCAAGAGTCATTGCAAGGAGTCATTGCAAGGAGTCATTGCAAGGAGTCATTGCAAGGAGTCATTGCAAGGAGTCATTGCAAGGAGTCATGCAAGGAGTCATTGCAAGGAGTCATTGCAAGGAGTCATTGCAAGGAGTCATTGCAAGGAGTCATTGCAAGGAGTCATTGCAAGGAGTCATTGCAAGGAGTCATGAGAGCCATTGCAAGTTGCAAGGAGCCAAGTGCATGGAGTCAAGTGCAAGTCGCAAGTGCACGGAGTTAAGTGCAAGTTGCAAGTGCAAGGAGCCAAGTGCAAGGAGCCAAGTGCAAGGAGCCAAGTTGCAAATGGAGTCAAGTGCAAGTTGCAAGTGTGTCAAGTTGCAAGTGCAAGGAGTCAAGTGCAAGTTGCAATCCTTGCCATGACTCCTTGCAATGACTCCTTGCAATGACTCCTTGCAATGACTCCTTGCAATGACTCCTTGCAATGACTCCTTGCAATGACTCCTTGCAATGACTCCTTGCAATGACTCCTTGCAATGACTCCTTGCAATGACTCCTTGCATTGACTTTCATGATGATGATTCCTTGCAATGACACCTTGTAATGACTCTCATGAGAACAATTCAAGTGAACCCAGCGGAGGAACCCTTCGCCATGCTTTCGGGAAAAATGGCTCTCCAAAACCCAAAGTGGTCAATGCTAGCTTTGGAGTCGGTCGGTTCTAAACCAATTCTCCGCTGGCGAGTTCTCCTGCTCACCAGAAGGGACGGAGGGGGGGACTTTTGCCAGAAACTGATAGGGGCATACCCAGAACCGATACCCCAGGCATATTGCCCATTGCTCACATGTGCAAAGAAAGAAACCATTTGCGCGCACACACGCACAAAACACAAACAAACAAACAAACAAACAAACAAACAAACAACCAACCAAACAAACAAACAAACAAACAAACAAACAAACAAACAAACAAACAAACAAACAAACAAACAAACAAACAAACACGCGCGCGCACACACACACACACACACACTTGATGGAACACATCGAAACTGCGAAGGCGCACCCCAAGCAACTGAAAAAGGAACTCAAAGGGAACTCAAAGGGAACTCAAAGGAGTTTCGGCACAGCCCACGCTTGATCGTCTTTTCCTTCGCTAGCCGTCCTCATCAGGGACGCCAGCAGCTAGCGAAGGTACTGAACGTCAAGTCGTTTGCTGTGGTGGCGTCCGACTCCCAAAAGCAATCAAATGCAAAAAGGCGAAGGACCCCTTAGGAACAGGGGGCACACACCCACACACCGCTTTGGCCACGCCCGCTGCGTGAAAGCCGCAAATTGCAAAGTCTCCTCCTCGAGCGCGGGCAGCTGCGTCACGTCCACGTACGCAGCTGGCAATGCGAGCGGGGGCGAGCTGGGCTCAGCTTGCGCCCTGGAAGTCAATCACCCAATTCCCTCAAAGAGATTGAAAACGGCACGGCTTAGAGGGGATGGTAACAAGGGCTCCGATGGCTGCAAAGGATCAAAAAGCATCCGGGAGATGGTGGGACTCTTAAACTATCCCGGAAATGGTCTGGGCCTCGCGGATGTGTAAAACATCCAGTCAGGAAACACCACCCGTTGGGAAAGTCTCGACGTGCGGCAAGGTGCCAAGATTTCTGAATGACGGGGATGTTGGTTCAAGTTCTGCATTTTGACCTGCAGACATGATACATACAAGGCGATCGCAGGGAAGTATATCTTCGCAAGAGAGACAACACATGGGCCTAGAAGCCCCTGCAGCCTAACATGAAACCCAAACCGTCTTCCAGTAGAGAAGTAAGAAGAAGGGTACCAAATGGTACCAACTCTTTCTGTAGTCTTTTTTAGTAGGGGAACCCTCCCAACCAAAAAAGGGGAGAGAAGGGCACTGGGGGACCTAGTCAATCACCCATGAGAATTCCCTCAAAGAGATTGAAAACAGCCCTGGGTTGGCCTCCTAGGTTAGAGGGGGGTTGGGGGGTCCCGGTTCCAACAAGGGCTCCGATGGCTGCAAAGGATCAAAAAGCATCCGGGAGGAGTCCACTCATTTCTCAGGTCACGCAAGTCAGGGAAGCTTGGTGAACATACACGGAGATCTCCCAGAAAACCACCTTGCTTCCCCCCCTCACTCACTGAACCATGTCTCGAACGCCCAGTTTTGTTCCCCCACCGCCTGGCGCCAGGATGCGGAGCCGGAAGCTGAGGATCCGCTTGGGCGGCGGGGAGACCCCCAGCACCAGCAGGTCGTAGCCTAAGCTGGCGACCGAACGTCAGGTTTGCGGGTGACTCGAAACGTTAAAAAATGGAGGGTGCCGCGCTTAAGCCTGGAAGCCCAGGAAAAAGGAATTCGGAGAGTCCCCACTTGGTGGATGATATGTTCAGTGGGCTGCGGGCTTGTTGGACCCATTTCTGCCACCCGTCTTCAATGGGAAATGTGTTGGGCCCCGACATGGGACCCTTCTTCTCCAACACGAACATACTGCGCCCATGTCGCTGTCGATGAGAATTCACCCAACGGAAATGGTCTTTATTAGACACACAGACTTTCGCACAGAAGGACTGCTCCAGGCTAACAGCAGATGGCACAATTCCACTTTCTTTCGGGGGAATGATGAAACCCACATGGGGTCTGGTTAAAAAGAGGACTCACATGGAGAATACTTGGAACAAGACTAGGAAAAGCTTTGGGTTGGGATGCCCCATAATTCTGGATGGGATTGAGCTAACTGCAATGCGCATGGTCGTGCATTGCTGAAAACCTCTTACCTAGAAACCAACACTTGCGTGTCTCAAGGGAAATCCGAAACCGGCTCTGGCAACTGGACAAAAATCCACGCATCCTTTTCCCTGCAGCTGGCTTTGAATGACACCCACGTTCACTTGACTGGCCAGAAAAAGTTGAAACTCTTCGCGGATGAGAAAGAAACTTGTCAGTTTGCTGCAACCTGTTGCAGGCTGCGGGCAAGCCACGCACTTAAAAGAAAAACAAATAGGGGAGGTCTCCAATCGTTGAGCCCCAAAAGGAGCCAGCCCCATTCTTTCACGACTCCCCAAGTGAGGTTTGCTCCACGCCCCCTTACATAGAAGATACTCAATTCTATATGCATAATATAGTTGTTGTGGTCGTTGTTATTATGATTATTAAAACGACTACTATGATGATTGTTCTTGCTGAATAATACTGTCATGATTATGATTAGTATCGTGATATCATGATCGCTGTTATCCAGACTATTATTGTTACTATCATCATCACCACCACCACCACCACCACCACCACCATCATCATCACCATCACCACCACCACCACCACCACCACCACCACCACCACCACCACCACCACCACCACCACCACCACCACCACTACCACCATCATCATCATCATCATCACCATCATCATTATTCAGTTTGATGCTTAGTTGCCGCCAAAAAGGGGGTACGGGTTTGGATCGAGGGATCGAGATCCAAACAAGACCACTCCTAAGAGGGCTCTGGCCAGATGGAAAGTGCTTGCAGCCGTGAAGAATCATGGCAGGGGCCTGAAAATTTGTTGGGCCGTGCTCTGAGTAGCTGTCAACACACAGCGGGAGCTAAGACCAAGACGCCGACAAAATACTTGGCACAATCCTTCACAATATCTGTCATTCAGAAATATGATATAACATATTGATATACAATCTTCATGAAAAGAGAATTAGATAGATTTAGTCAACCCTAACAAACAATCTGAGGGAACTCCAGTAAAAGAAAGGCCTACGAGGGTTTCCGTTATGTGCCTTCAAACTATCGCCGCACCAGGAAGCTCATGTCCAATTGCCAATCAAGAAAAAGTGTGCAACTTTCAAGGGAAATGCAACTGGGTCTCTTGAAATGACATCCTCACAACCATCTATACAATTGGGAACACAACCCCCAAACGTAATGTTGATCTAGAAACCGGTTTGGATGTGGCTTTTGTGGATCCATCCATGTAAAATACTCAACGAGTACTAAAAGATTCAACAAATTAATCATTTCACAAAAAACTGCAAATCCCCCCAAACCGTTTCCAAGTTGAAGCCCCCGAGCTTTTGGGTGGTCAGAATTAAACAGCTGCTACGCAGGTAGTCTATCTCTAGGTCCTCCAGTAGAGAGGTTAGAATCAGGGTACCCTTTTTTCTGTAGTCTATCTTAGTAGGGGAACCCTCCCCCAAAAAAGGGAGAGAAGGGCACTACTGGGCGACCTAGACCTTTCCATTTACCAGGGTGTCATTTTGGAGCCGCTGCCAATTTTTGAGCCACACCCTTTTGGTGAACCCCAGGCGCGAGTGTTGCTCTCTAGAGTGCCCGCCAGCTCCAGCGTCAAAACCCCGGGCTGCGTGACGCCTCGGGGATTTGTGGACGACACGAGAGCTTGGCCCGGTTTTTTATTCTTAGCATTTCTAAGCCTCTAAACCCACCCTAAACCAGCCGGTTCCAACCGCGCTAAACCAATGCCTTGGACTTGGGTCTTGAGTGCAAGTGCTCGGTCTGTATTTGTGTTTGACCCTGGTTCTGAGTTGGCACCCGAGTGGTTTGAAAAGGGACGGGAAGACAAGGCCCATCTGATTGGGGAGAAACCAACCATTTGCATTGGCTTAAAGAAACAAGTTGCGTCTACGTGTAGAGTCTTGGATCCAATTGTCATGCCAGGGCAACCAGCTTTGGTTCCAGGTAACCCTGACCCGGTGGTTTTCTTTCGGCTTCCCTGAACCATCCATCACGCCCCAGACAATGCTCTGAACATCCCTTCTGTGTGAGCTACGTGCTTGTAAAGTGAATGAGCAGCATGCCTCAATCGACCAAGGGCGCAAAGCAAGGCTATGCTGGATAAGCCTAAGCCCAGGACAAGCTTAGGACAAGTCGGGGATAAGCTCCAGCTGCTGAGGGCAGCAGCTAAGGTGATTGCCAAAAGTATCATGCAACTGAACCCCAAAAGTGGCACAATCCAAGTCACCCACGTGCTACGAAAAAGGGGGAAACGACCCGGCTGAAACCAGGAAGCCCCGATTTCCCTCTGGTTTAACAGCGGTGTGAGGGTCCAGGTACCCTCAAAACGGACGAGACGCCACACCCCAAAGACCCTCCCACGTCAAGGCCTAATTCGGCCTTGTTTTTTCCCTAATTCGCACTACACCCGAACCCTTGGGGAGAGGTATTGTTACTCTACTTAGATAAGGCCAGAAACAGGGTTCTAACGGGGCTAACCTCAGTGACCCAGTTATAACCATGGTGATAGCCTAAGTTGGCTCACCATCCAAGTAGGGTGCCAGAATGTCTTGCTCCTCCCCCCCCTTCAGCCGTTGAACAAAATATTAGAAGCAAAAAAAGAACGCCGCCAAAAACCACCCCCGCCCCACCCAGCCAGCCCCCCCCAATTCACAGCTAGGGGGCAGCGTGCCACCGGAGGCAGCCGGGGTGCCTCCAAGAGCCACGCGCACCCCCCGAGGCCCAGCTGGAAGTACTCGCCTGGCGATCTACGTGCGCCCAGTACTCGGATGGCTCGCCACTTTCCGGTCAAGAACCAACCCAAAAGACTTTGGATGGACAAAATCCGTTCGCACCTCCTAAGAAACCATGCTTGAAACCATTGTTTGTTGGTAGTTGCAAGGGAATCCTCAGAAACCAGGGGTTCTTAGGTGGTGCAGGATTTCGTCCATCCACAGTATGGTCTATGAAATTCTGTGAAACAAACAGATAGGCTGCCTGAAGAATAAGAACAAATTAGCAACCCCTTTTTGAAGCCCCCAGTTTAAAAATATGGTCTATCAAATTCTACCAAACAAACTGATAGGCTGCCTGAATAAGCTGACAAACTTGCAACCAACCAAAAGATCGGTGACCGAATTCTGTGGTATTGAGGCCTGCTTGAGAAAGAGGGGTGCCAGTGGGTGCAGCCGACCCACCCTGGATGCTGGTGATGACTGGTAATATCGGTGCATCAAGGTTCGTGCCATCATTTGGTTGGAGCTCAGGCCCGCAAAAGGCTGAAAACACGCCAAAGATGCATCACTCTCAAACATAACTTTTCGTGCAAAGGCTGCATCCCCAGCACCCCCAGTATCGCCTCAGGCCCATGCGGGAAGGATACCAAGTGAGTCACAATCAAAACCCGGTATTAAAATGGTTGACCCAGAACCATGTAAGGATATACCAAGGCGGCCGCAACTATTTATGGCTGGGATTGTCCCTTACTAACCTTCATCTACCCCGGTTTTGATGGGTGGCCCCGAAAAGGGGTGGAAAAAAACACATGTTTGAAGGGTCAGGAGAAGGCATTTGTGTGGTTCAATCGCCATTCCGGTTTTGATTTCGTCTCAAGTTGAACTTCCCGTCCTTCCCCCGGAGCTAGTCAAGTCAAGCAGCACAGCTCGATGGCCGGCTGGCAAAGCACCTCGAAGCCCAAAGAGACCATCATCCTGGCGGCTTGAAACGCGGCCCCGGCCATGGGGTCCCCTTACCTACTCCAATTACCCGCTTTGTTTCAGGGTATCATGTCGACCCCCTACTAAAAAGGGAGGTATTTAGCATGGAAATCCAGGCTTTCCAAGTCTTTCTCCAAACCCCCAATTTCCCCGTGGTTTCCTGCTTAAAATGAACCAACATTGGCATCCTGAAGAAGGAAGACGCGGCTCTGGCTTCAAACATCACCCCCACCTTAAAACATCATCTCAGGGAAATACGGGGAGCCGCAGCAAAAAGAAAGCACGAAAATCGGGGTAATCACGGTTTACGCTCTTCAGAATGGTTTGGCGTCCAATACGACGCCCCAGAACAGAGATACCCCAGAACAAATCCTTGGCTGGGGATGACCGAAATGAACGGTGACGCAGACCAGTTGCCACAACTAATTTTCAGTCAATGTGTGAAAGCTCGATCCTGGTACCAAGCGAGAGCCTTAGGGAACCTGTCTCGGGAAGGCTAGCAACTGCATCGCTGTTCATGGTGGTTTCCAACCGGGCACAAGGGGGCTGAGAACATGGCGGCGGGTCAGAACTCATGGCCCGGAGAGCGTGGCCTGGGAGGAGGTGAGGAGCGATCAGTGTCACTTTTATGCACCCAATGTTTTGGAGGGCTCCGATTCGCAAATGGCCCATGCTCCCATGCTCCTGGTGGAGTCATCGTCCTGGTAAGGCACGCCGTACAAGGGGTGCGAGCCTCAGGTTCCATTCGACTTGCCTTCAACAAAGAAAGGAGACTCGGGCAAGAAGTGATGGGGAGAGCGGCTGTCGTGAGATTATGACGCGTGAGGCGATTTGGATGGCATCAGTGTCAATCAATTCCAAAAACATCGCACGCGCGCACGCGGAAGGGATCACTGGGTTGAAACCACACAAGGAGAGAGCCCCCGAAGGCGCCAGTTGCCTCTGCAGGATTCCGGCAAATCCAGACAGAGGTGTGACCAATGTCAAATGGACAGGGTACCTCATCCACGCACTCAGTAGCGATGCAATTTGCGGTTGGTTGCCAAGCTGAAGAAAGAAGTAAGGCGGCCACACCTCAGCCAGGAAACTTGCCAAGCCCTGGACACCCGAAGACACGTCGCCTTTTGTTGCCGAGAGGTCCAATATTTCGAACGAGAGTCAACGATCACCTTCGGGGCTCAGCATCCGCCAAATGCATGCGGGTAGTTTGCATCCAGCTGCTAGGTGTTTAGAGTTGGAGGTTTGCACGTCCCATTCCAACTGGAAACACCCGTGTAGCCAAGCCGAGCGTGAGGGCAAGCCACTCGTTCCCATGCTATAACAGCCATCCGAAAGAAACCCAGAAAATTAAGAAGAAGAAAAACCTCGGCGTTCTCCGACCCCCCCCCCCGCCACTTGGATCCGGAATTCCCCTCTTGGCCCATCTACTGGGAGTCCGGTAGTTGATTGCGGGACCCGAACTCAAATCCGGAAAATTCCGAGTTCAGACGACCCAATCTTCGGAGAAGCGCAAACCGGGGAAAAGGGACGACTTGGGGTGGCCCAATAGCAGAGCCCCAAGCCACCAAGCGAGTGCCCAGAGCAACTTGACGAACTGATTCTTCTAACATGGTTGTCAAGGCTTCTCTCGGCGGGCTTGTCACCTATGCGCCCGGAACCATCTAAATCTCATATGGCCCTTTCGGCTTTTGGGGGAGTTCGGGCGACTCTGCACATATTGCCAACCCAGCAAGAATGGCCATGTGGGTCAAAACCCAAATCGTACCCATCCCAATCCCCACTAAAATAGGCTCTAAAATGGGTGGTGAATTCACCTACCCCAACATGGGACCCACAGCCGAATCAGCTCAAAGGACATCAGCCCAGGGGCCGGTGGTAAAGGACACCGCCACCGGCACCTCCGCGCTCGCTTCGATGGCCAGCCTCGCTAGACATGGTCCACAGATCCCCCCAAACGGTTTGGAGCTTTTTTGCCCCCAGGTTTTTACCCCTAGAAGTTTCTGTGCCTTTTGCTGGAAGATTCCCCCCTCCCCCCCTCCCCCCCTCCCGCCCCCCTCCTCTCCTTCCCCCCCCCCCCTACAGGGCGGTGTGTGAATCCACTTCTGTGATACAACAGAAAGGGCATCCCAAAGACGAAATGGTTCATAGAAAGGGGGATTCCCTTGTGTCACAGATCCCACAACCCTGAATAAAAACATGTCCAGAAGTGAAATCGAGTCCCTTCAAGCCTTATGTCAGCTTCCTCCCAGGTGGCTTGGAGCCCAGTTTGGTGGTTTGGAGCCAGTGACCCCATTTTCTCTCTGCAAGAACTAGGGGTTCAAATCCCCAAACCGCCAACAAAACCACCGACTAAGGCATACCTGATTACGGCACAGCCAAGGAGCAAGCATACCAAGAAGCACACCATGCTCAAAACTCAGATGTCCCCAAGTGAAAGGGTGTTTTGACCGTGGCACAGTCTGGGGAAACGCGTCTTCAAAGTCCCGCGCCCGCAAAGAACTGCTTTTGCCAGACACTAAACCCGTGCCAGAATGGTTGTGCACGAACGGCCTTGCTTTCATCAACCTTGAGAGTCTTTGGGGGTCAGGTCAACGAAGGTAGTTCCCAAGCACTGTGACACTGGCAATGACGCAAGATGCCCAAGCGATCTTCAGCGCAAGATGAGCATGTCCGAAACAGCAGTCCATTGATATAATAAGGCACCCAAAAATCAAAGAAGGCCTCCTGGACACATTTGCGATCATTCTTGTTTAGCAAGTAGAAACAGCCAGCTGCCAATCTGAACCACTGACCTTCTTTGTTCCCCCGTTCCCGGGTGTATGTTTTGAGGCTCGCTGCCCTTGTTGGGGTTGACATTTGTTTGACCAACAAAGGAAACCAAATGAAATGGGGACGTCGAGCTTTTTGGTTTTCCGTCTCCTTTGCGCTTTCATTGAGCCCCGGCCTCCAGTGTCCTCCCCGAGGTAGAGCAAGGAAATGCGACATGTTCACAATTCTATAGGCTGATTCCCCATTGTTTTCAACCATTGTTCTTTCCAAGAAACAGTCGCTTTCCCTGGGTTTCCGAATGTTCTCTGGAAAGATGGCTGCCAGCAAAGAATGGGGAAGCCATCCTTAGAACAATAAATCCAAAGCCTGAAATAAGAATTGGACCAAGGCCACAGGGTCTGAGGCAGAAACATCCTTCTAGTCAATTCTTCGAACACCTGATTGTGCCTCTTCTTCAGGTGAGCTCGCCATGAAATGGGGCAGAACAATCATATCAAACTCTGGCTTGGTGGCTCATTGGGCTTTGCGGGTGCGGGAGATGCAAGCTCCTGGACCCTTAAAGCCTTGAACCGCCCTTACAAATAGGGCTGCAGGTACCCTTCTCACGAACAGAAGGCAGCTGGGGGTTCATCCTATCATGCAGAGCAGCATTCCGGTTTCAGATGGTCTGCACGCAAACTTTGCAAACCTTGGCCCTTGAGTGCGATCGCTCAAATTTGCCCAGCCCCCAGTAAAGAATGCTTACCCCTTGTTTACAGTGGGCCATGAGGGGAAACTCAAAAACTTTCAGTTGTTCTACAAGTCAAAGCTTGGACTATCTTGGACTGGAAAAAATACACCACAAACCGGCTTGTAGAAAAACAAGTCAAAGCTTGGACTGACAAAAATAACAACCGCAAACCGGTTTGCTGAAAAGAACACCTGGCATAAAGGTCAAGGTTCGGGGCATGACCGGACTCCAAACCAGCGCCGGTCACCTCACTGCGGATCCCACGTCGGGCCGAGCCGCGGCTCCGCGAAGAGATTCAACGCGCTGATCGGCGCCGCAGCCCAAAGGGCGAGGGCCCATGTTCGCGCCGCCATGGCGGCTGGAGAAGGCCATCGGAAAAAAAGGACGCTGGAGTCGAAAAGCAGGTTTAGAAACTTGGGAGTCGAATAAATTCCTTTCAGCGCAGCGGGGTTCTGTTGGGCACTTGTCGACTTGGCAACCGCTGCATCTGGAGGGCATCTGGAGTTTGGGTGCGTAGCCAAGTGTCCATTGGGAAAGGGGGTCACCTGCTTTGTGGTTGTTCGGGTTGCTGCATTTCCCCGTCTTGTTGCTGGGGTTAGAGCAGGGCGCTTCGCAGGTGTCTCTGTTGCTTTCTTCCACATACTGCCTTTGAGGAGGCTGAGGATCGAGAGAGCTCCGCATGCTTTCTTGGTATCTGGGTAATGATGTCATGTCCACTTCGTCCATTAGGTGCTCTCTAAACGCTTGTGGACGGCCGACTTGAACCACTGCAACTGAAATACGGGCGAATCAAGGGCGACGGCAAACGAAGGAATGGCACCTCTGCCTCTGAACGAGAGACAGCGCTGCGGAAGTCAAGTACTTTCAAACAGGGCCTTTGGTAGTCCCTGGAAAAAGTTGCTGGAAAATAGTACCATTTGAGCAACTTGAGTACTTAGATGAATTTTTTCCCCACCAGAAACCGGCGGTTGCCCTTTGGTAGTCCCTGGAAGACACATAGGAAGTCCCTGAAAGCGGAGGAGTTCCAACGACCGGATCGGGGCAAATTCGGCCCAAGACCAAAGAAACCGCATGGCCGTTGTCTGCGGGGCGACGAATTCGCCCCAAAGTCGCGAGCTTCAGTGATTCAACGCGCCTTTGCCTACCAGGGCCCGGCCAAACACACACACACACACACAAATGACTTCGCCGGCAGACATCTGGAGTGGGCTATCATCTGGCCCGGAAACTCTCTTTCACAGCTCGCCTGATATCATCGCAAAGGGTGCTGCTTCAGCCCTTTGTCAAAGGGAATGGTAGGGGCTTCTGAGAAAAGCCATTATGGAAACATCTCCAGGAAGGCCCAGGAAGAATGTCAGACTGCCTCCAGATCTTGCCCAATCCTCAAGACGGTACTGGACAGGGTGGGAAAACCCTCATGTGACAGTGAACTGTGTTTCTCATTCTTAGGATGCCCTACAAATAGATTATATTTACTCTCCGGCAACAAACCTCCCAAAAGAAACGCCTCCAATGAACAAAGAGGTCTGGGCGGAATGGTTCCGAGGCTTTTCCAGGCCCAACCCCTAGAGGCCACGGCTGTCTTCCAATTCCATGGCTGCAAGGCCAAACTGGAATTGGACCCTTTGGACATCATTTACTTCGGGTGTCAAACGTAGAGGCTTCGCATTCCAGCCATCAAAACTCACAAGCGATTCAGGAAACTGTGCGTTGCCATGACCCTTGAGCCAGTGAGTCACGCTGAAAAAAAAGGGGGAAAACAGTTCAGCTGACAAGTGAGCGCTCGCGTGTGCATGTGTGTGTGTGTGTAATTTGTCCTGAGTCCTGAGTCTTGCACATATGTGTGTGTGTGTGTGTGCGTGCGACACCCACAGCAGAGGGCGGCACGGGTTGGTCGCTGTGTGTGTGTGTGTTGTGCGGGGGTTGTGCCACCAATAAGAGGGCAGCAACGGTTGGTCGCAGTTGAAACCGAGGAGCCTATCAACGCTTGGTTTCAAATGGTCACATTCGCTGGTTCAGCAAACAAAACTTGTAGTTTCTAAAAGATCTACAGTGCTAAGGTTCCACCATCAGCCAAGCGAATCCACTCCGTCCAATATCATCTTGAGCCGAATGACTCGCGACGAGGCGATTGAGGACACAGAGCTAAACCAATTGGAAAAGAGGACCCTGAGCCCTCGGAAATCCGGTCCTTTGGCTGAACCTCCAATTTGAACCTCGGGCCTGCGCCCTGCGCTTCCATAGCAAACGACCAGTGGCTCAGAGTCATTCCCTCAACCCCGACCTAAGCAAAAGGAGCGGATGTGGCTTGTCAGATATTCACAACTCAAGCGAGATACTGTGGATGGACGAAATCCCTTCGCACGACTTTGAAACCCTGGGACACCATTGCTTGTTGGTATTTGTGGGGGGAATCGTCCTTCCAGGGTTTCTTAGGTGGTGCAGGAGTTCGTCCATCCACAGTAGGGAACAGCCCACGAAATTCATTTTGAGCTCCCAAACTCTCTCTTTCCGGATCGGTGGCTATGAGTCCCCGATGTCACTTGTCACACAAACGTGTGCATGGTGACCCCTGCTTGATTCAACCCAGCTCATGAAGGGGGGGGGGGTGGTCCGTGGGTGTAGTGGGGAATCATCATTGTTGGAGGGGAGCGCCCATTTTTATTAATACTGGGGATGGACGAAATCCGTTCGCACCACTTTGACACCTGCTTGAAACCATTGTTTGTTGGTAGTTGCAGGGGAATCGAATCATTCCGTTGGTTTTTTTAAGAACTGTGCTGCGATTTCCGGAAACTTAGCACCCATCCACAGTGGGACCCGTTGATTCATCCGGGGTCAACACTCCTCGGTAAGAACGGTCATAGTCAAGGCGCGCCTTTTCCACTTGGTTCCACCTGCCTTGCCCCAAATCACGAATTGGGTGTTAAAGTAGGGGGACCGCCAAGACAATGGCTTTCCCGTTGGTGTCCGATTAAAGCCATCCCCAAAAGGGTACCCTCAAACAAACAAACAAACAAACAAACAAACAAACAAACAAACAAACACACACACACACACACACACACACACACACACACTTAAACTCCAAATGGAGAGTGCTAACCTTTCGAGTACAACTGATGAGTCTCGAGTACAACTGATGAGTCTCGAGTACAACTGGGGACAAACCCCATCGGCTTGCTGGTCACTTGGCTTCCCTGTAGTTACTTCAACAGGGAAACAAGGAAGCAACAGCGGTTCAGGGGGGGACCAAAAGGACGTTCAGAGCATCACGACTTTCTCAAAATGCAGGTACGTCCAGAAGGCGTCCCTTCCGGATTTCACGACCAAACCATCACTGTCTTCGTTGGGCAGTGAGTGATGGCGATCCACTGCCCCCCTGCTGAGAAACCGAAAGGGTGGTGACAGGGCATTCTGTCACTCCGCACACACACGCCCCTCAACGAGGGGCGAGGAGTCTCCTTTTCCGCAGGAAGATCACATGTTCAACCCCGTGTCCCTATCGTTGACCAAAAAATCCACCGCGGCGAGGGGAACGAGAAACAGCCCTAAACCGCTCAGAAGACGGGAACGAGAGATCACCACGTTGAGCATTACGAGTGTCGCCATAGAGGACTGAAGCGAGTTGTGAAGCAGTCGAGAGATCACCATGAGAAAACGGAGTAGCATAGGTGAACGTCTCCTCAACTGGAATGGCATCGGAATTCCGAACTTCACCAAGAGATTGATCATGCGAATGATGAGTTGTGAAGGACTCCATTCGAGACAGAATGCGCTGGTATCCCTGATGCTGCCAGTCGCGGATGTTCCATGCCTGACCGTGCTCACCAGTGTAGCCCATTGGGATCAGTCACCCGCTGCCATTCCCGAAAAGAATTGTCTGGTAGATCAGGTACAGTTTCTCCGTGGTGCCATCGCTGAGGCTGTCCTGCAGTGTAGATCCGCACCCACTCCTGATCCTGCCAGACCGAGTATTCGAGCCATGGGTGCTGCTTCGAATCCTCGATGTCCATGTCGAAGTAAGAGGCAAGGCGTATCGCGGGCTCCGATCCAGCTGATAGAGGAACAGGCACCATGCACAACCATGTACAAGCAACAACCAAGCAAGGTAATGCAAGTGTGGAAACCACCCTTATTTTGTATGCTACCCCACTCGCGTGCGTCTAGTCCTCATTTAGCTCGAAGATAGGTCTCGCCTTGGCTTTGCAGCTGTCGGGAGGATTAACAGGCCGGTATGGGTCGGAGACCCCAACCGTCTCCGATGGTGTGATTCCACGTGATGCACGTACAGGTTGATGAAGTTGGGAAGCGTGACGTGCGCGAGCTGTCAGTTGTTGAGAAATCCCCTCTTGGAGACGAGTCAGTTCTTCGGTAGAGAAATCCGCCGCATCCGAGGATCTAAGGATCGCTTCTAACATCTGCGGTGACATACTCAATGCCGCGGATTGCGTGGCCACGCTGTGATGATCAGGAAAAGACATAGAATCAAAGTCATGACCAGCTTGAGGGGCAGCGACTCTCCGATAGCCCTCTGTGGCCCAGTCTCTTTTGTACCACATGGTGACATTGAGCTGCTCACCGTCTTGGTCCGGGTTGGGAGCATAGAACTCCCTCCACTCTCTATACGTGTGCGGTGGAGGTGGAGCATCATGTTCTTCATGTGGAGTCCATGATCCCGGATGAAAGATCTTGACCCACTGGGCATCTGGTTGTTGAGGATCCGGACACCATTCCAGCCACGGCATGACAACGCAAACCCGGAAAGACAAATTGATAGGTGTACGGCTGCAGACAACAATTACTGAAAGAGAAACAACTGCCACAGTGCAAGAAATCACTTTTGCAGCAATGCACGGCTCCGGTATCGAAGTCAATCTCCCGAATCGAATTGAACTGAACAGACTCCCCAGGAAGGCGAGGACGAGCATCAGCCACCATCCGAGTTGGAGGATGCCGATGAAGAGGTCAATCCAGCGTACATGAGGTCCGGTGCGCCCGAAGCGAAAACTGGCCGCGCAATGCTAGGGTGTGGGCGACCCAGCCGTTGGTATCCCCTGGTGACCCAGTCTCTATAATGCCAAGTATAGAAGGATGCATAAGATACCGGCTGCGAAACAGCACCTGTATTGGTGCCGCCTGTGCTATCCCTCGGCCAATACACTTCGAAGTGGTAAACCTTGCGCCATTCCCGATAGATGGTTGAGTCATCCGGGGCTGGTCCCAAGGTGTTCTCGGCGACTGGATGCCACGGACCCGGTACATAGATCCGAATCCATTCTACACTCGTATTCGCGGGGCCATTGACGATGTCGTAGTCAAAGTAGCGAGGCAGGACCCATCGTGCTGCGCCATACATTGTACAATTGAACATATCAACCAGGTAAACCG